TTAACTGTTGGTACCATAACCCCCAAAATCAATCCCCACTTTCCTTTTGTGGTATTGAACCTTATTTGAAATTTCATTGAGATCCATTCACTTAAACTAAAGTTAGAGTGCGAAAACTAATGTGTCTTCGGACGACGACCATGCCAACGTCATACCAATATACGAGTATATAATACGACCACAAAATTTTTTTTGCGGTCGTATAAAAAGGAGTTCTTAATTAAGAAATAAACTGATTCGCTGAGCGCAGCTGGATACACCCGCAGAGGTACTACCCTGAACAGCTGGGGCAAAAATGGACACAATATTCAAGCTTGATACAGGTCTGAATTTGGATTGTAATTAAATATTTGACATATTATAGTTTCTGAATAAATGTAGTCAATGAACTTGAAATCGGTTATATGAATTGAATTTATATTCAATTAAAGATTTCTTGCTGTTGTGCAATACACTGTGCTGTTGTGCAATACTTAATAAATCTGTTGCCAGACTATAAACAAATAAAGTTCAATTTCTTCTCAATGTCATATTTGAAATTTATGAAAATCAATAGGGAGATTACATCAATAGCTATAAATAATTCACCAAAGTTTCATGTGAACTGCTTAAAGCAATTTTGAGTTGTTGTCCAAAAACTGGAAAATCCCCCCTTTTTTAATGAATAAAACCCCATAACTCAGAAATGTAAAATCTAAAATTTATAAAATTCTAAAGGGAGCTTACGGATTGATAATTTAGTCTTAGATGCAAGATTTTTTTATCAGTTGTTAGTGGCTTTGAACTAGCTGTCAGTAACTGCGAGTACTCTCAGATTTGTACTTAGTGTCTTTTTGTTGTTTGGATGTACAACTACCCAACCACGTCCACTTGTATTTATCCATCTGATGAGTTTAGCCTCTTTCAACTGATTTTTATAGTTCTTTCTTATATTGTACTGTTACACCACTGTACCAGGTTAGGGGGAGCGTTGGGATCCCGCTAACATGTTTAAGCCCGCCACATTCTGTATGTACATGTATGTGCCTGTCCCAAGTCAGGAGCCTATAAAAGTGTAATTCAGTGGTTGTTGTTTGTTTATGTGTTGCATATTTGTTATATTTGTTCATTTTTTTACATAAAATAGGCCGTTAGATTTCTTGTTTGAATTGTTTTACATTGTCATTTCTGGGCCTTTTATAGCTGACTGTGCAGTATGGGCTTTGCTCATTGTTGAAGGCCGTACCGTGACCTATAGCTGTTAATTTCTGTGTCATTTGGTCTCTTGTGCATGTGTGGAGAGTTGTCTCATTGGCAATCATACCATATCTTCTTTTTTATATTTACATCAACAGATATAAAAAATTCACCAAAGTCAAGGTGAGACAACAAAACTTAGTTGTAAGATCTCTGAAATTTTTTACAGGGTACGAGTTTTTCTCATTGTTGGAGATTGTACGGTGACAGTAACACCTGTAACTGCTTAAACCCATTTCTTATGCACTTTAGTTTGATAAACTCACTGAATATCATACCACATCTCCTTATTTTTATATGCATTACAATTTACATGTGCATGTAATTGTAAATATATATATATATCAGAACAAAATTCATTGCGTCACTTTTATTTATGCATCCTTTGGCACAATACAAGTTCTAAAATTACACAACATAAAACAACTAAATGTTATTTCAGATGAAAGTTTTGTTTCAGTTCCATTCATAGGATTTATTAGAATTTTGTATGTTTTGCCAAGTCCAATTATTCGCTCTATGTGACATAGAGACATAGTTGACTAAACCACCAGGTGTCGAACATTCAAGAATTTTCAGTGTTTCTGTTTTTATTTGATGAAAAGGTTGCCTGAGCTCTAGGAGCTTTAGGTTTTATCACAGGATATTCTGTGCTGTCAATAATAATCCAAGTCGTAGGAAACTTTAATTTGAAGTTGGATGGTGAAAAATACCTGACTAAACCACTAGATGGCCAAGTGTTAGCCTCACACCACTGTTTAGACATAAAAACAATCCATGTATACACAATATTCTGAACACTAGATTCAATCTAGAATCTAGACAGTTCAAAGTTGGTTGTATGATGCCTCAATTTCATCAAAGTCATAAAAAAACTGATTTTCAACTGACACCCTATCAATTTGAAAATATGTGTATCTCAAACAATAAGCTGCTGGACCAAGAGTGGTCAAAACAAATAAAAATTTAGTATACAACTCTAAACCGGTATAAAAATGCATGGCTGTGTCAAGTGTCTTCATTTCAAAATTCTCTGCGGAAAACATAGGCATTGATGGTGTTTGCGTAATTCCATCTGTGAAGCTCAACATTAGCTCGGCAGTTGGTGGTGGACAGTCATAAATCCTTTCTGCAGTATGAATGACTTCTTCAGGAAAACCAACTTTACAATCAAAACTTTCCTCTAGATTTTTACTACAATATTCATCAAGTTTAGTTCTTTTGTTTTCACAGGAAACTGCCCTGATTTTTCTTTTTGCGGACGATTCAGTCTCTTGCTTGGTCCAGGAAAATAGGCTGGGAATTGCAGTAGACTTAAGTCTCTGTATGGTGGGTTTGCGCCCTGAAAAAGGTTATAAAACATTAGTTTTTTTTATAATTAAATGAACTTCCATTAGCAATGTATACTTTGTACTACCTGGCGAAATATTAACTGGATTTATTCATTACAATCTGGATAAAACTATGTTTGCCTGATTCAATGTATGTTATGTAAATCCAAAGGACAAACAATGAGAGACTTATGCAACAAACGTACATTGTTTGTACCTAAATAACTATAATATAGATGAGAGCATGTCATTGTTTTGTTCCTGTTAACATTGTCATTGATATTTTTCAAGAAAGTCTATGAGGCATAGCTTATGCATTCCTGTCATTACTACATTAGCATAATTACTGCTAAAATAATTCTCAGTATGATATACCTCTTGTAAGAAATCATTATAATTGTAGCAATCACCAAAAAATCTCAAACAGATCACATTGAATCGTAATCCAAAAAATTATGACGTCTTGAATTACCCACCCCCTTTTATTCTAAAACGATAATTGCGGTTGTAAACAGACTTTGGTTTATTCGCATGGAGATTACATATATAACTATATATTTCACAAAGAAAATAGAGTTTTACCATGAATAGTTTCCTGCACGTAGTCTTTTTCAGTAAAACGTGCCTTGCAAACAACAGCTGATTGAGATGGACTCCACGATATCATCGTGTTCTCGTCCAATCTGCGTATGGGCCATGGCGTTGATCCAACTTTTCCTTCTTTTTAAGTCATTTGGAAATGCATGTCCTCCTCTTAAATGACATCCAGGTACACAACAACAAGTACTTGGCATCGTTAATTAAGAATATAACTGAAATAGTTGCACAGTGCAGAAACCGGAAGAAGAGGAACAGGATCCGCTACCACGGCGCCACCTATTCAGGAACGATAATTTGCTACTTTATATAACTGCGAAAATAACGTTAGACGGGTTCACGTGCATAAACAGAAATGCGCTTTAAATTGTATAATATAATTCATGTTCAGTCGACCTTTAATTATTATATCAACGACTGAAATGATTTATAAACATCTAGATTGCAGATAACACTCGAAATTAACCCGAGCTCTTTCCACACGGAATTCAAATAATTCTAGTTTGTCAATCGGTTGACTGCTTATAATGCAAAATACTAATATATCTAAAGTTTTTAAAACTAACAAAACACAATGATCGTTTCTCTATTTCCCAATGTAAATGAAATGAAACAAAAAACATTTTATATCGCAATAAGAAGAGGAGAGAATTCAACATTTCCGGATCTACTTGGAGTCTAATGACCCCCCACGTAGATAAGTTGGATATCGCGGAAGGAAGGATTAACCCGGCAACTAGAAAGGCATTAAAGCACTGCCTTTAAAAACTGAACCAATCCAGGGAAGTCTATACTTAGTATAGACTGTCCCTGACCAATCCCAACCAAATTTTAAGTAAATTAGCATCAGGGTATTTTTTTTTTTTTTAGAGTTTGAGTTTTTATTTGAGTAATACAACAAAATGACCGCTATGGTTACAAATAGAATATACAATGCATTAGTTTTCCCTATTTATAGAAAACAATAATAAGTAAGATTTGACAGAGCAAACAGATCAGAATGTAAAAATGTACGTCCTATTTTTACTAAAATTATCAGTTGACCACTGGAGGAGTTATTGGAATTAAATGATGAAATTGTTTTTGAAATATTAAATGTTTTTGACTATTATCTCGAAGTCTATATTAGATCAGTTGAAAGATAAAATTGCAATAATTATCAGCAGTACAAGATAACATAAATAACAATGACTGAAACCATTTGACACTCCTTATAGAAATAACAGAAGTGCACACGCTGAAATGTCTCGTCTACAATACTGATCATAATTGAATCCAAATCCAAATGTTAAACGTCTTTAAGATAAATGTTTACTACAAGTATCACATTAACATAATGTTACCAATGATCAATGTAAATGAGGTCAAGGTCAGATTAACTTTACCAGACGAACATATGCTCATTATAATTCTTTAATTTTACCAAATATGGTTACCTATTGCTTAATCGATGTCCAATGAATTCTATGAGACAGACATGTACAACTTTCAAACATTTGCATACACCAAATATTGTTGACTTTTTGATTATAGTATATGAGGATTACCAATGTCATGATAACTAAATGGTTAAAAAATGAACCATTTTAGATCTTGTCTTGTTGATCATTTATGCTTTCTGTAGTATTTATCTTTTATAGCTTAATAATAATAAGTTCATAGACAAATACACCAAAAAAAAGTCAAAATCGTCATTAAAGAGCAATAAACATATTGCTGATCATTTTTAGCTATTTAGTGACGAGAAAAGCTCACATAGCACTTTTGGCCAGGGGTGCTAAAAACTGACAAGACAGAAAATTTACTTGGAAATTTGGTTGTTTCTATTAAATAAGATTGTATATTTTGAATCTATATTTTATTCATACAACAAATTTCAATAAAATTGACAATAATGAAAGACAACAATAATCTATGGCTTCATGTTGTAGGATAAATGTTATTCCCCTCCCTCTGCATCATCCATTCTCCACATCTCACTCAATCATGTACTGGATAATTGTTATTCCCCTCTCTTTACATCACATTACTCTCCAAATCCCATCCAATCCTGTTGTAGGTTAATTGTTATTCCCCTCCTGTTACATCACCCCCTCTCCACATCTCATCCAATAATGTCGTAATATAATTGTTATTCCCCTCCTGTTACATCACCCACTCTCCACATCCCACCCTATCTACCCCTCCAATATACTTTACCTTTAAGTTTCACCTCTAAAGGTCATAGACAGTGTATAACTGATTCTATGGAACTTGGATATTCAAAATATACTTTTACACAAAAAATCTTGAGTTTATTTTCAAAATCAATTTCAAGTCATCAATTTCTTATATCTCATGAAATGCAGATATTTTAAAATAAAAAAGATCTGGCTATAATTAGCTCTTACCCGGTACATTTCAAAATACACTGTTCAGTGATGTACATATTCTTAACCTATTTTTGTTGTTGTTTGTTTTGCAGTTTTTTTTAAAGCCAAAAATGATTTTCTTTACAAAGCCAAATTTTTCTTCAGTAAATATATGTTCCCAACTATAATTCTTATGTTTTCATGAATGTGAAATAATTTCATCATAGTTTTTTTTCCAAGAAATAGTTGCTGTTAAATGATCAATGTCATAGTCATATTTTTTCCTTTTGTAAATAATAATCTTTAACATTTCTTTACCCTCAAACAGAAAGTGAACCAGAGGAGCAGTAGGTTCGATAAGGCCCTAAAATGGCCCCTATTGCTAGCTCCAATTTCAAGTAAGAATTCATTTGACCAATATAACAATGAATCATAGTTAACACAGTGACTAAGTAGAAAATTTAACGTTTTGTTGAAAATTTATAAATTAGCATTCTTTTCATGACGCTTCAATAGCTCCAATAGCAGAAAGTTTGATTTTCCACAAAAATTCAAGATAACGGGTAAATTTCCATTGATTACTTCGACTGGAAACATAAAGTGCATTCGTCAACAAGAAAGATTTTTTAACATGTTTGTTATAACATTTTACATATCTGATTTGAATATTTAGTTTGTCGAAGCCTGCACTCTTTGTTTCCTTGGTTTAAATTTGCTTAAAATTCAGATGATTTTGTCAAATTTTATCAAAATCGCTACTTTTGGTCTATTTGGTTTGTAAATGTTAATGCTTTAAAAGCAAAAATCTGCACAAAAATAGTTATATACCACTGTCTTCTCATCAACTTGAAACATTTTTTTATCTTCGAACTGTAGACTTAATATTTAGGGCCAAATATGGCCCTTACCAAACTTACTCCTTTATTCTAGCTTATCAAATTACTGATGCATGTTTACAAAATTTTCTGTCAACCAATCATTTTATAAGATCACAACCATATTTATTCAGTAATGGACAAGACTTGATATGACTTTGATCGGAAACTATCAGTATGTGCTGATAACATCTACTTTTGTTAATAAAGAGTTTATCCTACCTTCCTCTTTGATGCTGAGAATATATTTTTTTTTGCTAAAAAATGTCAAAACCAAAACAGGATTAAGACATAGGTAATAGTCACATGAAACATTTAAAAGAATTTAATACCAGATTGACTGCTGGATGACATAGGGTAAGATTTCCACATCTCTAACCAAGCTTATCCCAGTCTAGAGATGACCCACATTAAGATTTCCTTTTCACGACCCTGCCTGTCCAAGTCCAGAGACGACCATGGTAAGATTTTCCTGTATCTGGCACATCTTGTCCCATTCCAGAAATGACCAAGGGTAAGATTTCCCAGTCTCTGACCAAGCTTATCCTAGTCGGATGACCTAGGGTAAGATTTCCCCGTCTCTGATCTAGCTTGTCTCAGTTCAGGGATGACCCAGGGTACCATTTCACTTTCTCTGACCCAGCTTGTCCCAGACGGATGACCTATGGTAAGATTTCTCTGTCCCTGGCCCCGCTTGTCCCAGTCCAAAGATGACCCAGGGTAAGATGTCCCTGTCTCTGACCCAGCTTGTAGCAGCTGGACCACCCAGGATAAGATTTCACTTTCTCTGACCCAGCTTGTCCTAGTCAGTTGATCCAGGGTTAGATTTCCCTGTATCCCACCCTGCTTGACCCAGGGTAAGAATTCTCCGTCTCTGACCCATCTTGTCCCATTTGAGAGATGACCCAGGGTAAGATGTCCTCGTCTCTGGTGCTGCATGTCCAAGTTAAATGACCCAGGGTAAGATTTCCCTCTCTGACCCATCTTGTTCCAGTCGAGAGATGATAAGAAATCTAACCAGAGAGTGTCTGAAATTACCAGGTGAAGTTGGAAGCAAATAATAAAATCATTGGATTTTGTGTTGTTGGGTTGACTGCTCATTGATGGGGTATACCTCTCATCTCTATATTCTCATCAGGAAATCTTGAGATTTCACTGATTTAAATCAAAAACATAATTGCTGTAAACCGTTACAACTGAATGAATTCATGTGGGGTCTCAACATACAATTTTGGGAACAGACATCCAGCTTGTGTTTAAAAAACACCCCCATTCATATTTTGAATCATGCAAAACTCCCTACCATTCAACTATTTCATAGGAAAATCACAACCCATTTATATATATTTCCCAGCTATTATGACATCTTATTTAAACATTAACCATATGGGATCGTTCATATTATTAGATAAAAAGATAAGAACACAGTTTTTACAGATTTCTTATCAGAAGTAGAATATATATGACCTATTGACAAATACTGTGGATTCATTTATTTTCGTGGATATTTGATATCGTGGTTTTGCCAAAGTGTGCCTACAAGCCTTTAGAAAATTTGTTCTTCGTTGGACATTTGAATTCGTGGTTCACCTTTACCCACGAAATCCACGAAAATTGGTATCCAACAAATCATAATAAATCCACAGTAGATTTCCACCCATTGATATATTATCTCCCTGAAATTGCACACCATGGATACATTTAACATCAAATGAAGTGACCCATACCAGCGGCATGTCTGTGTATACATTTATATAGGAAGAGACCCCCCCTGAATGTTTTTCACTGTAAATATGCAACAAACTGATTTATTATGTCATAATCTAGTAACAAAAAATGTTTTGATAAATTATGTATCAATGACTTAGTGGCAGACACAAAAAATGCATACCTGAGAAGAGGTGTTATGAAATTTTTATTGCACTTTTGATGCACCAGAATCTTTGTTAGTTTCTGCAAATGAGAAAACATATCTTCTTTATTTCTAGGACTACAAGACTCTTTGAATGGGACTTAAAGTTCATAAAAAAAAACCTATTTGAAACATCTTATGTTCTAACATAATATCACTTACTTAATATCACTTACTTAATAGATAATATAAAGGCCAATCTTTGCCCTCATAACAATTGTAAAAATTATCTCCCTTTTTCAACAATTTTGAATATCTTTGCACTTGGTATGATATTTTCAAATAGGAAACCATATACCATTCTATGCTAAATTTGGAGCCTGGTATTAATTCCTGAGCTATACTTACAGCTATTCTAGCTTCCAATTGATACAGTTACTATAAGCCTCCCTGAATATATAACATTTCAATTATATACAGAAAGAAACAGAAAATACACACAGAAAGAGTGTATTTTATCAAGATTAATCTATGAACAGGCAAATGAATCTTAACCCAATTTCACTGAATGAGAAAGGTCTATCCCAAAAAACATGTTAGATAGGGGCCAAAATGGTCCTTACACTACCTTATCTTTAAGTTGTAATATCGGGACTGTTGTCAGCAACGTAAAAAATGATTGGTTTACTTTCAAAAAGTCTCATAACCAACTTAACATAACAATACAGTATATTTTCACCATTTGGGCTATTCCATTTTAATACCAATGGCGTACAGGGCAGTAAGTAAGTAATGTATGATCGGGTACTTGAAAGGTCTATCAACAACCAACATACTTTCTTGGATAATTTTGCATACATTTATATTAATATATAAACAACCATAATTGAACTACGACCCATGTCAAAACAAGAATGTGTCCATAGTACACGGATGCCCCACTCGCACTATCATTTTCTATGTTCAGTGGATCGTGAAATTGGGTCAAATCTTGGGTTAAAATTAGAAAGATCATATCAAAGGGAACATGTGTACTAAGTTTCAAGTTGATTGTACTTTATCTTCATCAAAACTACCTTGACTAAAAACTTAAACCTGACACAGGACAGACAGACGAACGAACGAACTAACGGACGCACAGACCAGAAAACATAATGCCCCTACTACTATCGTAGGCGGGGCATAAAAAAACAACATCCCTTCCTGCCCTCCCACATTCATTAAATGGAATAGTCCTAAATATATACCTAATCTTGATAAATTCTTTCCACTCACAACCATTCCCTTTACAAAAATGTTCTCCCTCTCACTCTCTCACATATAGATCAACTATAGCACTAACAAGCAAATAGAAGAGGCCCACATTGGGAAAATTTGAGATTTACAATTGTTTTACAATGTACAATGTAAATGAGTATAAGCTTCTGTAATGTTTCCATGATGAATTGTAACAAATTAGACAAAAATGTAAACATAAAAATTTGAGATATTTCTTATTTGAGAGTAAAAATTCCCCAAAATGGGCCTCAATAACAACGGAATGAAAGACAAATGAAGAACAACTAGACAACCCCAGTACAACAGGTATACAGTCATTCAATGGCTTCAATGTTTGCTTTCTTTTTACTGTCCTTTCTTTTGAAACTTCCCGTCCTGTTCTTTGATTGGATATTATTGGCAGAACCATGCCGCATACGATTTCCACCAGCCGCACCATTTTTGTCCACATTTTCCTTATCTGTCGGAGAATGCATGCTACTGACACTCAAACTTGACATCGAACTAGACAGATTCAAATTTGATGAGATCCCCAATGAGCTTGGGTATGGATTCAAAATGTCAAGGTCATCACCAGGCAAACAGTTTTCCATCATCATAGCTTCTAAACAATTGACTAATAGTTCTGCAGTGTCACTTGGAGCAGACTAAAAAATGAATAAATTGCACGTTTATCTATTTGAAAATTAAAAAAATATATACTACTAGAATAACAAGCATTCTGAGAGTACTGCATGGTTCACCTATTTAGGAGATAACTGTATTGCATTTTAAGCTCAGTTTGTGACCATCAAATCACCAATTGATGCTGTCGGAGCTTAAAATACAATATTGTTATCTCAATTCTAATGAAACTGACAGAAAACAATGTCAAATCATACATGTTAAATCTGCCATTTGTTGTCTGTGCTTGCGCGTACGTTTCCATAGCATCAATTGTGAATTGATGCCATGAAAATTGGTGACGTTATCCAATCAAAATGAACGTTACAAATGATGTTGTATTAGAAATAACAAATTTCAAATCAATATCTTCAAGCATAAAAAAAAGTGTGGAAAACTGATTACTTCAATACTTGCGTGAATTTTTTAAGTCCAAGGACCAGAGCTCTGGACAAAATCATCAGGAGTCAGTTTCACAAAAAAACTTACGACTAAGATTAATCATAATTCAGCATACATACGACCTATCTTAGTAGTAAGTTTTTTTGTGCAACTGACTCCAGACCAGAGTAAAATTCAAACTTGATCTATAACTGGTCATGATAAAACTTTATACAAAATATCAAAATAATATCTTTATGCACAAAGAAAAAAAGTGTAGAAAACTGATTTGCTGGATTGACAACGGACTGATAGACATAGACAGAGACAGACAGACAGACAGACAGACGGATGGATGGAAAAACTAACGGAGTGCAAGCCTAGAGTCCCCTTTGGCTTTGTTGGTAGGGGACTAATAAGCAAGAAAAAGGTAAGTATGATGTGAAGGATTAAATGAATGAGCACACAAAGTGAAATTTTATTCCTATGTTTAATCAAATATTGTCAAGTAAAAAATAACCAGTCTGACTCTGGACCATTCAGATTCAGACCTGCCAGCTATCCTGATTTGAGAGGTGTTGACCTGAATTTAAAAAAATCTTTATTATATAAACTGAAGACCTAAAAACAGGCATTCAAATGAGTTAAAAGGGTATTTAAGCACATACATACTCATCTAAACAATAGAGAAGTTGATTAAAAACACTGATGACAATATAATAGGAGCATTAGCTCCTCTTGTGCTTAAAATCCCCCATGGAGATTTTGAAAAGTTGACAGGTATGTAGATTGATTGACTGACAATTGGTGTTGAACACCACCTTTGGCACTATTGGCTATATTTTGGCTGCTAGTTTTTATTTGATGAGGAAGCCAGAATGAACTATGACGCCTCCGGGTGCGGGAATTTCTCGCTGCATTGAAGACCTGTTGGTGGCCTTCTGCTGTTGTCTGTTCTGTGGTCGGGTTGTTGTCTCTTTGACACATTCCCCATTTCCATTCTCAATTTTATATTGTATAGACATCTGTCTGTTGTTTAAAACTGTTTGTTGCCCTCTAGATATCTCTAATTTGATTTTTATTTGTAGTTTTGAAATATACTCAACATTTTGTGTTTTTTATATGAAATACTTTACTTCAACAGTCTTTGAAAACCCATTATTATGTTAAATTAAATTTATGTTTATTTTGAAATTCATTAACATAGTCTAAAAATCTGCATCTGTTTTGATGTACACTTTTATATAAATGTATTTCATGTATAAATCTATAATAATTCAATCCCCTGAACCTAAAAAGGTGTGCAGTTTTCTATTAAAACATATGTTCCTATTGTGTAGAACTAACTAACCTTAAAATTCAGGACAATAGAAAAAACCTTATTCATAGGATATACATAACAATTTTATTTTTAAAAAGTTGTACGATATTACCTTGGTAAATGTCCCAGCAAATCTCCATAGGCCACCAAAACCAATACCTAAAAGAGAGAAAATTGATCAATTAATAATCATAATTTGTTGAGGGCTTTTCCAGAATTAATTAGGGGGGGGAGGGGGTTCAGAAGGCACTTTTAGTTAAATTTGTTTGGGTGATGGTTATTTTAGACAGATAGCCTTAACAATTATGTGAAATAATCAATTGAAATTTTATGCACGGCAGGGTTAAAATTAAAAGTGCCTTCCGACCACCCTAACATTTATTTCTGGAATAGCCTTGAAAGCAATTTTGGACTTAAAAGATATATCTCATTTTCAGTGTTTCCTAAGTTACTTGTTCATATTGAAAATGATAAAATGAACAAGGAATTGGCTATACTTTTTAATGCCGTGTTCGGGAGAAACTTGAAAGTTTGAAAGTTTGAAATTAATGAGGTATAACACATTAAAACAATAGTCATGTGACCATCGCTACACATAACCACAACGTAAAATTATCATTCAAAACATAAAACACATAAATAAATCAAGTATGATGGGATGTTTTACAAGATTTTATCAAGGCTGCAATCATATGGTTTTCTCAAAAAAGAAGATCCCAGTGTTATCTTGCCAATAATCCCCACCCCCCTTTTTATTGATATGAGGGAACGCAGTTGTGCACCAAATTTTTCCACATTTATGGCTTACTTTGTAGATATGAGAGCTGTTGCTGTGACACATCTTCACAGGCTATCATATTTTGTATAATACTCTGTACAGCATTTAGAATGGCTTGGTCGTGACACAAGGATAACACATTGTTTATCTTCGCATCTAACAATGAATGTCTGAAAAATATTCATTTAGAAAACTCTACAACAATTGTAAATTAATCATTTTACAAAATAAAACAGAATTAGAGTAATTTAGAACATGACACACGGAATGTACACTTGTTAAAACCTTTTGTTTACCTGTAAATGTCTTTTTTGTTTATTTATGATGTGGGTTTCTATCTTATTGACATAAACATAAAATCTCAATCAAATCAGTTATGGCTGTTCCAGAAAACACTATGCCCCTTCCCAGGAAGGGACTTATTTTTAACCGCACAGAAATTAAAATAAATTAGAACCCCCCCCCCCCCCCCCCCCCAAGTATTTTCTGGAACACCCCTAACAGTTATTGAATAAAAAGCTGTGCCGGGAGTTAATGATGCATCCAACCATATATTATTGAGAGTCAAATATGAAAACAAAAACTGCTCAGGTGGAACTTGGAGAGACCTCTGGTCTTATTCACTCCAGCAATAATTATTTCAACATCTGATAACCTTTCAAGGATGTTAGCTTATGTTTTTTTTACTTTTATCAATGAAGGGCCATTAACCCCTACTTTTCTTTTTTTCTTTTTATAATTTTATTACATATAGTTTAAAAAGCCATTTTTGAAAATCTTATTATATCCTTTAATTTTTTCATAGTTTTTAACAGAAAAAGGTGCACACTTTAAATGTATGAAAAATCTAGAGACAATTATTTCCCGCCAAATTTTCAATGGCTTATATCTCAAAAAAAAAGACACAGACCTTTCATTTATTCCTGCTTTTTTAGTTTCGTTATTTATATACTATCAATTTATAACATTCTTTCAGAAAACTTATTATTTTGAAACAGAGGAGCAAATGTCCTTTAAAAGCTCTTTAAACGTTTAAACCCGCTGCATTTGTTTGCACCTGTCCTAAGTCAGGAACCTGTTGTTCAGTGGTTGTCATTTGTTGATGTGGTTCATAAGTGTTTCTCGTTTCTCGTTTTTTATATAGATTAGACTGTTGGTTTTCCTGTTTGAATGGTTTTACACTAGTCATTTTTTGGGCCCTTTATAGCTTGCTGTTCGGTGTGAGCCAAGGCTCCGTGTTGAAGGCCATACTTTGACCTATAATGGTTTACTTTTACAAATTGTGACTTGGATGGAGAGTTGTCTCATTGGCACTCATACCACATCTTCTTATATTTACTTGATAAAAAATATGTATAATTGCCCAATTTCAAGAAAATTGGTGAAGATTTCTTTGGTTTCAGGTGTAAAAAAAGTAAATTGCATTGTGTGTATTGTATTTATATAAGAAAAATTGCATCTTTTTGTTTTCCTTTACCTAAAATAATCTACACACAACACATTGCGTCATTAGTCCAAATCCAAATAACACTTATACTCACATAACCGGGAATACTCGAGGAAAAACTACAGAAGCTTCTGCCAAATACTCGTATAAAATTCTGGCCTCATTTTCATCTGTAGTGTTCCGTACTAATGTGGCCTGAATAGATATTTAAAATTATGTAGCATCTTAAAAAATCTTTTATTATTAAAACTTGAAATGAGGTATAAATGTCCCAACTTTTCATGATCAGAGCTCTTAATGATCTTTACCTTTCTTAAATTTCCACAAATAAAAAGACTGAAAATTGCTTACATTAAAACTTAAATGGGTTAACCATACTTTATTTGGTTGGCTTGAGGAGAAACTCAAATTCTTATAGGACGATTCTTAAACTTACCTTTAAAAAGTTTAACAAAGGGTTAAATTCAGGAATAGCAAATTTAATTTATTGCTGCCTTAATTGCTAATATAAATTAACTTCAATTTTTTCTCTCTATAAAAACATCATTTAAATTTCACTACACATAACAAATAAATAAGTCATCCATTGAATATGAATTTAAAGATTATCATTTTCAAACTTACCTTTGTAATAATCAATAAACAGCTGCGCCATGAGCGCATGATACGCCTGTCGCTTTTTCAAAGAATAAAGTTCAATAACTTCTCAATGTCAAATCAGAAATTTTAAGAAAAACTAAAGGGAGGTTATCTTAATAGATATAAACCAGTTACCAAAGTTTCACGAAAACTGCTCAAAGCACTTTAAAGATATTGTCTGCAAACTTGAAAATCACCCCTTTTTTATGAATAAAACCCCATAACTCAGAAAAGTAAAATCTAAAATTTATAAAAAATCGAAAGGGAGCTTACGTCAATAATAATAAACAATTCCCCAAAGTTTCATGAAAACTGCTGAAAGAATTTTTGAGTTATTGTCCGAAAACTGGAAAATCCCCCTTTTTTTAATGAATAAAACCCCATAACTCGGAAATGTAAAATCAAATATATATAAAATTGAAAGGGAGTTCATGCCAATAGATATAAACAATTCCACAAAGTTTCTTCTAATTTGCTAAAAGTGTTTTTGAGTTATTGTCCGAAAACTGGAAAACCCCCCTTTTTTAATGAACAAGAGTGCACACGCTGAAATGTCTCGCCTTCTTTACTAATCATTGATATTATGTTGATAGTCCTAAATATAAAGCTTTATTACAACTGTCACATAAACTTAACATTAACCAAGTAAACTAAACATTGACCAATGAACCATGAAAATGAGGTCAAGGTCAGATGAACCATGCTAGGCAGGCATGTACAGCTAACAATTCTTCCATACAACAAATATAGTTGACCTATTGCTTACAGTTTAAGAAAAACAGACGAAAACACAAAAACTTAACACTGAGCAATGAACCTTGAAAATGAGGTCAAGGTCAAATAAAACCTGCGTGACTGACATATAGATCATAAAATATTTCCATACACCAAATATAGTTGAACTATTGCATATAGTATTAGAAAAAAAGACCAAAACTCAAAAACTTAACTTTGACCACTGAACCATGAAAATGAGGTCAAGGTAAGATGACACCTGCCAGCTAGACATGTACACCTTACAATCATTCCATACACCAAATATAGCTGACCTATTGCATGCAGTATTAGAAAAAAAGACCAAAACTCAAAAACTTAACTTTGACCACTGAACCATGAAAATGAGGTCAAGGTCAGATGACACCTGCCAGCTAGACATGTACACCTTACAATCATTCCATACACCAAATATAGTAGACCTATTGCATACAGTATAAGAAAAACAGACCAAAACACAAAAACTTAACTATAACCACTGAACCATGAAAATGAGGTCAAGGTCAGATGACACCTGCCAGTTGGACATGTACACCTTACAGTCCTTCCATACACCGAATATACTAGACCTATTGCTTATAGTATCTGAGATATGGACTTGACCACGAAAACTTAACCTTGTTCACTGATCCATGAAATGAGGTCGAGGTCAAGTGAAAACTGTCTGACGGGCATGAGCACCTTGCAAGGTACGCACATACCAAATATAGTTATCCTATTACTTATAATAAGAGAGAATTTAACATTACAAAAAATCTGAACTTTTTTTTCAAGTAGTCACTGAACCATGAAAATGAGGTCAAGGACATTGGACATGTGACTGACGGAAACTTCGTAACATGAGGCATCCATATACAAAGTATGAAGCATCCAGGTCTTCCATCTTCTAAAATATAAAGCTTTTAAGAAGTTAGCTAACGCCGCCGCCGCCGGATCGCTATCCCTATGTCGAGCTTTCTGCGACAAAAGTCGCAGGCTCGACAATAAAACCCTCATAACTCGGAAATGTAAGATCTAAAATTTATAAAAAACGAAAAGGAGCTCACGTCAATAGATATAAACAATTCAACAAAGTTTCATGCAAATTGGTTAAAGCATTTTTGAGTTATTGTCCGACATGTTGACGACGGACGGACAAACAACGGTATACCATAATACGTCCCGTAAACGGCCATATAAAAATTATCAAAATAAAATAATAAATGATAAATATTTTTCTTACCAGCACTGTTAACACTAAGACTTGTGTAGGATAATCTGTTAGGACTTCAGGATCTAGTAAAACATTGTTTTCATTAGATACAGATCCTCGACCAACTCTCACTGCCAGCCCAGATTTAACATCTTTCTTTGAGCATGGCAATGGCATGGAACTACTTCTGTTTGTTTTGGATAGGGGAGGTCTGACTGGTTCACTGTCTAGGCTTCTCCAACATACCTTGGGACTATTTGCTGGCTGTAAATTATAAAGGAATTTTTTTACTAATACTGAATCTTATTCCATTTTGCTATCCTTCACAAAATGTTATCTTTATTTTTTATGTCAAATAAGAGGTTTTTTTTCTAATTATTGTATTTGTTATTTGTAAAAAGAAGTATTTGCTTATTTTATGAAGGTATAAATGTTAAAGATTAAGGCAACATGTGAAATTTGTATAAATATCTCACACATAAACAGAATTTTAACTGTTTTCTATAACGCATAAATCCATAAAACTGACAAAAACCCTCCATCTATGATAAACAAAAAAACTGAGTTGTAACCCAGAGGTAAATATTTCTGGAAAAGCCTCAAATTGTGACAATTTCATCAAAATATTGCTTGCAAATGATATTCAAATCTTTTTTGTACAGATGTTAGTTTACTGTATCTAACCTGCCCTTGTGATAAATGAGTATTTCCTTTCTGCATTCCTCTGGCTGTATTCATTGCTGACTGGTCTAACAGATCCCAGCTTTTCTGTCGTTTAGGAGTGGGTGTTGCCATGGGCAGAGTATTATTTTGTGCTGTAGGTACAGTTGTTGGTGGAACAGGGGGTGCTGGAGTTGATGGCATTGACTGACCAGAACCTGATGAACTGTTTGAACTGCCACCTGGTGTGGTAGACATCTGAGGGATTTCTGCATTGAGGCTATCACTAGACGGAGACTCTGTCATCATGTACTGACTGATTCTGTGTTTTAGATGACATCGACTACGAACCTCTTCAGACACGGATACTAAAGCTAAAAAAAGATATAATCGACAACTTTCATTGCAATATCAAAACAATGTGTTAACTCACTAATTTGTACAAGTTAATCTTTTCACATCCCTTTTTTGAAATATTTGAAGGGATTTATTTTTTGCAATTTTATCAATTCTCACGGAAAGAACAGTAATGAATCTGTTGTAAAGGAAATATGTGTCCTGCATACAACATTACAAGCCTGGTATTTACATGATTTTTTTTCTAAAAGGTGCTGTTTCTACTTCTTCTACCATATAGTGACTGCCTTCAACAAATTGAAGATTATGTCACAGGAGGAAACTCACAACAAGACATAGATTTATATATATACATGTATATAGAATTTAAAAAAAAAAAAAAAAAAAAAATACAGGAAAAAATGAAAATTTTTATGTCTAATGAGTTTGATGTAATGGTTAATATTGATGCTTTGAAATTGAAGATTTGAAAGAGTCTACTGATGTGCAATTTATAATGTTATCAGGTAGTTTGTTCCAATCGGTTATAGTTCTTGGAAAAAAAAGATTCTGTTTTGTCTTTGCTCTTTATGGACTTGTGAGAGTATCACTAAGCAAGAGAAAAAAGTTCACATTGAAAGTTGATTCATTCACAGTATCAGTTGGAATATACCAAAAAAAAAGAAAATTTGTCTGATAAAACAGGAAATCATATATGTTTTTTAAAGACAATGAGAACAATGTTCATCAAAGTGGCTATCATTGATATAATACCTTGGGTTTTTGAGAAACAGATTTTGACCACAAAACTTGCCCAAGTCATTACAAGAGCAAAGGATTGTCCTACAAACCTCAATGATTCATCTGACTGACCAAAAATCTTTCCAACCATGGAAAAAAAATGATGGTGGTGACAAAAAAGTTTTTATCAAAAAATTAACATTTTAATTTGGCACATGAATATGGGATCAGACACTCTAGTTTAGCAATATTTGGATAAGTGAATGGCCAACATTTGTTAAATCCGGTCCATATTTGATTTCTCCAACTGTCCAGAAAATTTTAGAAGGACCCAAGTCACAGAGATGGACATGAAACTAAAGGAAGGACAATGTACTCTATATAACACAGCCACATTGAAGGAAAGGCATAAATATACTGCACACAACACAGTATCCCTTATGTATATCTATTTTTGGATGTTCAACTATTATATTATATGCACTTTTGTTGACAATTTGTTCAGTAGTACCTTGATATGTGTGTGTTACTTACCTGCTCTAGTTGTTCAGTGGTACCTTGATATGTTAGTATTTCTTACCTGCTAAATATGGAACTGTTTGGGGAGTCACCTCAAACTTGTCCCTGAAAAAAAATTAATATGTCAATCATATGTAATAATTCAAATTTTTTTTGATAACATTTCAAATTTCCATTCTCCCACACACAGGTTTTACATATTTCATAATTCTGAGTAGATAATTAATGTAAAGTTGAAATTTTCGTGAGGGTTTTATATTTCATACAGAAACTTCTTATTTTATAATTTTTTTATTGAATCTCTATACATGATTTATTATCTTTAGAATTTTATTTTGTGTGTAGGAATCAGAAATGCCATAGTGTAAAGCATAGATTTGATTTTAAACAAAACCTCTTCATCAGCATGTAATTAAAAATCATATTTTAAAGTGCATAGTTAGATAAATTATCTTACTGGGTCAGGGGTTTAAACTAGTGTGGGTGCAAGGTCCAGGACCTATCTTTTCTAGAAGGGGACTTTTCATTTTTGAATACAAAAAATCAAGGACCTTCCATTCTTTACACTAATGCTTTATACAGGACCATTGAATTTCTTATGGGAGACCTTTCACTGAAACTTTCAAATGGTCCTGGACCTTTAATTATTTAAAGCAAATTTGAACCCCTGCTGGGCAACACATTTTAATTATGCAAATATTGTTGAAATAATGGGTCATCCAGCTAAACTTGTATTGGAGTAAAATTGCATTAGAAATAAATTATGCATTTGTGTTGGAGGTTTGTAGAACTTATTAGAAACACACTCTTTCTTGTTAAATTTGCATGGTTAATGAGGTGTGGAAGAAGTACCCTATCATAACAATTTTTCTCTGATAGTATTGAATGTTTTAACTGGTATTAAAAAGAGAAATATTTAGATGAGTAGACCTATAGATGTCATATCTCAATGTTTTTGTTATTTGAAGAATAGGGTTTTATGGCAGATCTTGGATAGTTTCTGGTTAATTTATTCACAACTTTTACATAATCAGGACCATTTAGAGTACCTGTCTTTTCTTGGACTGTACATATATACATAGTTGCCAACTCACATGATATTCAGGTGTAATACACTCTTTTCCAACGGTTTACACGCAAAGATTTTGTCACATGGCATGTACAAGTTTTTCGCCACTTTACACACCATTACACGCTTTTTCGTTGTTTTGATATTTTGGTCGTTTTTTTTGTGAGAGGTGTACTAGCTACCTGATAAAGCATTCAATGGTATTAATATCATAAAATTCTTTTTCTTTTTTAGTTTCAAATCTAGGCTCTAGCCAACAGATTTCCACATGCCATAGGGGATGGGAATATCACAGAACTGTTTGATCAGTTCCAAGGATCCGGAAATTTTTCCACACAATTTCGGTCATTTTGAGATGATTGAAAAGTTGGTGCCCCTTTCCAAATTGTCGATGTCAACTTGACTAGATTCATATCATTAACGAACTGCTGTTTCGTTGCATTTACTGAGTAAATGTCTTACCATTACTATGAAGAACAGTTAAGGGAAGGCAATAGTTTAAAATTGAAATGATTTTAATGACTCAAAATGGTAAATCTCTCAGACATTGCATACGTTTCTTTCGATTTGACAAAAGTTCAAACCGGAAGTTTGCGATAAAGTACGAATAATTCCGGATTCATTTCCGGGATTTGTTTTGTTTATCAAATTGACAGGAAATCATCGGCTTTTTATGGTTTTTTAAATTTTTTTACCTTTAAAAGTGTTTGAATGTAACAGACAATAGTTGCACTCGTTTAATTTAGCATGAAATCAATTTGCATTTTACGATTAAATATTAAATTTGCTGAAGACAATTTCATGCATGCGTATTATATAGTAAATAAAGCACATGAAAAAATATTTTTTTCTCCTTAAATTTAGGTTTAATTTTTAAATCTGATTTGATGATTGTCTTTGCTGAAAAGTAATTAATTAATGAATACACTTGTCAGGGAATTTCAATTTTTGTTAAGAAATTATTCTGAGCTTGTGATCACTGTCAGGTGTGAATTAAAACCACAGGTAAAAAGTGATTAGCGATCATTAGCCAATGTTTCCTGGAGGCATTGATATAGATATTAGGAGGGCCCTCAGGATTATCAAACTACTGAAGTGGCAGTTTTATTACAGGAAAGGGATTATAAACAAAAACAAGTGATCACAACTTACACAAGACAGTGCAAAATGGCGATTAAGAAATCCAATTTCAAACATTTAGTCAATGAAATGACCGAAATTACTTCTTTAAAAAGATAAAATTTGTCCTAAATCCCAATTACTCGTTTAGGACAAATAGTTTCATCTTAGGACATGACTGGCATATATGACCGTTTCCGGACCCTTGATCAGTTCTCAGAGTACCAGCTGTCTCCTCCTGATGAACTACCCAGCTTTGACCAGGAAATAGCAACATTCTGGTTAGCAATGGCAGACATAGATGACATTGTTAATGACAAAAAATGTTATTACATTCTTTCAAAGCTTGCTAAAGCTATTTTAGTTCTGCCAAATAGCAATTCTGACTGTGAGAGAACATTTTCAATTATAAAGAATATTTACACTGAATTCAGATTAGAACTCAACAATGATATCATGTAAATTTAACCAAACTGGCAGTTGTTTTGAATATGTGCCTAGTTGTGTTGTTTTGAAAGCAGCAAAACAGGCAACTGTTGAATACAATAAAAGTTCACACTAGAATATTGTTTTTTTATATTGAGAAATTTGTATTATGTTCATATTAAAAAGTCTGCATCTAAGTCACGTGTTTTCACACGCTTTTGACATGTCACGTCATGTCATGACATGTTTTGTCATTGTCAGAGGATGGCATGTATGCATATATATGTTGCCTCAAGATGTTTTTTTTTTGGTTGGGTTGCTGTCCCAATCTCATTGACTTTTACCTCACATTTCTTTTCGCTAATTTTGATACTCCTAGGGGTTAACATATATTTCTTTGTTGCTTTTCAGTCATTTACAAGAGGGAGTTAATCACCTGTTTTTGTTTGAAATTGTGTAAGAAAGTGGGAGGTAACCTACCTGTTTGTTGGTTTGACAGTAATGGACAAAAGTTGGTTTAGAACCCGTATTGTTCTGGAGACAGTCGTTGCCTGAGGATGTCTGAATCCTGAAACACAGAAATATTTGTTCATGTCAATATTCTGTAATATTTTAATGATTTAATTTGCTACTTGGTTTCAAAACTTCATGTTGTAAAAATCAAATATGAAAAAAAACATTACCAAAAACTTCTCATACTTAATTTGCCATCCATGACTATAAATAATAAAGTCAATTCACATAATATTTTAGTCTTAAATGTTATGGATTCACCGTCACTCTGATTCATTTATTTTCATGCATACCAATTTTCGTGGATTAGGGAAAAATTATATTTTCTTGGATATTTGATTTTGTGGTTTTGACAAATTCGACATACAACCCTATAAACAATCTGTTATTTGTTGAACATTTAAGGTGGTACCTAACACTACAGGGAGATAACTCTGTAAAAATCAGCTAAACGTTTTAATTACGATGTATTGTTAAGGAAATATTAAGCTTCTCAATGATCAAATTTAGTGTTTGTCAAACTGCTATATAACCAATGAAATTTTTCTGATAAAGTGGTTGGTTGAAATTTTTTGAAATTTTTATATTTTTGTCAAAGGGTCAAAGTAAACATTTTGTCAAAATTTTATGAAAATTAAACGAGCCAAATTAATATTACTCAAGGTGTTGGGTACCACCTTAAATAGTGGTTTTCTTTATCCATGAAATCAAGGAAAATTGGTTTACCACGAATAAAATAAAACCACAGTATGTTACCTTTGAGTAAATGACCAACCAAAGCAAAATTAAAATTGGCTTTGAAGCTGAGACCCATGGCATGATCCAGCTGTTTGAAGTGCCATTCTAAAGGCTCTCTTGTCTCAATCATGATGACCTCTAATGGCTGAAACATGAACAAATCATAAATCAATTTTACAAAAATAATAACACCTAATCATAAATAAAAATAATAAATACCAGTGGTCTTAAAAAAAAGGTTTAATTACTACAATAATTTAAAATGTGTTCCTTATTGGAATTTCTACACAAGAACAACAAAAAAAGGATTAAGATATACTAACAAATTCTATTCAAAACAAAATATATAAAATTGTACATGAGAAAACTTGAGGTACTATGAGGTAAAATGATAATCCCTACCTCTTGCTTTTTTTTGCTAAGTGAAACCCCCAAAAATAATTTTGATAACAAATTTATTTTAACTTGGTGCACAAAGGCATTATTTGGTGAAAGTTTTGAGAAAATTTCATTAAATTCTGATTCTGGGTTAAGGAGAAGTAGATACAAATGGGTACTGTTGTGTGAATGTCATGAGGATGAAGAAATGAAATTGAAGTACATCATGTGAGTAAGAGTCATTGAAAGTTTCATAAATTCAGTTGAGCAGTTCAGGAGCAGCAGTTAATGCAAGAGTGGGATAGAAGGATGACAGACAACAAAAAGCATTTTATTTCACCCTTGCAAAAAAGGTTGAGTTATAATATATCCAATTTAATATGAAGTTTGTATATCAAAGGTAAAGATATACATTGGCAGTGATGTGCTTTTGGTTTGCATTGACCTTGTTTTTCATTTTTAAAAACTAAAAATAAATTCCTTTATAATTCTGTTTTACAAACTACTTTTTTGCAGAAACATTGTAATTTCTTTCACATTTAGTCCTTTAAAACCTACAGGTTATTTTCACAATTTTCTAAATTTCATCATGTATTTATATAAGGGAAAAGATTCTTCTTGATTTACATATTCAGGACAATTCATATTCACTTATTTTTCTACTTGCGAAACTCACGAAATATAAATTTCTTGCAAAAATTAGTTGGTTTTCAATATATTTCACAGATAGAAAATACTATATACTGAATATACATACCTTTATATCAAACAGTCCCATGTTATCAAGAGTATGTAAATTTTGTTCCAACAAAGCCAGGCCTGCAGCGTATAGTGATATCTCATCTAGTTGTAACACAGATATAGCTACCCAGAATAGGAATTTATGGATCGGAGAATCCTGTTAATGGCAAAAATAAAACATTTAAGAAATAAAGACTTTGGCTGCATATTAGTTAATAAAATATGGTTTAATTGACCCCCGGGCTGTTCCAGATAAATGTTTATTGGAGTCTTTGAAAGCACAGTTTTTTTTTTAGAAAGAAAAGAGCCTAAAACTAAGATGTTTTACACTATCTTTACCAAACCACCAAACACAATTAAGGCTGTTCCAAAGCATATTAGGTGGGGGGTGTTAGGCACTCCAATTTAATAATTAAACATGGGTGGTTGCATTTTCCTCAGAATTTTGTGAGAATGAAAAGTAAAATGAAAATTTTAATTTTATGGGAGGTCAGGGTCTTTAAAAAGTGCCACCCATACCCCCAACCCCATGCATTTAATTCTGGAACAGCCTTAATATGGAAGTGACCTCAAAGAAGGAAGTTGACCTTTTCTTTAACAGCCCTCATTAGAAACCATAAAACTTGAGTAAATTTTCAAAAAAAAAAAAAATTCTTTACTTTTATTTTCTATAACGGCTTTTTTTCAGGTAAAGAGTGGATACTTGTTCGTTTAAGTTTTGCATTATATTCAATGCTGGTCAATCAATTCATGGCATCAAATTAATCTCTTGCACGGTTCATTTAAAATTCTTCAGAAAATATCCAAAGAGACACAAGTAACTTACAGATCGAAGTAAAGGCTGTAACCTGGTGAGACACATGACAATGGCTTCGATCAACACAAGGTCTGTAAAGGATTCTAATGCCTACAACAAACCAAAATTGCTATGATCAATATCAAAATTTGTGAAACTATTGTTTCAGCTTGTAAAAAAACCCATTCTTTTATTACTGTATTAATTAGCATAGTTTTGAAATTATCTGTATCTGTTTATTTTCATGCATTGTAATTGCAATTTTTATTTCCTTTCTTTTGTGCTCTTTATTCACTGTGTTTCTTGCAAATTTTTAAAAAAGCAATGTGCAAACTATATATAATCTTGTACTCTGTTTACTTTATTCATTACTTTTCTAGATCCTCTGTGATTTAGGCCTTGATATCCGCTTATTTTTGACGACCCTTACTTGACATCTAGAAGTTTTCTCCAATCAATTTCACAAATAATCTTATGAGAAAAAAAACAACTTGTAAGTCATGAACATTTCAGCACTTGTGGCTCTTTTCACAAAAATGGTAATGAACATTTCAGTATTAAACTTACGACCAATTTCAAACGAAGATTTATTTAAAAGAGTCGCTTCTCTTTTATTTTATCATTTTTCGGTCTTATTGACATATACCTGACTATTTGTTTTAATCATACAACAAGGAATCTCTTGATTTTTCAGGTGTTTTGATTCCTGCAAAATACTTTTATTCGTGGGGTACCAATTTAAGTGCATTTTTGAGGATGGCTTTATCAACAAATTTAAGTGTCCAATGATATATAACAACTGTTGTCCAAATCAAATTCTTCACTCGATTTCTTTCAGAAAACAAAATCCATGAATTTAAGAACCTATGAACATGAAACTTTTGCTCAATCCACGAAAATTGATACCCATGAATAAAAGTACTATCACAGTAATCTTATATGATTTTTTTCCTTTTAAAACCACATTTAAACCAATTTGTTAAAACTGACCTTCATCATGATTTTAAGTAACTGTTTAACTTCTGAGTCTGTGACAGTTTTACTTATACAACCAAACACAATAATAGCTCTTGGTTGTAAGGCTGGATTATACTGGAATGCAAATCTACAAAATAAAACAGCTTTTAATCAGGAGTAAACATGACAATTTGAAACACACTTTTTCTTTTCTTTTCATATAACTTAATTTAGAAAATAAATCCAACTGGTTAGACAACAATCAATCAAACAGATTTTGTTTTTGAGCACATGAAGAAACTATATATATATATCCCTTCTGCAAACCTCTTATTCCTCATTCAAGTTCTGCTAAATTTTTGGTCTATTTTGATTAAATTAGCTCTCAAAATTTGTATTACCTTTCCCCTAAAAACATCTTGGTTTCGATCATCACTGATGCAACATTATTTGTCAGAATGTACTGCTTGTGCAGTAAAATTAGTACCATTTAATGTTATAACATGGAAGTTGCTCCAAAAAAATAGTACAGTTCTAAATTATCATTGATAATTGAGGATTCAAACATCCTATACAAAATCACTAAGGCTATACAATTACCATCATTTCCTGTCATATAAAAGCTTGTCATTACTGTAAATTCAGAAATTATTGCGAGGTTTTCATTAATGATAATAATGCGACTAGGTGAATATCATTTTCATAGAGATTAGCAAAGTTTTATATTTTCGATAATCTGGTTTAATTCAATCCATATTTGTGTTGGTATTTGGCTCATAGCCGTATATGGTATTACAGATAAAGGGCACTTTCATATGGTATTTTGAAATTTAATTTCCTGAATCGGCATTTGAAGCTGCTGACAATGAACCAAGAACTACAGAAAAATTTCAAGAGAAACAAAAAATAGCAATAATAAATCTCATATATTTGTTCATTCTTCAAAAATCAGAATAATAAATGCTCGCAATAATTTTTGAATTTCCAGTATTTCAATATCCCTTATACCTTTTTGAAAGATCAGTCCACTGTTGTAACCAATCACAATTTGGAATGTCTTTAACACTAGCCTGAAATTGACACTGGTCAAACTAGGAAAACATGATTTATGTATTAGTTATTATCATCTTTAGCAAATAGTATCATCAAATTTCTACTCTACTAATAAAATCATATAATCAGGTTTAACTGTATTTAATGCTAATTTGCTCTGATGTAAATTTTAAGAATATTCATTGTGCATATACTACATTGATACGTTTTTCTTGCAAGTTGTTGAAATGATAAGAACATGCAACACACATTTTATCAGTGACCGTGATGGTGATTTTTCTATTTTTCAATTATATTTAAGTTCAACATTTCTTTTTTTATCTAATCCTTACATTTTTTTAATTTCATCTCTATAATTTCTAATAGAGAATCAAAAATTGTTTCCAAGTCAGGAATGTAACTTTAAGAACTGTAACACTAAAAATTTGTTTGTTACATTTGTTGAAATGATCCTACAACCCTCATTGTATCAGTATCAAATTTTTCAATTATTTTTTAAGGTTCGACATTTTTTAACTCCTATTCTTACGATTGTTTTCAATCTCACCTCCATAATTTCTAACAGAGCATCAACAATTGTTTCTAATGAACTAAGTGACAATTTCTCATGTTCTGGTGCCGACATGGTGAAGGACCGATCTCCTGGTCGGAAACTTGTACGGAATGCACTGACTGCGGCAGATTTTACTTTACTGATACCAAACAACTGGTAGAATTTTGGCAAGGAAAACTCTGCAAGGCTCATCTTCAATACCTTCAATGTCGCTTCTGTTTTCAAGAAAATTGAGAGAAAGAACAAAACATATTTTATTAACTGCTTATCACCCACATAATCTATATTTAGAATTCTTGATTGCACTAGAAAAAGATTCTTTTTTATTTTGTGTAAATATGCTGAAGTTTCAACATCACTTCAAACATGCAAACATACATGTTGTATCTTGTTCCCACATGCACCAATTTGTTTTTCCTATTGGCTTTTATTTTTGTTCAGTTTTTTCACATAAGAATCTAGTACGTATACCCTGTAACAGTCTATTTTTAACCAAGCAGATTTACTGTTTCATCTTTGTGCAATATTAATGTCTGTTTCACAATCTTAACCCTTTTAATTATTTACTTTTTCATACTGATTTGACATTTAGTGCTGTATGTACACTTGTTCCTATTTATCAGTTGTAATTGGCTTTGAACTAGCTTCAGAAACTGTGAGTACTCTTAGATAGGCACTTTGCATCTTTCATATTTTTGTTAGATGTTTTTTTTGTAAATTCTTAATAACATTAGAAAAATTTAGAGTGTATTTCTAATTTTTGTAAATATTGTTAAATTTTCAACACCAATCAAAGCGTGCAAACATAAATTTTATAAGTTATCATTCTTCTTATTTTCTTTTTAAATTCTGCACATTTAATAGATGTTTTTTGATACCTGCTTTCATTTGTATGATGGTAAATAAATTCCTGTGTACAAACTATGATTTTTTTTTAAATACTATAAAAGATTTTCTCTAATTCTTCGTCAATTTATCTCTTTCTGCACCCATTGTATAAAAAAAATTTAATCAACGTGTGGTTCGTTTGATCTCAGTTCTTCATTGGTTAAAATCCGATTATGACGTCGAATTTTCTTGCTTTCCTCTGAATTTCCTATTGTGACGGCATGAAAAAAGGCGACCATGCCTGATGACGTCACATAGAAAGAACACATCTTTTTGCAGATCATTCAAAAAGAAGGAATAACTTTGCCTGCATATTGTTTGAAAATCATTAGAGAAACAGATTCCACCACCAAATCTCGTGTAATACGATATTTATCCACTCTCGACATAAATTTTAAATATTTAAAACGCTCGGCGAGCCTCGCGTTTTAAATTTGAAAATTTAACTGTCTCGAGTGGATAAATATCGTATCACACTCGATGCAGTGGTAGAATCTATATTTCTACCCCAGGAATAGATAACTGTATTTGGCAAAACCTTTTGGAATTTTGGGTTCTCAAGGCTAATCAACTTCATAATTTATTTGGCCTTTTAAACTTTTATGAATCGACACTCACTGATTAATCTTTTGTAGACGAAAAGCGTGTATTGCATATACAAATTTAATCCTGGTATCTATGATGAGTTTTTTTCCACATCAAATAGAAATAGGGCCGTCTTAAACTTGCAGTGAGGTGAGAGGTTTTTTTTGTTTAGTTTTGCTCTGTGTTGAAGGCCCCACTGTCACTTTGAGATGAAGAACCACAATGAAAGCACTGTGACTTTGCCTTTTGTGTTTTTTGCTGTGCATGTACTGATTTTGTGTTACGGGATGGATACCCACATCCTTTGTATTTCTATTATATTTACAAATTCTAGATTAACCAATACAATTTTACAATGATACCTTTGAAATTAAGCTGTGAACATGTACACAGAGAATGGATTATGTTGATAACAAGTCCATGTGTGGAGGCTCTCAGAGACAATGGTCCTGTACATACAAGTAATGTCACAATGTGGAATAAAAATGGCAAATGGCTGGCAACTGTAAACAAAAAGACAGATTAAATATTCATACAAGTAATGTTAAAATGTGGAATAAAAATGGCAAATGACTGGCATCTATAACGGATATCCTATAAATTATCATACAATCACTTTTTGATTGTCAAAACATACATGTCCTGTCTGTGTTTTTGTTTGATGCTTTTCTTTGTATCAATATGATGAGTTAAGCCATTTTCAACTGAAAATTATAGTTTGTTCTTATGTTGTGATGTTACACCACTGTCCCAGGTTTTGTGCTGTTACACCACTGTCCCAGGTTAGGGGAGGATTGAACGCTCACAAATATGTTTAACCCGCCACATTCTTTATGTGCCTGTCCCAAGTTTATAGGAGCCTGTAGTTCAGTGGTTGTTGTTGGTTCATGTCTATCATATTTTTTTTTTTCCTAAATTTTTTTGTTATAAATTAGGCTTGAATTGTTTCATATTTTTCATGTCAGGGCCTTTAATAGCCAACTATACCATATGGGTTTTTCTCATTGTTGAAGGCCATAAGGTTGCTTATAATTGCTTACATTCACTTCATTTGAACTTTGGTGGATAGTTGTCTCATTGGCAATCATACCACATCTCCTTATTTTTATACTGGTTACTCAACCATCTGATGATTTGTCATGAAATATAAGTTTCTTCATGAGTAGATATCTGGTAACTTACCATCTAATGAGTTATTGAATGACAACATGAGTAGATATCTGGCTAAGATGGCTATGTCGTCCCACATCAGATGTTGTTCTAGAGTGGGTGTTGGTGAGGTACATGTCTTGTCTATCAACTGTAAAATAAAACATGGAGTAATGAGTATACAAATTACCACTATTGAGTAAAAACACTCTGTCCTTAAAGAAGATATTTAAAATGCATTTCGTGATAAAAAAAAATTAAGTCTTGATCTTATGGTTGTAAGACATGTCTATATCTGTAATAGTGGGAAAGTGCATGTTATTCATACAGTCTTCAAAGCATTATTCAAGAGGCTGTAGATTCAAGAAATTTTCGGAAAGTTTAAATCATGCTTTGTTTTTTTAAGTCCATTACCAGAAAAAATATATTAACTCAAATATTCCTCTAATTGGTGATACGTCTACCAGTGAGTAATCTATGATCTGTTGCTATAAGTGGGACCATTGTTGACATAAATCAATAAACCCAATTCTTATCCTAATATGGACGTGTCTAAGAAGCATATCCTTTCAACTTCTCTTCAGATTCGCTACAAGACATGCACATTTTTCATTAGACACTTACCCTGCATAATCGTCCAATGACTTTTCTTGACACAAGTTGTACATTAGCAGACGTCAAAGCCACAGCTGTGTCTGCCATTATTTCTGCCTGTATGGATCCTAATCCTCCTGTCACACTCCTCTGTCAAATTTCAACATAGAAATTTTCATAATGCAGTATTTATTATTACAGTAACTGACATTTTATTACGATGCAAGCAACAAAAAGTGTATATGAGATGATCAAAGATCCAGGTCAATAGTTTGAATTATCAATAGGAAACACCCCTTTCCAGTTCGACCAATTTCAAATTAAACTATTTTCTTTTCATATACCTAGCCTATGACAAAAAGAAGATGATGACCATTTTTTACAATTACCTGCAATAAGGGCCAATTACACTGCAAATCAAAAAGTGATTGCAAGTTTTGGGAATGCTACATCAAAATGTTAGCCCAGAAGCTTATTATTGAGTAAACTAGGGATTATGCAAATATTCTTTGTTTGTACCATCTAAATAAAAGCTAACATTATCATTCTTATAAGTTGGGAGATAAAGGGTCTTATATAAACGTCATATTCTTTACACTAACTTATTTTCAAAAGTGATTTATAGACATGTAAATTTGCAACTTGAAAATAACAGGAACATGTCAAACTTTAGAATACATCAACAAAGTTTAAAAATCGTGAAAATAAAATCCCTATGAATCAGCTACAATGAGCTAAACGTGAAATAAAGTATCTGCAAAAATAAGATAGTTTACACTAACATGACTAATAACATATACTGTAGTTTGGGATATTTTTATGTCCTGTCTAAAAATTTAAACACTTTCCCGGCTAAGATAAATTTTCATCGAAAAGGCTTAATACTTAAAATTAATAAAGGAGTAGGTCCAGTAAGACCCCTTTTTGGCCCCAAAATATAGCATTTTTACAAATTTGTTGAAATGTAAACTTTTAGCTATTTATTGGAAAGTAGAATACTTCTGTTCCATAAATATGGGCTGTTTTTGACAATACAATGCACATGTATGCATCAGGTACTAGCATCATAAATTCATGCAATATTACTGAAATATTCACAATTTTATTATTTGTGCTAATTCTAAGACGGTTTTTGTCTAAAATGGAAGTGGCCGCATTTGTGTTCAGTCTTAATATTTAAATATATGTTGTATTTGATGATAATATATAACATATATAAAGGTTGGGCATGAACACGAATGTGGCCACTTCCATTTTAGACAAAATCCAACTGAAAAGTGACGTATCATGCCATCTTTGATAGTTTTTTCATACTCAAGCTTGAATTTGAGCGTCTTTCATGACCAAACCAATCTAAATCTTTTACATAAACTAATTGAATCGACTGAAGTAGACTCTTAAGTGTTTAAAAAATGTAAAAACTCTTTCATCAGATGTACTTCAAATTTTAGGCAAAACTAGCCCTTACCGGACCTTCTCCTTTGTAATTCAAAGATTACATGTACTTTACCTTAATAAAGCTATCCAGAACCATGTCTAAGAGATCAGCAACCTGGCCAATGTTTCCCCAAATCTTGGCTTGTATAGATGGATACATCTACAACATACATCAAGCTTTCTTTGAAAGATTCAACTAAATAATATATGCTCTCTTTTTAATCATTCAACAACTGGTTTAATACAAATCTTGTACATTTTCTCTGTTACATATTATAAATATTTCTTCCAATATTCTTATTTCATTCTTATACATCAGGATTGTCTCACAGTAGTACCCACAAAAGTTATTTACTTTTCTTTACACAATTTTCTTTAAAAAAAAGTGAGCAACAGAACAATAACTGTTCATAAGTCTGTTTGGGTTGCTAACCCCATTTTGTCAATATAACGGAACTTTAAACAACTGTCATACACGAGGGAGGTTTAGCTAGCCATAAAACCTGAGGTTTAACCCACCATTTTTCTTCGGAAAATGCCTGTGCCAAGTCAGGAATATGACAGTTGTTTTTCATTCGTTCTGTTGATTGATAGCGTTTGATTTTGTCAGTTTTTATGGACCTACCCTTTTTGAAATTTCTTCCGAGTTTTGTATTTTGGTTATACTTTTTTTCGTATTTATGAGTTATCTTAGTTAACATGAGAATATAACTTTGTTTTTATGTTTAATTTTATTTAATACCATTTGGTGCACATTTTAATATTAAAGCATTCAGCATTGTTAGTGGACAAAACATGATACATGTAGCTGACAGTAAAATTTCATAGAGAACTGATTGATTGATTGATTGATTGATTGATTGGTGTTTAACGCCACCTTCAACACTATTTTGCTATTTCATGGTGGTCAGTTTTTATTGGTGGAGGAAGCCATAGAGAACTGACAAACTCAGTCTGTTTACAGTAGATAAAGACCATCATGTCAATTATCAAATGATCATAGCGAGTTCAGAATGCCTAGAGGAGTCCAAAAAAGGCTAAAGTTCATCTATACAGACACAATATGCAAATTCTAGAGTTTATCAATCATTGAAGGAATCAAATAATTTACAGTAATATTTTAGCATCCCACCAAAAAACATTTAATTTCACAGACCAAAAGTGATTCTTTGCAAAAGTCAGCAGAAAATTAAGTTCAGTTGTCGTAAAGTTCTGTGACTTGAAATTGGTGTATTTCAATCCCCTACCCTCATACACACTTTTCCGCCCACAAGGCCCTAATATAAATCTGTCTCATAACCATGAGTGTCTTATACATGCAGTAAGAATACCACCATTTATAATAAAGACGGAAAAAAAACCTTATTCTAATTCATATCATACAAACATGTTTTCATACCTCAACTTCCTCTATAGTCATTGTAATTAGTTTGTCAAGAATCAACGCCACTTTCTGGCGCTTGTTTTCATCTGTATGACGACAAAACCTGCAAGAAAAGATTTAATACTTATGATTCAACTCATCAATTTAATAAACATTGTTTTCTGGAATTATTTACATTATTTGAAATTCAACAAGAGATGCAAAATGTGTATGGTTTCTTAACATAAAGTTTATACTGGTATTACGAAGAAAATATGAGGAGAACTGGATATCTGATCAATGTATTTAGGAGGTAATGTAAATTTTTATGAAGTTTTGTATGATATTAGAACTCACTGAACTGCACCTGAATCTTGAAAAATGTCTACATGTAGCATTTATACATCCAGAGATACAATTATTTAAAAAGATAAAGAAATACTGGTATAAATGTATTATGCATGTAAAAAGTGCCATCAAAAAGATTTTTTCCAATTTAATTTCAATTTCTCGAAGTAGGAATTTGTTTAAAAATTAAATGTTATTACTATGATGTATAGAATAAAATTTAATTCTTTTCATAATAAAGTAAAGTTTTGTCTTTAGACAATCATAATTTGATCAAATCTTTAGAGATACACCAGAGTTGTATAACCCTCAAGATAAGTCACATGAAGCTACATTTTTGATACCGTGAATTTTAGTAAAGATTATAAGACTTAAAAATCAGCCATGGTGTGAAATGAAATATAAGAGGGAAATTGGCCTTCATCTTTAATATTTTCTAAAAAAAAAAATTACCTTTGCTGTTTATAATCATCATCTAAATGTTGACTTATGTACCTAAAGGAAATGATGAAACAAAAACACGATTGTGAATATCAAATGGATTTTTATTTATACACATTCATATATATGAACAACAAAGATAATTTTTATGAATTTCATTGGCCTAAAATTAATCTCAATTATTGGAGGACACCAGTCATGCTAGTTCAACTGAATGAAATCAAAGACTTTAAAATTGAAATTTGCTACTTTCCCGTGATCCACACGAAGTTAAGGACCTAGAGCAAAGTTTGACTGTCTCAGTGTCATCATAAAGTGTCTGAATGGATGATATGTCTTTTGGCAGATTGTTATTTTGTGAGCTAGCATGTTTAAAGTGTCGGTCTAGTACAAAGCAATGTATTTTTATATGACGTTGACAATTCCTGCTCTCAATATGCATATTATAACAGCCATTTAAGATAGGATAATACATTCAGCCTTACTCAGGACATCTACAATACCTACATAGGCAAGCTAGAACCACTGGAATATTTAAGTGCCAGTCTTTGTAAGAATCAGGCAATTTTTTGAAAAATATCAAAGCATGGCCAAAAAAAAAAAAAACTGACCTAACCATCCTATCTTGAAGTTACCCCCATCCTGAATTAGAAATGGTTGGTCTTTCATTTCTCTGGTAATTCAAGAAACTCGAGATAACTTTTGGTTAGATTGATAGCAAATTACGGAGTTAGCTCCCCTTAATTGTTAATTTCTAGTGCATTTCAACTAACTTATATCTTAAATTACCAGAACAGGAAAAGGAAACAAATGTTATATTAGTGCACCATTATACATTTTGAACATAAAATAATGTCAACTTGAGTGGGTTTTTGTTTGTCATGTTTTCACAACTGCCTGATTCTTAGGCAGATTACTGCCTGATTCTTAGGCAGATTACTGCCTGATTCTTAGGCAGATTGGCACTTAAAACGCCTATTTTGAAATCATTTCTTGTTGAAGATAAAGTATATTTTTAGTGTAATGATAAATAATTAAAATAGAATCAAGAACATTTTTTTTCTGCATATTTTTATCGGATGCTCTTTATGGAGAAAACAATAATGTTGTGCAGTAATTTCAACAATAAAGTCCTGTTATATAAAATACTTTTGATAGATAAAAATATCTGCATTTCAAAGAAACAGATAAATGAATATTTCTTACCAATAACATTTATTTTAAAATCATAAGAATAATTGATAAATAAAAATTAAATATAAAATAGGCCATCATAATAAGATTTGATCCACTCTTGATTCATATGTGAATTTAGTTCACTTAAAAGCAAATTTCTGAGGATAGATATAGGTTTTTGAGAAACTAATATTTAAAATGGGGAAAAATCCATATTTACAGTGCTTTAGAAATGCATTCTATATATCTATTTATGCATTTTACCCATTTTTAATTAATTGTATCTCTGGAAGTATAAATGCTACATATATCATTTTTTTTATATCCAGACAGAGTTCAAAGAGTATACAAAATTTTATATAAATGGAGAATGTGTCCTTGGGACACAGATGATGCCCCCGCTTGCATAAAACGTTACAAAGGGACATAACTAGAGAACTGTGAAAGTGATGCCACCCCATTGGAACTTGATCTGTGTTTTATGGTAATAAGCATTGTGTATAAGTTCCATAACATTTGGTTGAGGCAAACTAAAGTTAAAGAACAGAAACAAAAAATTCACAATTTTTCCATTTATAAAGGGGCATAACTCAGGAATGGTATAAGTGTCACCACCCAAATTCGAACTTGATCTGTGTATTGTGATAATAAGCTTTGTTTATAAGTTTCATAACATTTAGTCAAAGAAAACAGACGGACAAGGGTAAACCTTAATGCCCCTTCTGCGGGGGCATAAAAACTATGCCAACTACATGTATGTATTTAGCTTTAAAGTGTTTATTTGAGGGAAATGTTTTTTGCTCTTCAGTATAAAGGAGAAATGTATTTTTCAAAATTGCACTGCTGCAGATATAATGTCTGAATCCCAGAGTGGCTATCAATCTATAAAAATAACATTCAGTTTTCACAAAAATATTTTAGGATAAGTTTCTTCAGAAATCCCAATTTTATGTGAAAAAGCATTTTATCAATTTTTTTTTTACTTGCAGTCTACACATTGATAGACCTATTTCACAAACTTTTAATTGATTGTAGCTCAAGAAAAGTCAATGCTATATGTTTGTTTTTTTTTTTTATCTTCAGATGCAGTTCATGAAGTTCAGTTCAAAATGCATACAAAATTTCATAATTTTTATGATTATGATTTGCATATCTACAAATACTTGAATGTGATTGGTCAAATGGAATTTTTTTCATTGGTTTACACGTTGATAGACCATATTGCCAGAACTATAATTGTAGCCTAGGTAAACACTACGTTGATATGTGTTAAATCCTATAATAAAATGTGAAATACCGCCCAATTAGGTAGTCTTTGCCTCAAGTTTTTTATAGATTAATACTTAACTTGACCAGTGCTAAAAAAATTACCACTGATCAAGATAAGTTCATTTTTTCCTGACATATAAACTTAATTTTAGTTCACGTTACCTGGTAAGATTTGGTAACCATGGTGTGATGTACTCTAAACACAAATGCTTCAGTTCTATGTTAGAGTTGCCAAATCCCTGAATACATTCCTCTAGAAACTCTAACGTCAGATGAGGCTCATTAGCTGCCAAAGTCTCACTGATTGTCTTGATAAAGATGGTGTTGTTGGCAGGTATACATAAACCTGGATGAATAATAAAAACATTTTGAACTCCTTTTAAATTGTTATAGTTAACAAGTTTCTTGATAACGGAATAACAAATACTTAAATCATGGCAATTATTCTCCTTTTAAATCGATAGATAATATAACTACAAACAATTTGAAAAGACACATGTTATTTTAGTTACAAGTTTTATATTGAATGAATATGCATGAAATATTTGACACTGGATGTTCAACAAGCAATCAATCAATCTTTATCATATTTTGTTTATATAGATTTTTAATTGGTTTTTTTTTTCTTAAAAAAGCCATGATCTTTTCTAGTCCCCTTCTGATTGTTTTTTTTTTTAAATTTCGCCTAGTATATTCAAATGTCTATTATAAAACAAAAATAAAACTACAAAGGAAGGACTATCATCCTCAAAAATTTGTCAATGTTCGATGAGGGTGGTAAAGGGTTATTTTCGTGCAACCTGATCACCGTTTTTTATTTTACGTTCAACATGTTTTTACTTTTTTATTTGACGTTCAGTCGTGCAAGACAAGTGTCTCATTCAAGGTGTTCTGCTCATTAAATTTTAGTAAATTGGGAATATCAAGTAAAGCAGAGAATTTATATATACAGGAAGACAGTGAATCAGTCACAAAAGGTTCACCTTAAAGACTTTATTTTTCGTATAACGTTCATGACAGAAATGATTTCACGTTCAATGTTAAATTACGTCTTATTTCATGTTTTTTCTGTGCAAACACCCCCCCCCCCCCCTCCCCCTTTACCACCCTCATCGACCTGTTTACAGACTAAGCTTTTTCAAACAGCATTTTTCATAACAATACTTCATAAATATCAGAAATTTGATATACTGTAAATTCAAAAATGTTTGCAATGTTTTCATTTTTTTTTGGCAAAAATTGTGAATGGATGGGTTTCGCAATATAGATATGTGCATTTAAAATGTTGATAGCATTATTTGTATGCATCATATTAAAAATCACAAAAATTCATCTCACATTACTGTGCTTAGTTCAGCAATCACATTAATAAATGCACACAATAAATTCCTGAATTTACAGTTCTATGGCGTACTTTGGTAGCGGAAATAATGACCTAGTTTCAACATTGCTGAAAGAGAAATTCTTACAACTGTCGTTAAAATACTACTCACCTGTTGTTTCTAAAAGCTGTCCCTCTATTTTGAGATCAAATGTCTGAGTAAGAGCGCACAATAAATTGTATGCAGCAGATCTAAGACTAGGATCAGAGCTGCCTAAGTTTAACAGAGCTACATTCAATAACGTTCCAGGGACATCCTTAGGTCTAATCTTTGTATGGACCGTTACAGTGTCCTGAAACATGATATTTCACATAAACTGATGGCAAACAAAAATCATTACAATCATTGCACATTTTAACTTGATTTGTATTTCAACAAATAATCATGAAACATTTCTATTAGGACAGTAAAACATTTACAGCCGATTTCAATGAGTGTGTAGCTAAAGGTAATATCTTTGGTAAGCTTGCTTGCTAGCTGAACCGTGAAGTCATTGTTTGGTAAGGTATACTACCCTCCTTTCGAAGTAGCCTAGTCCTACAGACAGATAGGTTGGTTTTCTGTCAGACTAGTCTACTCTTAAAAGAAGGTAGTTTACCTAACCTAACAATGACTTCACTGTTCAGCTAGCAAGCAAGCTAACCAAAGATATTACCTTTGCCTACACACTCATTGAAATCGGCTGTAATTTTCATATTACAATTTCTATTACATATAAAACCTAATGAACCAAATAAAAATAATAAAATTTCCGACATACATTTTTGTTGAATTTTCTATCTAACTAACCTTGAAATATTTATGCAACATGTTACCATTTATAATTTCTAAAATTTTATACTAATATTTATTTTGACTTCTTAGTACTTGATCATTTGATCATCAGTTGAGTAGTTGGTGCTTCAGTACTGTCATGATTTATAACAAATCTTTCTATAAAACTCCCATGTGATAAATTAAGAATTTATTAAGACACTTAACATTAAGTCCCTTCTGGTCATATAGCTCGTAAAGTTGCTAATATCTTAAAATCCCTGGATTTCAAATGTGTAGGCTTGAGCATTCCTGATGAAAGTAAATTCCTGAATAATGCTTGGATATACCAAAGTTATAAAGCATTATTTTCTTTTTCTATTCTTAGTGAAATAAATTTATAAATTACCAGCTTTTGCACACATAAAAAAAAAATTTTTCTGCACTTTCTCCTCCGACTAAATTTTTTAGACAATTTTGTGTGAGCTCTTATACAGGTCAAAAGAACTCCCATCTTGTACTATTGTGCATTAAATTACATGTATAAAATGTTGTGACAATCACTATATACTTACAGGCTGTGAGAGTTCCCATCGTGTTCTGATATGTATGATATCGTGTACAATGTTGTCACAGTCATTATGAATAAACGATAATGGTCCGCTCTCATTGGATATTGTCAGGGTGAACTGGTTATCATCTACTAAACACACCTGAACAAAACAATAAAAAATATAAAGTGAAAGAATTTATTCAGTTTTCTGTATTTCAATATCTAATAACTTTAATAAAATCATCCCAGTTTTTACAGCAGAATGCATCCAGTGTGTAGGTAAAGGTAATATCTTTGGTTAGCTTGCTTGCTAGCTGAACCGTGAAGTCATTATTAGGTTAGGTAAACTACCCTCCTTTAAGAGTAGACTAGTCCGACAGATAACCAATCTATCTTTCTGTAGGACTAGACTACTCCGAAAGAAGGGTAGTATACCTAACATAATAATGACTTCACGGTTCAGCTAACAAGCAAGCTAACCAAAGATTATACCTTTACCTACACACTCAATGCATTCTGCTGTAGTTGTTTTCACATCTCAGACTTTGCATGTCTTACCAAATGTCTTGCAAGTAGGAATTCTACTTTCAAGTTTACAAAGAGATGTCCTAAAAATTGTCATTTGAAAAAACAACAAGAATGTGTCCATAGTACACGGATGCCCCACTCGCACTATCATTTTCTATGTTTAGTGGACCCTGAAATTAGGGTCAAAACTCTTATTTGGAATTAAAATTAGAAAGATCATATCATAGAGAACGTGTGTACTAAGTTTCAAGTTGATTGGACTTCAGTTTCATCAAAAACTACCTTGACCAAAAACATAACCTGAAAAACTTTAACCTGAAGTGGGACAGACGGACGGACAAACGAACGAAAGAACGGACAAACGAACGAACGGACGCACAGACCGAAAAACATAATGCCCATAAATGGGGCATAAAAATTGTCATGTGAAGAAACAAAAATTGGTCAGGCTGATCTCAGGTACACTAGTCAAGTATCATTTGATCTGCTTATAAGTGGGTTGCCTTTTTCAGCTTCAAATTCTAGGGGAATAGTAGTCACCCTAATATAAGTTGGTTGGTATGGCCAACTGTCCTATGTGTATGTTCTGTACAGCAGACATTAGATCATTGATAAAATCACACAAAAAGATAATAAATAACATAATGAACATGTGTATCTCAGTTCAAAGCTGATGTGACCACAAACTATCCTGAAACAGAACTTTAACCTGATAGGAGGCTGACAGACAGATAAGCCAACGGACAGAGGGACACATAATGCCCATGTATTATTGTACGCAGGGCATAAAAAAGTAGATTTAACAGTTTTATCAATTCAGTTATGAGCACACTTAATTTTCTTATTGTGATGACTAAAATGATCAAAGAAATCAATGGCCGCTAATTAACTACTAGTAATTCATTATCATGGAACAACCGTTTACACTCTTCTATGCACCTGTCACTTGTGTGTTTCCACCTACATCTACAATTAGGGGTAATCAATGAATTATTACGGCTTGTCAATCAATACATTACATTTTCTACCTGAGATGTTTTAACCACCCTTGTATTGATCATTTTGCTCAAGCAGAAGGCATCATTCAAATGGTTTATTTTATTATGTAATTTATATAGTATACCATTTAAACTGTGAAAATCATTAAATATACAGATTCATTCCGTTAAATACACATTTAATTAAATTTGGTACATTGTAATCCGCCTTTCACTTCTGGTTTTTAGCTCTTTTACAGATTTAAACAAAAACCATGTGCACATGGAACAAAAACTGTCAAAATAACAGTAAACCAGTCTTTATTTTATTAGTGTCATTTCTAAAGCAGGAGGGCCACAACTCCTGAACTGCAAAATTGAAAAATTGTCAATATAGAACTTGCTTCAATTTTGTCATCAGTAATAACATTGTTAAGTTTTAAAAGCATTTATTAAAATGTCCTATTAAATCACGTACCTCCTCTATCTCTGAAGCATAGTAGACATCATTTAACAAAACCTGGTGTCCCAGAACTCTCAACTTCTCTGCTGATGTTATCTGTATGGCATTAGGACCAACCTGAAAATACAAATATACTTTCTAAAGTTGTTTCTACTTTACAATCGTATCAAATGGTGTTTTGCTTACTCTTCGAGAAAACCTGAAATTATCCGCGGTTTTTGGTGGGGTTCGTGTTGCTCAGCGTATGGTCTTTTTTGTAGGGTTTTGTAGACTGTTACTTATACTTATCTTTCATATGACCATGATATCATCTGTTTTTTTTTCGACTTACATGTATGTTTGTTTGTCCCTATAGTATAGTTTGCCTCTTTTTTTTTATCCCAGGTTTCTTTTTATTATAGCAACTTTGGTACCTTTATGAGACAGCTTGTTTTCACTATTTGAATTTAAACCTGTATTGTGACTTAAGTATCTTTGCTACAAATTGATATTTTACCTTTATAGTAATTTTGGTATCTTTATGGGATAGTTTGAGTGTATTGTTAGATATTTTACATGAATTGTGACTTTAGAATCGTTAGAGAATTCATATTTCACCTTTATAGTAACTTTGGTATCTTTATGAGACAGTTTGAGTGCATTGTTAGAGATTTTGAGATCTTCTTCCAGAGACAATGTTGATCCTGGTAACTTTATCTGGTCTGGTTCTATAAACTCATGTAGCTTTGCAGGATGGTCAATAAACACCAACTTTCTGTTACCCTACAATGAAACACACAAAATGTAAATACTGCAAGAAAAAATGTGAACTTTTTTTTTTTCTAATTATGACTTACTCAAATGAGACTTGTTCGATTATTGTTCTTAAATTCATTTTGTTTCAGCATCAATAAAAACTGATTTTTTTTCAAGATATTGCATGCATTCTTGAAATTTGTATGACTTAAAAACTAAATTCTGAAATTAATTACAGATACATTATGTAGACCTCTACATTGTTGAAAATAGACTGATAGAGTGTAAGTCCTATCATATCATTTTGGTATACTCTCTAACCAAAGAACTTAATTTAGAGATTTCCTTGATCAATGTCATACCTTCCCTGAGAGGAGGCAGGATCCTGTCATGATATTTGGTATACTCTCTAACCAAAGAACTTCATTTAGAGATTTCCTTGATCAATGTTATACCTACCCTTAGAGGAGTCAGGATCCTGTCATGATATTTGGTATACTCTCTAACCCAGGAATTACAGTTGTAGATGTACGCCTGCACAATGTTTTGATACACAGCTTCTGGCATTACCACAAACCATTTTGACAGGAAATCAGTCTGTGATATACGAAAAAGCTAATAAATAAATTCACTGAATTGGCATTATATCAAATACTGTAAAATCAGAAATTTCTGTGTGCATTTATAATTGTGATATTTGAAAAGAAAAAAAATAAGATTATTAAATATGACTTCAGAAAATGCTGCATAAAAAATATATGCATCAATAGATATAAGAAGATGATTTTTGAAAAACCTATTTCATTGCAATTTTCCCAATAATAAAAACATTGCAAAACGTTTCTGAATTTAATTTTTCATTTCAATTATGTAAGGACATGTTTGGTTATCTAAAATTGATATCATATCAAATAATTCATTTCAACTGTGTCAAGGCATTCAATCAGTTTTCAGTTATATAAAAATGACCTTATACATGTATCAAATAATTCATTTCAACTGTGTCAAGGCATTCAATCAGTTTTCAGTTATATAAAATTGACCTTATACATATATCAAATAATTCATTTCAACTGTGTCAAGGCTTTCAATCAGTTGTCAGTTATATAAAGTTGATCTTATATCAAATAATTCATTCTAATTGTGTAAAGGAATTTATCAGTTATCCAGAAATAACATTTGCTGTTTTTGTTTCATTCAACTTCTTTTTGATATACTGCAAAATTAGTTTTTAAATATACTTCAGAAGAAGATTGTCCTACAGATACTTTGCTTAAGGATGTACTTAGGTCAGGTTTAAGAATTTGTGTCAGATGTTTGGACTCCTTGGTTTTTTTCCTACATTATAGGGTAAAATATTTTGCCCCATAACACCCATTTTTCTTTTCATATAAGACTTCAATAGCTCATAAAAGATCATTTATCAAAATTTAAGCAGATTCTAGATTTCTTTTCTTTCGATTTGAGACCCAAATAATACAAATGCAAATATAAGGTAAAATTCTGAGTCAGCCTTTTTAAAATTTAAAATTAAATATCTTGAAAAGGAGCTCCAGAACCTATCAATATTCTTAGCTTATTTTGTTTTTTAACTAATGCTCATCTGACTTATAGTATCAATTTCAAAATCTAGATTTTTTTAACTTCACCTAAGTACATCTTAAGTAAATAAAAAATCTTTTTGTATTTTCTTTTTTCATAATGTACTTAGAATCATTAATAACAGATGAACACACATGAGCAACAACATGGGTGCCACATATGGAGCACATCTGTGTACCCTTCCCCGAAAACACTGAGACTACCCAAGTTTGAGGAGGGTTTATTAGTTTTGTAGATTATTGTTCTTTCTCTCTATATAGCACTTCTAATTGTCCCTTTGGTATCTTTCTCCTCTTTTTACTACTGTCTTTAGGTGTGTATTATACACAGATTTTTACCCTGGGAATGATTTCAGAAAAGGGGGGTGCGTATTATGCATGGCTACACTGTTCTTTAAACTTTTTTCAGGCCAAATTCCAAACCAAGAAACCAGGTGGTCTGGAGGAAAATATTTCCGTAGTATAAACGTGATTGTTGTTATATTTTACATGTATATTTGTACCTTCTTGAATCTGATTTGTAATGTTATATGCAAATAAAAATCATTTAAATGCTTTGGTAGTTGTTTTTTTGCGTTTTCTTGTGTTCTGCTTTGCTGCCCGGAAGTTGCATTTGATCATGTCAAAATTAGAGATGAGGGATTCTGTCAATAGCCAAATTAGTGTAGGTTTTTTTTACTTTGTACACTAGAAGACTTACTCTGAATCTGTTTTCAGCACATGTATGTGTGAAGTCTATAACTAGCTCAAATGGTTTATTGTAAAATGGCTTCAGTGTCAATAGCACATGGTAGATCAACAAATCACCATTTATTTCTCCAACTCTGACAATAAAAAAAAAATTGAATAAATAAAAATGTCTTGGGATTTTTATAATATATATCACAGAAAATGTATAATAGGAGTTGCAACAAATTTGAAGAGAACAGCTGACCACACCACCTATGCTTCCTAGGGCATGTATACTGTAAAGTGTGCAATTTTTGCAAGAGGAATATTTTTTCGTTAACTTTGTGATAGAGATAAAATTTTGAAAATATCCTGTAATATAAATTTCATTGTTAAATAGGATTATCAATGATTATAATAAGAGAAAATAAAGACCAAAACAAAACTTGGTGAATGAAAAATTGTGAAACTCCTCGAAAATTTTCCGTAAGCTTGTATGCAGACTTTTGCAAAATCATAAAAATTGATATTCACAAAATAAAATGAATCCACAGTATGTCTTTTTCCTACTTACTTGTATCTCCTAGCGATATAGTAGAAGACAGGGTGTCCCTGTTTACTGGTCCCAGCTTGGTAGAATATGTGGAGATTTTTCAGAGATTTGAATTCATCCTTTTCATGCATGTTGTGTTTTGACATGATCTCTTCAAACTTTGTGCTGGTCATATCCATACTGCTCCACCTACAAGACACAAGGCTTCTATTGTTTACATGCTTTCACTGTTCTATGATAAAGGCATGGCTTCCAAACTGTAGAAATACTTTGGTACACTACAGTCCATATGGATTTTGCCATTTTCACTTGCCCAAAGTGGGAGTCGCCACAAAAAGGTCAAGACTTCTGGCAACTCCCCTTAACAGACCACAAAGATTTTGCCATTTCCACTTGCCCAAGTGTGGTTGCCACAGAGAGGGCAAAACTTCAAGAAAGTCACCCTAGCAGCACAAAAAGATTTTGTCATTTCCACTTGCCCAAGTGAGGTTGCCACAGAGAGGGCAAAACTTCTAGAAAGTCCCCTTAACAGCCCACAAATATTTTGCCATTTCCACTTGCTCAATTGGGGTTGCCACAGAGAAGGCAAAACTTCTAGAAAGTCCCCTTAACAGCCCACAAAGATTTTGCCATTTCCACTTGCCCAAGTGGGGTTGCCAAAGAGAGGGCAAAACTTCTAGAAAGTCTCCTTAACAGACCCAAAGATTTTGCCATTTCCACTTGCCAAAGTGGGGTTGTCACAGAGAGGGCAAAACTTCTAGAAAGTCCCTTTACAGCCCACAGGGGTTTTGCCATTTCTAATCACCCAAAGCAAAAGTTGCCACTTAGAGGGCAAAACTTGTAGAAAGTCCCCTGTGCCTATTATTTAGATTGAATATGACATTTCTAACCTTTCATCATAAGAACTGAACCTAATATACACTGTCACAAATTATTCAAACTTTTGAAATCTATGTTTGAATAAATATATGGTTTACAGCCGATTTCAATGAGTGTGTAGGCAAAGGTAATATCTTTGGTTAGCTTGCTTGCTAGCTGAACCGTGAAGTCATTGTTTGGTTAGGTAAACTACCCTCCTTTAAGAGTAGACTAGTCCGACAGAAAACCAACCTATCTGTCTGTTGGACTAGGCTACTTCGAAAGGAGGGTAGTATACCTTACCAAACAATGACTTCACGGTTCAGCTAGCAAGCAAGCTAACCAAAGATATTACCTTTATCTACACACTCATTGAAATCGGCTGTAATTGGGTTGGCATATGTGGATTGCCCAAGATGGGCAGGTGAAAGTGATAAAATGCACATGAGCTGTTATGCAGATCAGGATTCTAAATTTAAAATTCTAGAATTGGTTCATAGAGCTGAGCAATATTTATTTTTTTATTGGGTATCTAACAGAAACAGGTCCACCAGTCAAGGCTTGTAAAATTTCTATGAGACATGTTAGAAATACTACTACAGGCCAATAGAACCTTTCCAATTTTTTTTTTAATTTGAGTGTCAGTCTGTAGCTGCAACATTACTAGTAAAGACAGGGGGGAAGGGGGGGGGGGGGGGGGGGCAATGGTAGGTGATGGGATGGTGAGGGTAGAATTTACTGAAAGCTAAATCAAATTAATTTTGTATACACAAAGCAAAATTAGGTCTATCTAGCCATGAAGATACTGAAAACTTTGATTCATTCTGTACAAGGAGAAAATTGTAACTTTGGGTCTCTGGTGGTTCGTGCTTTCTGGTAGGTACTGAGGCTTTAAGGGTGTAATCCTACAATGGAGGTAGCTAGCAATTTTGCATACAGCATAGAAATGAAATTTAAAAAAAGTTCTATTATTCAACATAACGTAAAAAAAAAAGTAATTGTTAAAGCACATATAAATGAGTGTGGACCAATAACAATAAACTTTATTATGCTTGCTTCCTAGGCAGGTCATAAAGTCAATATTACCTTCGTTCAGTACCTAATGAGACACTAATAATTGTAGGTTTATTAGCCAATCAAATTCTAGTACAGGTCACAAAAAGATGACTGAAAAAACGGTTTGACAATTTTATTTTGTACATTCACAGTAGCTAATAAAGATTAATGGTTCATCTTAGATAAAGCAAATAAAAATTTAATGCAGTAGAGACACACCTAAGTTGTTAAACTGTAAAATTTGCCACTATTTCAGGTAATTACATCAATAATTTTGAGAACTTGAAATAGTTAGCAAAAATTTTATTCCGTAAGTACACCTATGTAATTCAACTGTAAAATTTGCCAACTTTATGTATTTCAGGTCTGATCAATAATATACAGAAATAGTTAAAAACAAGTGTATCCAGTAACTACAAATGTCAACTATTTCAGGTCATTAATGATATTCATAACCTGACATAGTTGGCGATTTTACAGCTATTTTTTCTTTCATCTGCACAAAACAGAACTTCTTCGTTCAAATTACAACAATGAGGATACTACAAAATGATTTCTATCAAGGCCAAATTATAAATTGTTCTAGTTATAAAATTAACATAAAGGTTGTCAAAGGTGGAGCAGGATATGCTGTTAGTTTCATAGAACCTGAGTTTATCTCATGTTTTTGAAGAATTTGAGTCTCAATGTTTAGTTTTCTGTGTAGTGTATGACTGTTGTTCGTCTTTTGGTCATAACATTATCCATCTTTCTCCAACATTTTCACTGAGTTTGAGTTTATAAAAAAAACTTACTGTGAGTCCAACGGCCTGTGTTCTGGTGGTCCCAAGTAGGCCAGTAAAGTAGCCATCTTGTCAAATGGTCTTCTTCCAACAGCTTTGTGATCTCTATAGGGCAAAAGTTCAAATAAGGATTATTTAATACTATGTTGTGGCAAGAAATCTTGATGGTATTTTATTACTTCAATAGTATATGTAAGAAATTTAAATAGATTATACTGAAAAATTTATCAAAAATTACTTTAACCATAACTTTTCATTTTTTTTTATAATTCCTACTTACAACAAGTAAACACTTTTGTTTTAAAATTGCAGCTTTTGTATAGGTTTTTCTTTGTACTTTTAAGGCGATATTTGAAAAACCTCACTGAGACAGCAATGTGAGTCGCACAAAAGATTAAATGACATCAAAGACCAGTATTTGGTCTTTGGCAGCGTATATGTGTTAATACATAAGATAAAGCTGTGTATTGGATTTTTAATTTTCTTTGGATTTATTTAAGGATACTGTCGAAAAATTTGTACTTTAAAGTGTAGATTTTTTACTTGCAAAATACATTATCTACATAAAAAACATGACCATAATAAGTTAGTCTGAGAAACGCTCAGAAAACATAAAAAATGTTAGTATTTTAATGGCATTGTCTATAAAGTCTTAGAAGGAATCTGAATGACTCAAGAGTCATCAAGCTTTTGCAAACAAAAAACTATTTTCAAATTCTGAATTTTTTTAAGGGTTTATTTTCACATCCTTTTTCAGAATGTATAAGAATGGTTAATTTCACCAAGATGTTTATTTTTCAGAATGTATAAGAATGGTTAATTTCACCAAGATGTTTATTCAGTCATCTGTTTGTGAACTGTACTAGAATTCAATTGGCTAATAAAAACAATGATTAGAAATTAAACAAAAGTAAATAAATGTCACCAAGATGGAAATAAATGTTAGATAGCATCAACTTCATCATAATAAAAATGTCCATGGTTAATGTTTCAATCGACTCTTGATTCTCTTGTTGATACATATTCTCATTTTTTTTTATCTTGGAGTAACATGTGATATTTTTAAACTATAATAATGTAAATTGTAATCATCATATAATCATGTAACTTGGTAAAGACAGGTTAAAGAATTCAAGAACTCACACTGATCACTGATCATATTGGAAGTAAGTTTTCTGGACAATGGTCAATTCTGCTTATTGTGGTACAATGTATAAAATAGTTTCCACTTTTTGAACTTCTTTCATATTCAGCATATTTTCCATTTCATTTATCACTTTAATATAAGTTTCATGATGTTAGATTGAAAATTAGACTCAATCTATTTGATGCTTCCACAGTGTATCAAAACAGTGGAATTTACTTTCTCTATTTCTTAGCCACTATCCTGACCTGTTGATTATTTCTTTTTTTTAAATCAATGTGTGGTTTGTTTGATCTCATTTCTTAATACGTCCAAATTCAATTATTATGTCATATGTTCTTGCTTTCCTGTAAATTTCCCATAGTGACATCACGAAAAAAGGCAACGATGTCAAATAGAAAGAACACATCTTTTCGCAAATCATTGGATAAGAAGGATGAAGTTTGTCTACATATCATAACACATGAGATATAGTGGTGGAATCTGTTTCTCTAATATTTTAAGATGATTTCTAAACAAGTTTATCCTTCCCCTTCAAAGATTTGCAGAAAGTTGTGTTCTTTATATGTGATGACATCAGGCATGGTCACCTTTTTCATGATTCACAATAGGAAATTCAGAAGAAATCAAGAAAATTTGTGGTCATAATTGAAATTTCGGCCAATTATTTGCAGAGAACAAAGTTTTCTCTAGAAAGGAGAAATATTTTTCTCACAAAGATCGAGACATGTGAAGATAGCATGGAAATTAGAGAAATATTGTATCACACTTGATTCAGTGGTAGAATCCATATTTAACACTCTAACATGAAAGTCTTATCTAAAGAAAAAGCATTCATGTCTTTTTTTACCATAACTGCAGTTATACAGTTAGATTAACTAAAGTTTATCTATTGATCAAATACATCAAAAAGGCTACATATTATACATCTCAGACCAAGAAAGTTTGAAATTCATGTATCATGAACCAAAAGTGTATATTACTTTTCAGAATTACTGCATAACTCATGATTTAAAATTGATCCAATTGAACAATCGGAAGCACAAAATGTAAAAAGAAGGGTAATCCCAATTATATCTTTTCAGACACTAAATCTTTCCTAATTAGGAAATTCATTCAAATGAACCAAAAAATAAATATCATCATATAAAATTAAGGAGATGTAGTTTGAATGCCAATAAGACAACTATCCACCAAAGTTCTATGTCATAGTCATATGACAAGATATATATATCATATAAATATATTAAGTTATTGCCTCTATTTGGAAAGAAATGAATACACTATTTATAAGACTATTGATGGATTTTCAAAGAAAAGGGAGTTTTGCAGCTACAATTTGAGTGAAGAACAGCCCTGAGATGAGATGTAGCTGAGAAACATCCTTGCGTTTGAAAGATGATTGTTTATCGCTATTTTCCTATGCAATGTCAATGACGTAGGCTTATGACTTCATACATTCTCTTTCTACTCAATGGAAAAAAGTCACGTTATACATTCTTTTTCTACTTGACTGAAAAAAAAAACTCTTAGCACTCAAGTGGCTTGAAATGAAAAATTATCATACAGAAAAATCAAAGACAAATTTGAGAAAAATAGTGACATACATGTAATAGGTTTATACTATAAAATTCATTTCTATTGTATAGCTAGATATATATATATACTAAGTAACCATTGTCAAATCTCACCATTGTTATAAATGTCAAAATAGATAAATCATAAATTTCGGGGAAATTAAATATAAACTTTTGTTGTATATATTTAAGTTTCCACACATTGTCAAGGAGACTTTGACGAAATATCCAATGGAAAATACCAAAATCTGATACAACTTTTTACAGAAAAAATAATGAGTTTTGGCAATGAATTTCTATACATACGTACAACACCAGTCTACACACAACATCTATAAAAATCAGAAAAAAACATTTGCCTTTTTTCTCCTGTATACCTGCTACTGGATAAATAATCGCCAATTTTTTCTTGATTATTCCAGAGCAGGCGGTGAAGAGCAAGAACATTGGCATCATTGATGAAAGAGAGGCTGTGGTTACCAGTATCTGGAATGTCACAGTCTGATGCTATCTCTGTGAAAAATCTACAAAAGAAGACAATCAGAATATATTGGCTGATTTTATTAACAACTCAATTCCAATTTCTAGCACATCATAAATTTCTTGAACATTTAAATTCCTGTAATGCAAATTTTGTCTTTTGAGGCATTTAAAACATCCAGAATATTCCTATTAGTAGAAACAAGAATGTGTCCTTAGAACACAGATGCCCCACTCGCACTATCATTTTCTATGTTCAGTGGACCGTGAAATTGGGGTCAAAATTCTAATTTGGCATTAAATTTGAAAGATCATATCATAGGGAACATGTGTACTAAGTTTCAAGTTGATTGGACTTCAACTTCAAAAACTATTTGACCAAAAACTTTAACATGAAGCGAGACAAACGGATGGACAGACGAAAGGACGCACAGACCGAAAAACATAATGCCCCTAGGTGGGGCATAAAAATTTCTTTTCCCAGTTGACAGAAGTTGAACTTCTCTAATTTTTACAAGACTTTGATTGCCTGCTTTAAATATGTATTTTTACAAAGAACCAACTTTTTTAATGAACACTAAACAATAATTGTGTTTTAAAGAGGTAAATGAGTGGTATTATTCCACTGTATTTACAGCTCTTCTATAAAAGCATGCAAAGCAAACCTTTGATCAACTTGCTTGCTATGTTTGCTTGGATGTCTGCAAACAATAGGTAGGCTGAGTTTCAGTCTGTTTTATATATACTGGGATTTGATTGGACAATAAAAATTGACATGCAATAAAGTTAATGTTTATTGTCTAATCAAATTCCATTATATAGTAAACAGACTGAAACAGACTACCTACCTTTTGTTTACAAACATCCAAACAAACATAGCAAGCAAGTTGATCAAAGGTTTGCTTTGCATGCTTTTATAGAAGAGCTGTATCTCTTTCAGCACTATGACCTGGTTTACCAGGAAATCAATTTTACTTCCATAAACACTATAGCCCGCTATACTGGGCTGCACATGCTACTATTTTTAATCCGAGATTTCCATTGGTCTGTTGTTGGGAAAACCCCTCTAAAGTCATATACATTCATTCGAGTTTCTCTGGCTTTTTCCATACTTTTAATGGAAAATAAAGTAAACATTGGTCTATTATTAGCGATGAAAAAATTTTGGAAATTTTGTACACAAAATGGTGGATAGCAATAGTGAAAACGAACTGTCAGGAGACGAAATTATTGATTATGTCGACCAATTCGACTTAACAAATGTTAATCAAGCCGACAGAAATGAATAAGAAAGGCAATGGAGAAATATAGTAGGGGACAGTGATGATGAAGATGACGTTTGAGGAGTTTGAAGACGCGGACATGTTGACAAAAATTTTGACACATGGAGAAAGACAGAAACTCAAGAAACATTCGTGAATTTAGGGAACGTGGGCCCAGTTAGAAATTTTGACACTTCAGCATCTGCCCTGAACTATTTTCAATGTTTTATACTGAAGAATTCTTCACTTCTATCATCAATTTAACTAATTTGAACGCCACCCGAAAATCATACATGAAAGTTTACACATTAACCTGTGCTAACGAAGTACAAATACTTTGTCAATTGAGACAATATCACATTTTTTTTATTAATAATCATAAACTATCATATCAATATAAATTCAAACAAAATAAAAGTGATGTCATAGTTAAAATACCAGTTTATCAAAATTACCTGATTTACCTGTATTTTTACCTGTATCTCACCTGTATATCACCATAAGTCACAATAAGACAAACAGGTACAGCAAGTACAAAGTATGCTGATTATTTTGATATCTCACATGATGGAATTGGACGACTGAGTACAAATATACATCAGTTTAAAAGTACCCACCCTAAATAAATGAAAAGTCTCAAAGTTACTTAGTGTTGAAGGTATAACACATTGAAAGTTATGCAGTGTTGAAAGAGTTAAATATTGATAGCGAAATCAACATTTGATTGGTTTAGACGATCCCATGTGACATTGAACAAAACTTCATATTCCCCTCTGAGTATCATATTCCCCTCTGAAATGGGTAATTTAAACTCTGTATTGATATTATTCACCTCTTTTTACTTGTCTTAGGAAAAAAGTGATTGTGTCATAAATGTACATAAATTTCTAATGAGATTTCAGAAAATAACCATATAACAATGAAACAGTACAAGTCAGCAGTGTTCTCCCCAGGGCCTTTTACCATCATGGTAATGAGATGCTATATTGCTTGAATGTGATGCTATCTGAGATTATTATGTTATAGATTGAGTTATGGATGTGATCCTATAATTTCTAGAATTAAGATGGTATTTTAGAATTCCCTGTTTACCAGGATGCTATATGAAATTTGTGGGGAGAACACTGGTTAGTTCTATGAGGGTTCTGCTTTTGTTTGATTCTAATTTATACATGTGGATACACATCTTAATCATCTGTGCCCCATAACTTTTTTCAATAACTATAAAAGTATGCATTTTCACCTTAAACTCTTTCAAGTCAACTTCCTAGCCATTTACTTACTGCAATTGTCTTACTTTTTGATAAATTCATATAAGAGAATGTCCATGATTGACACATTTGCAACAATATATGCAATATTTTACAACTAATGAAAGTAAACAGCTTGGGAAAATATATTAGTTTACAGTACATCATACATGCCAACTTTTCAAAATCTCCATGGGGAATATTAAGCGCAAGAGGAACGTATGCTTCTGTTTTATTGTCATAAGTGTTTTTAATCTTCTGCTATATTGTTTGAATGAGTATGTATGTGCTTAAATACTCTTTTAACTCATTTGAATGCCTGTTTTGAGGTGTTCAGTTTATAAAATAAAGAATTTCAAAATTCAGGTCAACACCCCTCATGGGGGATATCCCCATAAATCGGGATAGTTGGCAGGTCTGGACATAAATACATGTATCTGATTTTGCAGTCACTATGTGTCATAGACAAGATTTTCTATGCAAGACAAAAAAGTAAAATTATTCACCTTCTCCCAGCTTCAAAGTTTGTTTTGAGGAAGTCATTGAACGTCCTCATGTGTGTTTCCTTGGTAAACAGGAGATGGTTGGCAATGTTCTGCATGATCTTACACATCAACGTCAATCCACGTTTCACTTTGGTTGATGGCTCCTCATCGATTATACCAGATTCGTATGGCGACACTAAAAATAGCATGCTACATGTATACTACAATCTAAACATAAACCATCTGAAGATGCATACAAAATATTCTTTATCAACAAATTTTATTTAGAAAGCTGTGATTTTGCCATAAGAATGGGAAAAAATTGTTCTATTTCACAGAGAAAAAAAACCTTTTTTGATCGATAATAGATAGCGGACTATCAATTTGGACTCTGCAATACAAGTGACATAGAAATAATATGTAATTTACTCCCTTTATCAAAGTGGTATGTGCGATCTAATTCTGTAACTTTACATTTCTTTCAATTTCCAATCCCAGCAACTCTCCCCGTACAAATTCATTAAATCATTTAAGCTGTAATCTACCTTTTCACAATGCCATGAAGTTTGCCAATTTTAATTGCTTATTTATATGAGAAACATGTTGAAATGAGTATTTCTGTAAAATCGTTTAAAATTGTTTATTTATATGTTAAATATATGGCACAGACAATGCTCATGAGTGTCTTTGCTATTCAAAACTAATTCCACTTTTCCTCATAAAAATGACAAAATGACATTTAAGCATAGCGCCAAAATAACAAATATTTATTTGTCACCTTCACCATTTTCATGATAAATTTATTATTTCATCTTTTTTCCTCTTTTAAAAAATATTTTTTTACTATCAATAAATGGTTAGAATAAATATGCATATACATAATTAATGGTATAGTATTAATCATGCCTCTATAAATATGGAAAATTCTGCAATCCCAAAGCTCACATTTTTATTTTATATATTAGGGTATTTTCGTCATGCTTAATATTGTTTTTAGTGTTTGTCCATGTATTTGTACAGATGACATTATTCTCCGTTAATGCTAAACATCAAGATTTAGGCTAAGATATATATATTAATGAGCAAAACTATTTATTTTGCAGCAACATACAGTTCAGGGACAAAACATTGCATTCCATGGCAAAACACAATCCAATTCATAATATCTATATAGACGAAACGCGCGTCTGGCGTATTAAATTATAAGCCTGGTACCTTTGATAACTATTTACACCACTGGGTTGATGCCACTGCTGGTGGATGTTATTGTCCCCGAGGGTACCACCAGCCCAGTAGTCAGCACTTCGGTGTTGGCATGAATATCAATTATATGGTCATTTTTATAAATTTCCTGTTTACAAAATTATGAATTTTTCGAATTACTAAGGATTTTCTTATCCCAGGCATAGATTACCTTAGCCGTATTTGGCATAACTTTTTGGAATTTTGGGTCCTCAATGCTCTTCAACTTTTTTCTTCTTTGGCTTTATAACTATTTTGATCTGAGCGTCACTGATGAGTCTTATATAGACGAAACGCGCGTCTGGCATATTAAATTATAAGCCTGGTACCTTTGATAACTATATTTTTTATAGATATAAGAAGATGTGGTATGAGTGCCAATGAGACAACTCTCCATCCAAGACACAATTTGTAAAAGTAAACCATTATACATGTTAATGAAAAACTACCTTCCTAGTCAAAATTGCACACCATACATACATATATCAGTTTGTTTGTTTGGTTTTTTTTTATATGGGCGACCTTAGCTATATCATGGTGACCTTGGTTATATCATGGTTGCTAGTTTTTATTAATGGAGGAAGTCTGAATACCTGGAGAGAACCACCAACCTTGAGCAGGAAAACTGACAATTTTCGTCAATAAAATTTGGAGTCGAACACCCCTCTCCACCAGTGTGGTTCAAACTCAGAGTTGAAAAGCTAGTGATCACAGATGTACGCACGAGACCACTTGACCGCTTAGGCCCCTATACATATATCATTATGAGTGTATATTTTGTTACATGTGTCCTTATATTTATATGCGTCATATTTTTTAAATTGAATCCATAATTTTACAATTTTATGATTACTGCAGCAAAATATAAAAAAACACAGATAAGTAATAATATAACATGTAAAGATTATTAAAAAAATAATAATAAAATGTTTTTCAAAAAAAACTATTGAACATATTTCAATTGTTTAAGAGAAAAAAAATTTACAACATTTAGTGCTGACAGAAACATCTCAATGAATAGAAAAGAGTAGAAATTATGGAATGGTGTGCTAAGCAAAATATTTTGCAATAAAATTTTATGAACTTTAAGTTTCTCCTTAAGCCCCCTCCCCTCCCATACGAAAATCCTATACCCCAGAAAAATAATCTCTATCAAATTAAAACATACAGGCAATATATTTTGTTTGTTAATTTCCAGTTTCAAAACTTATGTTTACTAAGGTTGCAACGCCCTTCAGGCAAAGCTGACCTTAGATGTTTTTCAGCTATTCTTATTTTTAAGTCCTCAAATGTTTCATATTTTTGGCTTTCAGGACTTTTGATCATAAGCAAACATAAAGAAGGTTAGCTCAAAATATGTGTCATTCCCATGGAAACTATTTCTTTTATATTTCACCACATATTTTTATCACAGAATTAGTTTATTGACACCCATCACCAACACTGTGTTTCTATGACAACATACAATGTAAACCTCCATATGAACTGCCATATTAAAATATCTTTCCCTTTTGATTTTTTAATCTGTTCCTCAAATTACAACAATATTGCTTTATATTGAATTTTATGCTGAAGAATCTACTCTCACAATGGAAAATAAATGTACAAACTCTAATATCTTACTTTACGAGAATTGATAAATGTATGAAATCAAATGTTGTCATGATTTTTTTTTCTTTAAATAAAGTATTGCTCACATTCCAGTTCTAAAATTAAGACTTAGTTTTGAATCATTATGTATTGATAATGCTAAATAAAGGCTGTTGGGCAAACTGTAGTATAGGGTCATTGAATGAACATTGGTGAATATGATCCTGAGTAGATTTTTATATTGAACAAGCTTGCAATTGCAATATATATATTCTATGAGGGATGAAATTTACCATTATTCATGCAATAACCGTTTTATTGTAGAGTGAAGCTTTAATATTTGTTTAAAACATATTTTGTCACTGATGATGTCACTAATTTGAATCTTTTTTTGCACTAATGCAATAAGTTATATTATTGCATGTTTATTTTTGTTTACATTCTGTAATAACTTAATTTTGGATGAAACACATCTTCTGATTGGCTGAAAGTTTTATGTCTATCAGCTCATAGACATAATGTGGTCATGTGACTGTGACATCATCAATGTTTTTTCATGATTTACTTCTTAAAAATGGAATTTAGAATTAAATTATAAGGACTGACTGTAATACTTTTTCTGTCTATATGTTGTGGCTATTCAATAAACTAACCTATTTTCATTGATAATGGACATAATCAACTTTCTTTTGGCCCTCTCTAGCCAACTTCTTGTTATTAACTTAATTTTTCCCTAATTTTCTAACTTTGCTGAATATATTTGTGCTACTCTCTACAAGTGTTACAATAAATAAATGAGGGTAGGAATGCTCTTTACCGTCAGGCATCAAACAGTAATTTTCGGCTACTGTTAGCATCAAATTGGTTAAAATTTAATCGTGATTCGTCAAAATATCCTTATCATTATTTGTCAAAAGTCTCAAATAACAAGCATTCTGAGAGTTGTGCATGGCAATACATAGTCCCCTACTGGTTGAAAATTCATTGTACTGGAACACAATGCTAACTTGATCTATAACTTGTCATGGTGTATATAACAAATATCAAGTCAATATCTTCAGGCATGAATGGATGGACAGACCGACAGACAGACGGATGGACGGAGTGCAAACCAAAAGTCCCCTTCGACTTCGTCTGGAGGGGAATAATTAACCATTACCGTTATTTTTGGAAAGAATTTAATGGGAGTCGTTAAAATCAGTCAATTAATTTTACCGTCATAAAGTGTTCATTTTATCGTCATGCACAAAAAATAACTGTTAACGTCATTTGGCCAGATTTTTTACCGTTGTTCGTCATGAAGGTACCCCCATTACGACCCTCATAAATCCCTTGTGAAAATTAGTTGGTTAGACCTTTCCACTCACCTTTTCTCATGGAATACAACAATAGTTTAAAAGTATTTCAAATCTATCATAAGAAACGAAAAAGTTAAAATACTATAGGATAAATTAGGTATCTTAAGCTAAAATCTGAAATTAGTTTAATTAGTCTTTTTAGAAGTTAACTTTTGTGTTAAATCGCATACGAGTAAAAATCAAAACTACAAACTCAACCAAAATTTCATCAATTCCTAAAACAAACCAAAATAATCTTTTAGTAGAAAAATATATCATCTAAAACTTCAACAGAATAACACCCCAACTTGATCAATTACAACAAAAAAGCTTTTCTCAGGTTCATTTGTGAGATTTGGTAATGAAAAAATACTGAATCGCAACAATGTAAGAAAACTTTGTAAAAAAAAAAAAGCAAAGACAAAATAGAAACAAAATTAAATTCTTGAAGGTAATGACCTTGAAAAAGGCCATAGGCCAAATCATTAACTTTGAGCTACTTACTGTAATTTGGAGAATAAACTCTGATTGGAACATAAGTGAGTTTTAAATTAAGAAAACAGACGTTATTTGCAAACGAAAAATTATTCATAAATGATAAATTTAACGAAAATAAAATAGAATAATGAAAAATAAATATAATGGCCAAATATTCTGCTACTAATTTATAGCTAAGTATTCAAATGAATATATCTCACAAAAAAATCTTCAAAATGGAGGTTTACATTGCATAACACCACCACATCTATTAATAGGAATCTTTGTTACCTATAGCAGGGTTGATGAATCGTAAAAATATAACCGTTCCTATGACGGTCCACACGGCTTCAGCGCTACTTTGCTGAAATCGCTGAACCACGACTTGGTATAAACAGTGGCACATACTCCGTAGTTTTGATGGAAACCTGTCAGTAGAAGGTTAAAGGTCAATGCAGGGTTAGCATACGACAAGCTCTAGATACAAGTGGCCATGCCAGTACTGAAAGGTCAAAGGTAAAAGTGTTACAAGCAGACCTTCATTTTGTTGATGGTTCATCAGTTTATTTGAATTCAGGACTTTCTATCAAAAGCAGGGTATCATAAAAATCCTATTTTTTGCCTTGTTATATCAATTAAGCTTTTCCTAATTAAAATATTTACACTATTAATTTATTAACTTTTGACTATCTTGCTTTTAACTTAAACAATTATGAAATCTGTAACTACTGTTATTTTTTTATTATTACCAACATACAGATTTCAAAATATAGGTCAAGGTAACCAATGGAAATCAAACAATTTAATGAGTGCCAATTTTGAACTTATTGGTTGCTGACAGTGGCCATATCATTGACAGTATACATCATTTCTCTTTAAATTTCAAATCTTTTACAGAGTAAGTTTTTATTGAAATCATAATTGTTCGAATAAATTTACTAATTAATAAAATGTTATTATTGCTGATTTGGACTTTAATCTCTTCAAAGTAGCAATCAATTTTGGTAAAATTGTCCTTAAAAATAAGATGAAACCTGTCTTAACCAACCCCCATCCAGGCTGGAGATTTCTTTCCCTATTAGACATTTTCTAGGTATGAATATTTATGGGACGTTCTGATATGAAAGTTCAGTTAATGGGTGCTTCACTGTAAAACATACAACCATTACAAGTTTTTTGGTATGCTCTGATTACTGAGTTCAGTCAATGGATATTTTACTATAATACATTCATTACAAGTTAATACAAGTCATTATAAACATTCCCAAAGCCATGAAATGTAGACCCATTATCAAAAACAGTTTTTTTTTGTCAATGCGACTGAAGAACGATCAACAAAATTCAGGATATGATAAGAAAGATTCTGCAATAGAAAAAAATCTGCATGTTACCTAAAGCTGGGTTGAAAAACCTCAGAAATATAACAGTTCCTGTGGCATGAATGCTGTGTACTTGTGGGAACCTCATAGATATCACTTCGTAAGTACAGTGACACATAATACGTAATTTTGGCGGGAAAAAACTGAAAATTATTATTCAAATAAGAAATAAACTAAACAAAAAGTGGTCCATTACAGGCATCTGAAAAAACTAAAATATCAGTCAACAATTGTATTTACTAAGAATATACATGAAGGTTTAAAATGCTTTAGTAATTATACATGTATATGTGTCAGTTTCTGAATTCTACAGCATAATTCAACTAATTTATAACCATATATACTATATCAGATACTGACAATTTTAAGGTTTTAATATATCTTCTTAAATTGAAATAAAGAAGAAAAATTTTTTGTTTGTTTTTTTATATTCAAAATGCAATAAATTTTATATTTAACGAAGTAATATAAAGATAAAGTGTTTTCTTCTATTGTATAACTGAAAGCAAATGTTTACTGGATAGAAGAATGAAAACTATATAATTACATACGTAGATGAAGAGTCTATTACATAATAATATTTCATGCTAAACATTGAAGTACGTACGATTGAGCCGATTCCACAATGGCATTGAATACTTTCTGTGTGATCAGCATGAGATGTCTTTTATTGTCTTCTAATTTTTCTCCTTCCTCTATTCTGAAAAAAACCCAATATAAACACTGTTAACTTTTTGAAAAGGGTAATTTCTGAGAAATCAGGTTTTCTCATAAACAAAACTCCCATTAGATATCACATGTACATTTATCAGTAAATTAATATAAGAGATGCATTAGGCCCTTTTGTGGTTTAAATCTCCAATGGAGATTTTAAGAAGTAAGAAGGTATAAAAATTGTCTGCAAATGCTTCATTCCCTACCTTGTTTCTACATTGCAACATATGCAAGTTATTTGTAGGTGCTTACATGATAAATTAACTGTCAAAATATTTAAACCCAAGATATATGAATACAACCAAACCTGCTATAAAGGTCACCTCTATTAAGCAAAAACCTCTCTGTCAGGACAACCTCATCTGGTCATTCTGTGCTAATATCTATATATTTTGAACCTCATTTCAAAGGTCACTTCTCATAAAAGGTTAGTTTTCTCTGTTCCCAATGTTGACCTTTGTAAACAGGTTTGACTGCGCTAATATCTATACATTTTGAACCTCATTTCATAGGTCACTTCCTTAAAAGGTTATTTTTCTCTGGTAACAATGTTGACCTTTGTATATAGGTTTGACTGTGCAAATACCTATACATTTCAAACTTCATTTTAAAGGTCACCTCTCCTATGTGGTCAGTTTTCTCGAGTTCTGATGGTGAATTATGTAAACAGATTTGACTATATTCCCTATGTTTTTTAATAGATAAGTACCTTTTAGGATCTATTTCATATGATTCCTTTTGTTCTTTCTCCATGACAACCATTTCCATAATCAATGGATACAGTAAATCTCGTAAGTACTGCTGGCCATAAAATCTGAAACAATATGCCATGATCTTACTGGCCAAACTGTTACCCCTGAATAATGTCTGCATACAGTCAGCTATTTCTACCTAAAAATGAAAAATAAAATAATGCTACAACTACTAGACTTGAGCATATTTATAACAGCAGAAAACTATTAGAAAACGGCCTCCTAAAATTACTCTATATATCCAGAATAAAAGATTGATTGATTGATTGATTGGTGTTTAATGCCACTTTCAACTCTATTGTGCTATTTCGTGGCAGTCAGTTTTTATTGGTGGAGGAAGCCGGAGTCTCCAGAGAGAACCACCGACATTATGTACGAAAACTGACAATCCCAGTCAATTAAGATTGGAGTTGAGTGCACCTGCCCCTGTTAGATTTGAACTCACAACCTCAGTGTTGACAGGCTAGTGATACAGTAGTTCGACTACTTAGACCACTCGGCCACCAAGGCCCCCAGAATAAAAGAGCATTTTCAACTAAAATATTTTTCTATATACTAATCTGTATTTGTGACTAAATACATTCTCTTACCCTTTCGGAATAATATTTTCCAATAAACATCTAAAACATCATAAAAATGTAATTTTTAAACAAAGCCTACAAACTGGGATGACCATATGCACTTTTCCATCTTTTATTGATGTAAAAAAATGCTTCAAATAATTTTTTTTTACAAACCTCTTTGGAGAACATGTTCCACAAAAGCTGGTACAACAGGTGCTTGGCATCAAATAAATTAACAAATACTCTGGCAAGCTCATCCTGTAATAAAAATATATCAGAAATTGCAGTTTGGTCATTTCTTTAAAGATGTTTCTGATGCACATTTTCCACTTTTCCTCAATATTTTGAAATCACTTCATAGGCTATGCATTCAAAATTTTGCATGGGTATCTCTGTAGTTCTTAATAAGTTTTCAAAACTTGCATTTCAAATACACATCTGCTAAAGACTGTTTCATTCAAACATTCATAGTATCCCATGAAGGCACTTTGAAATGAGGCAGCTATGTATAGAGGCAATCTAAAATTTCACTGTATCTATATGACACCCTCCCACAGTTGAGATTTCAAATTGCCCAACTTGGGTCCCATGTACGTTTCAATGGAAACACCCTAAAATAGTTTCAAAGTTTTGTTATGCCTACAATTTCTTTCATACTGCTTAATATGTGTAGTTTCTTTTTCATATAAAATCATGCCACAGGACCCCTAGGCTTGCTGCAATATGTCTTTAACATGCAAACTTTGCCAATTACTGTAAATTCAGAAATTATTGCGATCATTTAGTATTGCGAATTCTGAAGTATGAACAAAAATACAAGATTAATTATTGGGATTTAGGAAAATATTCATATAGCTATATGTATCAGATATCAGAATGTAAGTTCTTATTATTGCAATACTCAACCAGTCACTTTTTTCCCATTAATAAAAATCCTTGCAATAATTTCTGAAGTTACAATACATAAGAAATTAGTTCATCCCTATCTAAAATGAACCACTACTCTCATGGCTTGCATATAGACTATCAATTTAAGACAAATCTATATAAACTGTCTCAGTGGTTTTGTGGTAGCGTGTTCACCTCAAGTACGGGAAGTCGTGGGTTCGAACCCTGGCAGTGTCAAACCAAAGACTTTCAAAATTGGTATTTGCTGCTACTCCGCCAAGCACGCAGCATTAAGGAGTAAGAGCAAAGACTGGTCGGCTCGGAGTCAGAATAATGTGAAAAGGTAAGGTGACATGTCTTCCTACGGACTGTTACCTTGTGAGCTGTCACGTTAAAAATCCAGCTCAGCATGGCGGTCTAGTACAAATATATATATGTATATTCATATAACATTAACATGTTCTGGTCCTGAATATGCATATTAATTTGACGCTGGACTTTCAGCAGCCATCCATCATCATCATCAAATCTTTAATTATGTAATATCAATAAACAATTACTTACCATTTGCTGAGTAGGTACAACAGTAGCCAATGCCATGGCGATGGGTAGCTCCCCTTTATCACCTATCATGGTTACCAGTTCAACCAGTCTTTCAAATCTGTCTGCCAGAGCTGTCTCAGCTAATGTTTCAAACTCTGTTCCCTGTTGTAAAATCTTGGTCAACACTTCCATGAAAGCTGCTCTGGTCTGAGGATCTTTGTGGTACCCCAAGGCTGTCAATAGGATATATAAAAATAAGAAGATGTGGTATGATTGCCAATGAGACAACTCTCTGCAAGAGACCAAATGACACAGAAATTAACAGCTATCGGTCACCTTACGGCCTTCAACAATGAGCAAAACCCTTACCGCATAGTCAGCTATAAAAGGCCCCGAAATGACAAATGTAAAACAATTCAACGAGATGTTTGTAAGATTTTTTCACTTAAATCAAATGAATAAGGCCACACCAATATAAAACTTGTTGACAATAGTCATTTGTTTTAACTGTCAAATAATTGTAGGGACAAAGAAGTCTTTAGCTAAAAGAAAACAAAGATTTAAAGGTTGCACTTCTGTAAATATAGACAATGCAATTTCCCATAGGAACTCCTGTTACAGCTAAAACTGTGCCACTTTTACTATGAAGTTTCGTAAAAAATATTGTAGAACGAAAAGTTTATATGCACTACATTTTTTTTTAAAGGTCAAAACATAGGGGTGTGCGGCATATTTTCAATATTTATATGCCCCAAACTTCTAAGAGTTTAAACTTATACTAAAATTCCGTACTACCCCTCACTTCACTTGGGTCTTCCTCAGAATTCAATTTGGTCGCTATCCATGTTTATTTATACTGGTAACATTCCCAAGTTATGTCTCTATGAGATGCAACATAGAGATCATATCTGGGAACCCAGTACGTAAACAAAACAAAATATCAATGAATATTATATATCTACCCAAAAGAGGCGTGGTTTGTGAAACAGCTGTATTAACACAGTGCAGGTCAAAACATGTGGCAAGATTATATTAGCTTTCACTAAATCTTAATTAGAATGTTTTGCTATGTAAGGCTTAATTTAAAATTTTGTTTGTTTGCAGTTTACCGACCGACCTTCAAAAATCTGCCCGACTGTGAACATTTTATTGCTTTTAATTTGAAGAAATTTTTTTTAATACTTCTATTGACTCGATCGTTCAGTTTTTCTTCCCTTCCTGTCAAGCGTTCATCGGACCCTTTAATGGTAAAGCACATGGAGATTGTTTACAGTTATCCACGAAGTCATGGAGGAGTACTTTATTCTGTCGTCTTCTGTCAATTTTAAGACAAATAATACACAGAAAAGTTTCATAGTAAACTGTTTATACTGATTCAGGCAGAATTGCACACGGAATGCTGTCTTCGATGATATCATTGACGATGATGCAGCGGATATTCATAAAACCAACACTATAACCGTTTCTGTCTCAAACAAATCGGATACGGAATCTTTTGAGACTGACTTTATGGAACCAATATCAGTGGTTCAACAATTCGACAGCAGCCTGAAGTATGCCATAGTTTCTTTAAATGGTGGTGAAGACGACAAAGATGAAACCACTCCTCCGTGACTTCATGGATACCTGTAAATACGCCTGTACGGTGGAAGGACGCATTTGAAATGTTAAAACAATAAGAAGCCTAACAAACTTCACAAAGATGTAGAGAAAATGAATGGTTGGCTTGAGAAATAAATATATTCTCTCTGTATCAAATCTATCTTCGATTGCAATGAGTATGCTCCTTTAGGATAAGGGGGGCTGTCCCACTCATTGCAATTATTCTCTCTTTTACAATATTAAATATACCCAAACTGTGTGGCCTGTGTGAATTGAATTGAAATATGTCCTTAGCTAGGAGCTATGCTGCCATTTTTTTCATGCAGTCAAAACATTTCAGTACAGACCATTTACTTTTAAAGGGGTGCTATGGATTTCACCCCAAAGCTAGTCTTAAGATTTTTGTTTGTTTTAATTAAAGCCTGGCATCAACATATCTTTCCAAATATAACCTTTATAACAGTCAGATGTCTAATATATTTTTTTTAAGTTGTCTTTTTTTTCAATTCAGGAAGATTCAATGGTTGATTTTTTTTTTAACACACTCCTAAATTGTCTTTTGAATCTTTAATATCTACATTTTTCTGATGCAAATACTCTACTCGTGAAAAAATTCTAGTAAAGATGCATATATGTCAGTGAATATGTTTCTTTACAACAATTCTAGTCATTCCTTGTTTATAAGTGTTCCAGTATTTATAATACCATAAATGTATGTCATAAATTGTATAATGACACTATGTTAAGTTTAAGTATTGGTTAAAAAGGTGTTTGCCTGAAAATGCCTGTTCATTTCATGTTGGTTTTCAGTGTTTGTTGTTTTAAAATATTTTTTCTTCACAAGAAACTTGGTTTGTGTTAAACTGCTTGTTTAAAACTTTATTCTAGCTGATAAAATAAATTATTTTTCCTACCTACCAACCCTGCAGTCTGAAGGTACAGTCGGAAAACTGCAAACAAACATATTTTTAAGGTTGGGCCTAAATTTTAACATACCAATTGAGTGCATCAATCCACTGTCAATGTTAGCATTGAGTAAGTTAGACATGGCTTGTACCGTACAGTTACGTAGAGCACTCAGATTAGACGTGCTACGCTTTCTGTTTGGATCCATAGCTGTATCTTGTTCCTCTTCTGAACAGTCGTTCAACAAGTTCATAAATAATGTCAGATACCTGGAAAACAATCAAATTCCAATATGTTTATCTATCCATATTAGGGCTATTCCATTAAAATGTATGTAGGAGGGTAGGAAGGGAAGTTTAATTATTGAATGTGGGTCATGGGTCTTTTTTCAGTATGCGTCTATTACCATTATGCAAAATTATCTAAAAAATGGTTCTTGGTTGTAGGGATATTTGGAAAGTCCCTTCCTACCCTCCCACATACATTTTAATGGAATAGCCCTTATGGGGAAATCTTTCATTTCGCCATCACCACTGAATTTATATGACTTTAGTATTTGGCTTGCTTGCATATTATAATGAATTTATATGACTTTAGTTTTTGGCCTGCTTGCATGCTATGATGAAAATATCTACATACTAGAAGCATAAAATTCAGTGAAAACCAATAAAATAATATCATTATTCTTAACTAACTTTTCAAAGGAAAACTTTTCCATAACATTTGATACATGTTTTAAACAAAATGATGTTAGAAGTAATAATCTTGTGAAAATAAAAAAAAAAACAAACAACTTCTAATTAGAACATGGTAGAATCAAAAACAAAGAATTTTAAATCAGAGTAAAGCTGAGCTTTATTTATTTCACAATCTTGATAACTTATATCCAAGGAAATGTTTAAAAAAGTGACTTATATCCAATGAAATGTTTAAGAAAAGTGGTTTTAAGTCACCACCAGACTTCAGTCTTATTTAAGCTGCATTTTAAAGCTGAATACACAGTTACAAATATTACATGCTTATTCAGTTTAGACTTACTTGAGGAAGAGTTGAGATTTAGCCTCCATCAGATCTCCTCTATCACTTTCCTCTGGCTGTAGAGGTAGTCCAGCTAACAAAGCAGCTACTGCTTCCATACTGGCTTGGTCTAAATCCCTAGAAAATTTCCCAAATAATTAAATTACATACTGCTATATGTCTCAATTGATGAATAACTGAATCATATTTTTAGCATTTTTATATATGGTGTCAATCTTTGAATATCATGTTGCAAAACGTGTTTCCTCTGACATATATTTACAACTGTAAATCTAATCTGACATTGACAAGTATTAAAATACATTACATTTATTCTTACTCTAATGTAATTGTTTAACCAATGACTATTAAATTATTAGAGTAAATGAAAGCTGTCATCTGCCATTGTACAGAGTATTCTATCAGGCAAACTGTGGATTTTAACCCTTAAAAAAAGATGACGTCCTCATAAGTAAGTAAGTAAGTAAAACTTTCTTTGGATTCGGCATATTGACAAACAAATCAAACATAAGCTCTATTGAGCTTTTCACCAAATATAAAAATTGCTATTATAAACATTTTGAATTGATATTTTGGGTCTTTCTTATTTTTTAAACATACACATTTCTTTTTAACAAAAGGTCAAAGGTCCTTTTAATGAAACCTCAGGTCACAAGGTCTCCTGCCAAACAAACCCCCATAAAACTTTGATGAACAAATGATACAGGATAAACAAATAACTTAGAAAATGTGAATAATAAGCTTAAACATAGAAAAAGACAACATGCACAAAACTAAACTAAGCATAAACAACAAAAGTTTTTTTTTTCATAATGAAGCAGATAAGCGATGTGAAAAAAAGCTTCAAGTCATTAAAAAACAATTGATAGATGTTAATTATTCATAGTTAGTTCTGAATTCAAACGTTATACAGAATTGATGTATTTAGTCAAGTTAAGTTATTTGAACTTATGTTTTGCATTTTATTCATCCTGTTATTGTTCTTTTCATTTCTAAGAACAATCTTATGCTAGTGTAAACAAATATAAATGAAAAAGTATAGAGACTTATTTTTTTAATTCAAGTTGTGTTAATATATGACAAATATATCAAAAGTAATTTCTGATAACCGATTATAGTTTTTTGTTTGATAGCCCAACACTGAAATCAGGACAAAATTAATAATATACTTATATACATGTATTTTTCCTCATGTTTTCCCTGCTTTATCTATTTTGGATATTTATGGAAGTTTTCACAGATTTTTAAAAAAAAATATTTTTTTTTTTTTTTTTATTTAAAAATTTAATTTATTTTTATAAATTGGATGACTCAATAAATTTAAAATTAAGAAGTATAATTACGGTTCCTGAAAAAGGGTGCGAGTGTGGAAAATTCCAAAACCCATCCCCCCTTAATTTGAAAGCAATACTGTAGTTGAACAATTAAATTGTCCGACTGATACTCACACATCTGTTTGTGATCGCAGAAATAAAGGCGTGGGAGCTTTATTTGAACCCTGATTGGTGGTTTGATTGGAATGGATGATTCTCTGAATAGCTGTTCGTGTTGGTCGCCTGGCAACAAAGGAAACAACACAAAATACACAAAATAAACTAAATTAGACTTTAAATAAGAATACCGTCACAAAAAGAAATAAAATACAGGTACATATATATGGGATAAAGTTATTTTTTATTTTGGATATTCCTGCTTAAGGACAGTGGTACAATTTTTAATGCTCGTCTGCTTTGTAAAGTAAACAAAGTTTTACTTTAAACTATGCAATTTAGACACTTTGTCCAAAATATAAAAATTGTTTATACATTTTTGAAAATGCTTTGCCAACATAATTCATCCTTTTTTTTTATATTCCCAAATGCTAAGCTGTTTATATTCAAACCATAACCAATTGCCACATCAAAGCCAATGTATGCTGATATGGCATTAAAATACAATCAATGAATTAAAACCAATGTTTGCTCACAAGCCACAAGCACTACAAAAAGCTTTGATGTATACAGCCCAAATTCCAACCAAAATATGAATACGGTTAAAGGAAACTTTATTTGTGCAGTAAAAATCCTATAAAACTTTGATGCGATGATAAACAATGGTCATAATTATACTTTGTATTAATATGTATAATTTGGACTATTTTGCCTTATAACTAAGACCCAAAATTACCATAAAATGACAGTAATGAAATAGACCATTTAACATTCTGAAATTGTTGTATTGTAAATATATTTTGAAACCCCATGCTATTTTTAATGATCTAGAAACACATTTTGTGTGCACAAATATCCTATATAAAGATAAGATGTGGTATGATTGCCAATGAGACAAACTATCCACCAGAGACCAATTCTTTAGTATGTAGTATGTTTTCTACTAACTAAGCTTAAGTCACTATACAGGAATATCCCAGTTACACACAGATTCCTAATAAACAAATAAATAATAAATTACAAATGTATTTTAATATTGTAGGCTAAAACAGCAACAAATGAATATTAAAATATAATGGGGGATAAGCATCAACACAACAGAATTACATACAAATACGCTACAGTTACGGGGAATTTTGTTTCTTCAATCTGGCCACAGTGGGAGGGGCACTGATTGGGTGAAAATTTCTTACTTGTTCTCCCTGACCACTGTGGATATATTATTGATCAAGGAATTTTCGGTATATTTTAAACCCTAATTAAAATGTTTAACAAAATTTCTATAGGCTTTTATCCAGACTTTGGTAAAACCACAAAATCAAATATCCACCAATATATGATTTTTTCTCAATGCACAAAAATTGGTATCAAAGAAAATAAATGAATCCACAGTACTTGCAATTACAATTAAGAGATATAAATAGATCAGCATTTGTGTCCAAATTTTTCAAAACAAAACCTGAGATCAAGGCTTGAAAGGAGATGGAAGAGCTGCCCACTATAAATGGTTGGAAAAAGGAAAATCGTAATGACCCGTGGTGTAGTGAAAAATTATGTCGACATTTATAATTCTTTTCCTTATATAGTTTTAACCTTTTGAACTGTCAAGAAAAAAAAAGAGTAAATATTGCAATGCATGATTAAGTTCAACTGGTACATGTTGTGGAAAGTATGAAGATCCATAATATTGTGGAAAGTATGAAGATCCATAATATAAGAATAACAACCCATAGTTTATTCCTCATTCTCTTAGTAGACCAGAAAATGTTTGCATTTGATGCTGATTACACAGTTTTCTAGGCCTTCATTTACTTTAGGGGACCCAACCCACATAGGGCTATCATGGCTATACTAAATTAACCCTAACCCTAAACAAACCCTTACTCATACCCAACTCAAACTCTAGCACTAGCTCAAATCCTCACCCTAACGTTTTACTGAACCTTGTCTTTAAATTACAGGGTCCCCTAAAGTAAATGAAGGACTTTCTCCAATATAACAAGAATATCAGTAGTTTCAGCCAAGCAAATCCAAGACTAAGCAAGAAAATGAATTTTATCAGAGTTTTAAACAAATGAGTTTTGCATACAACCAGGATAGATGGTATAGGTTTTAATGGAAATTCAGCCACAGTCATCTTAAAATCATCTAACATTTGAAAAACAGAAATCACAACATGCACAGACAAAATTAATCCTAACAGCAATGATAAATGATCAAGAAGAGGAAAAGATATCCCACAATTCCATATTTTGTTACCTTGACATACTGCAGATGTCCCCAATATTGACCTGGTGGGAATTCCCCATGATCCAGTCAGTTAAGTATTCCACTAATTTGTTCCTGAACTTCATTTCCTGTCTGAATGTGAGGTCGTCTCGTCTCTGCATCATGGTTTCTACCAACTGACAGAGTTTGATCTTTATCTGTATGGCATGAACTGTTGAATCTAGATGTCTGACATACCTATTCAATAGAGAAGACTTCATAAGTTTGTTTTACTTGTGTCTATTCCATGCTGCATAATTGAGCAAATAATTCATTAACATTTTCCAAGATCATTATTATTTTATTTCTATAGTTTTGTACCAATTCAAACCTCCCAAATTCAGTTGAATATTTCCAATATAATCATCTATCCAGATGCCCAATATAGAATAAATCATAAATACACGAAAAATTATTTTGGCTGATGAAATGAAGCTCCAAGTCAAAGTAAGCTATTACAATAATAATTTAAAATCATACATTTACCAATCTTTCAACAGTATATATACCGACATGTACCAGAACAGAAATGGATATTTGCAAACTAGCTATTAACTTAAGCAAATTTGATGAAAAAGTATAAAATTCGTAATTTTAATGATGCTAAAAAACTTCAACCCACCTGACAATAGCTAACATGAGCGATTCTATACTTGTAACATACCTGACAATAGCTAACATGAGTGATTCAATACTTGTAACATACCTGACAATAGCTAACATGAGCGATTCTATACTTGTAACATACCTGACAATAGCTAACATGAGCGATTCTATACTTGTAACATACCTGACAATAGCTAACATGAGCGATTCTATACTTGTAACATACCTGACAATAGCTAACATGAGTGATTCAATACTTGTAACTTACCTGACAATAGCTAACATGAGTGATTCTATACTTGTAACATACCTGACAATAGCTAACATGAGTGATTCTATACTTGTAACATACCTGACAATAGCTAACATGAGTGATTCTATACTTGTAACATACCTGACAATAGCTAACATGAGTGATTCAATACCTGTAACATACCTGACAATAGCTAACATGAGTGATTCTATACTTGTAACATACCTGACAATAGCTAACATGAGTGATTCTATACTTGTAACATACCTGACAATAGCTAACATGAGTGATTCAATACCTGTAACATACCTGACAATAGCTAACATGAGTGATTCAATACTTGTAACATACCTGACAATAGCTAACATGAGTGATTCTATACTTGTAACATACCTGACAATAGCTAACATGAGTGATTCAATACTAGTAACACCAACATTATCACAAGGCTGATCTGTTTTGATTTCTAAGATGTTCTTCATGATGAATATGACATTTTCTATAAACTGAGTATTCAAATCTGTCACTATTACCTGCAATAAAGAAAATAGCATGGAAATAACAGAAAATTATGAGTTTATAGTAATATGTAATTATATGTATGACAGCTGTGGGAAAATTAGGCAATAAAAAGTTTCATTCCCATGATTTCTGATGCAACTATAAGTAGATTATTTCTTTGCAGTGATATGAATTAAACCTGATGCTAGAGACACATGTTTAGGTTTTGCAGAATATAAGAGTGATATAATTTTTAGATTGTTATTCAAACAGAGGTTTAAGTAGAAGAATTCTAAGTCTCAGCTGTCTTATTGTCTGAAGGTCCCCTTTTAAAAGCATTATAAAAGTAACATGATCCCCTTTGTTTCCAACAGACAACTTGAAAAAGAATGTGTCTAAGGACACGAATGCCCCCACTCAAGCGTTGCAATTTTCAAGTTAAATAGGGACATAACTCTAGAACGGTAAATGACTCACAACCCAAATTCAAACTCTGCGTGTTTGGTTCTTTGAACTGTGTAGGAGTTTCATAAAAACTGCATGAGGCAAACTAAAGTTAAGAGTGCGGAAACAAAATTGGGATGGACAGAAAGAAAAACAAATGGATGGACGGTCAATGGTAACACTTAATGCACCTGTTGCCTACGGCGGGGACATAAAAATATATCTGATACTTCTATATAAAGAGAATGTCTTTATTTACAGATTATTTAAGATTTTGAAAATGAGAGGAAGATCATCAGGTAAAATCTCAACCCAGTTTCATTCTTCTATTTTTATTCCTTGTTCAAAGCAAATATACACTTTTTAAATAAAATCCCACACAAAGAAATATTTTTACCTGACCAGATGGATCAAAGAATTTATCCACACAAACTTTGATTTGATCAAACAGTATGGGAAATAGAGCTGGGTTCAGTTCATGACCAACCAGTTCCTTTACATGCTTCTGTATCTGAGCACCAAACTTTTCATTCTGACAAACTAATAACTTCAGTAAATTACTGATGAACCTGAAAAACAATAGTTGTAGGGAATAAGTGTTAGAACAATTAGAAATAGTGTAATTTATCATGTTTTAAAACTCTTCCATGAAGTTTAACATTCTCTATTTTAATCAATAAAGGTGGTTGTCATGGACTTAATGTAAAGAAGATATGTCACTGCTAAACCATAGCAATTTTGTAGATGGACACAAGCAATGACAGCACTTTTGAATTCAATTTCTAAAAATTCTTGATTTACAAATTTGAATAATTTTGTGATAACAGTAAAATTGTGAAAACACATTTCTTGGCTTAAATTTTATCATCAAAGAAGATCAGAATTAAAAACAGGATAAGGGTGAGAAAAAAAACCCACAAATAGCTTTGGCCCAAATATCTTGAAATTTTAACACTTTGAAAAAAAAACATTTTACAGCACACACATTGTTTGTATGTGAAGACTACAAACTTACTGTGTGACAGGGCAGTACTGAGAATCTCCACAACTCTGCATCAAACTTGTCTTTCTAGAGTCCAGACCACTGGGTATACTTGTAGCACTGATTCTGTGTGGTTTGTTCTGTAGCCTAACTCCACCCAGAGCACATAAAAATCCTGTCATGTTAGCCCATTCATTCAATTGGTCCTGAAAAATAAATGTAAATAAATGAGTCATGTAACAAAAACTATTAGTACATATGAAGTTTTAAAAAATCAACAAAATTTTCACATAATTTAAATTAAATTGGTCAATTTTAACAATCATAAAGACAGACTTATTTTGATACAAAGTAAAATTGCTGCTATAATCATCATAACGTGTGGAAAAATAAAATTTCACCACCATTATAAATAAAACAGATGCAATCCTTTAATTTCCTCAAGAGCTAAATCTGAAACAAACATAATCTATGTCAAGACAACAGCCTACCTCAAGTTCGTGTTCAGTGCTGGCATGGTGTGGAGGTTTCCTCTTTATGGGATTACTAGCTCCCAGTCCAGGGGCTTGGCATTCCTCCATCTTGACTTTGGGATCTTTAGGGAAGGTCTCTAAATACTGTGTGATGAGATCCCAGTTTCTGTAAGTGTCGTCCCAGGCTTGTGAATTACCTGACGTGTGTTGATCTATCTTCCTGAGTAAGGCCATGATTCTTTTCTGTAGGGCAGCTCTTCCTATAATAGTAGGATATACATCATATATAAAATTGACTTAAATACAGCAGAGATATAAGCCTGGCTGAAGAAACTGCTCAGCTGGCTGCCTAAGTTGTGGTATTATTCAGGGGTTAGGGTAGAGATACAAGTATTTTATTATCCATTTTGCAGGAAAATTTCTGTTGTAAAAGATGTAACAATTGTTCATTTTCAGTTGTATCTTTTAGTTTTTTATGGATTGACAACATAGGGAGAGAGATGAGTATTCTCACAAACTATTGTAACATACTGTGGGTACATTATTATTCGTTAGATACCAGATTCCAATTTTTCCTGGATTTCGTGGGTTCAGGTGAACCACAAAATCAAGTGTTCAATGATTAACAAATTTTCTTAAGCTTGTATGCAGACTTCAGCAAAACTACGAAAATAAATATCCCCTACATGTAAGTTTTCCTTAATCCACGAAAATCGGTACCCACGAAAAAAAATGAATCCACAGAAGCCATTATGTGGCTTTCTATAGTGATGTAAAAAATCATGTTAATTATGGTCATTGATCATGAATTCAAAGAATGATAAAATGCACTGACCTGTGGTTAAGACGGTACTGGCCTGGGCTAAATCAGCGTAGACATTGTAGTTTGGTAAAATCTGTGTGACGGCCATCTCATCAGCCCCACATCTGATATCTGCTTCCTCACACAATAAACTAAAACATGACATGGCAGTCAATACAGCATCAATATCTATACTCCATAAATACATGAAAAACACAACCTGTAAAACAATAACATACATGTCAGTAATTTATATTCTGCTATTGCTGCATATTTCATGAATATGTACAAAAGTCATGAAATTTTCTCTTCTTTTAATTATCTTTATTTCAGTACTTACAGGAGTTTCATTAATGACCACTTTTTGACCTATAGTTGTTAATTTCTGTGTCATTTGGTCTCTTGTGGAGAGTTGTCTCATTGGCAATCAAACCACATCTTCTTATTTTTATTTTTATAATTAATACACATTTTACTCAATTTACTTGCTCCAATTTGTCTTCTGCCTTTTCTTAATACACTTGACTTTTCCATATCAAAACTACACATTAAAATTTGAAAATAAAATATCTCTTAGTTATACCTATAAAGACATTTGAAGGTAAACAAATTTACACTTTCCTAGTCCAATACACATTCAACTAACTTCGTTCACACATTGTTGTCAATATAATGGCATTTTATGTGACTATCGTACAAGTGAGAGGTTTAGCTAGCTATAAAACCAGGTTTAATCCACCATTTTCTACATAAGGAAATGCCTGTTTCAAGTCAGGAATATGACAGTTGTTTTCCATTTGTTTGATGTATTTGAGCTTTTGAATTTGCCATTTGACAAGAGACTTTCCGTTTTAAATTTTCCTTGGAGTTCGGTATTTTTGTTATTTTAGTTTTTATTAGTTTTTTGAAATTCTTAACAGCAAAAATAATACAACAAAATAAATGGGGAATGTGTTCATGGGACACAGATGATGCCCCCACTTGCATTTAACGTTAAAAAGGTACATAACTCAAGAACTGTAAATGTGACGCTACCCAAATTTGTACTTGATCTGAGTTTTGTAGTAATAAGCATTGTGTATACGTTTCATAACATTTAATTGAGGCAAACTTAAGTGAAAGAACAGAAACGAAAATTTCAGCAATTTTTCCATTTGTAAAGGGGCATAACTCTAGAACGGTAAAAGTGACACCACCAAAATCGATCTTGATCTGTGTTTTGTGGTAATTAGCATTGTGCATAAGTTTCATAATATTTGGTTGAGGCAAACTAAAGTTAGAGAACGGGAATGAAAAATTCAGCAATTTTTCCATTTGTAAATGGGTATAACTCTAGAACGGTAACATTGACGCCACCAAAATTCAAACTTGATCTGTGTTTTGTGGTAATAAGCATTGTGTATAAGTTTCATAACATTTAGTTGAGGCAAACTTAAGTTAGAGAACGGAAACGAGAAATTCATAACAAAAGTCTGTAACTCACCTCTAATTTGATATGTATGCAGATAGTTTTATTATTTCCAATGTTAGCATTGGCACTGTTTTTGTTCAGGAAGATATTACGACAGACGAGGATTTCACGAAGCCATTTGAGAATGTCTGTGTAATTAGCCAACTGTCTTTGGATCAGTTTCTGTGATATTGAAAACAACACCTGTGAACTGAAATATAAAGATACAATTTCATTTCTCTCATTTCCTGTTTAAGTGCTGCAAATGAACTTTTACCCATTAAAATGGCTATAAATGAACTTCCCACTTGAGAAATATTTTAATGCAGTCATGTTTCTTTTGAACTTAAATAATTCTATTTTTACATTGTCCATTACTAATCATTGATTTTAGTACTGAAAAAATGTTTTATTTTTTATTTTTCTATTGCAAAACCTGTTATTTTTATTTTCATGTTTTTCCTGACCCTGATTATGATATACCATAAGATCAAATTTACACAAGGGAATATTTCCGCAATCAGATCATACTGCAAAATTAGCAAATATAAACTCCTTACAAAAATTATCACAATACATGTCTATAAATCTTGACTGCTGAGTGACTTCCTTTGAAAACAAGAAAATAAAGGCATATATGATAAATTTTATGATAAAATGTATGACAGGCATTCTAACATTCCTGGAATTTCTAAGTTTCGTTGTCCAGTTCAATAAAATGACATTTACCTTATATCTTTCAGTGTACATGAAAAGATTTTTAATTTTACCAATACACACAGATAAATTCTGAATTTTAATGACAATTTTATTAACATAACACCTGATTGTAATTTTACATGTCTTATAGATGTCTCTGTGTAGGTTTTCTGCCTCATTGAGAAATATCCAACATTTTCATTTACTTGCAACTTCCCAGATGTAACAGATATTCTCTCACAACAGATAGTACATCTCAATGATTCTAAATTTTACCGTGGTTGAATTACTTCCCATAATGTTTGAATGACAAGTTTTGAAATTTACCTGACATCCCAGAATGTATGGATAGGTGATTCTGGATTCCACAACTCTATGTTCTCTGGCTGATGTAAACACAATAACGCCTAGAAAACAAAAATTCAAAAATGTAATAAATCTCAATGTTTTTTAACATACAAAGCATTTTATTAAATTTTCATCAAATAAAGGATACTTCTATATTGAAATATGTATTGACGAACTTCATTATAATTCATGTTCCAAATTACCTCCATAGCTTCTGATGATACATCGGGCATACATTGTTGATGGACCAGTGACACAAGTCCATTCATCAGTTCTAGTGTACTACTCTGTACTTCATGGCCAGGTTTACCCTGATTCTGAAAAAAAATATATATAGCTATCCAGTTTAAAATAAAAATCTTAATATACAATTCTTCACGATTTTCAGGATGAGAACAGATTTATTATTAATACAAAAGGTAGGTCCAGCAATTTGGGGTCTACCCAATGAAAAGAAGGACATTTTGGACTACCCCTGGAAAATGAGGGTGTTGGGTAGGGGTAGAAATTGTACCCTAAAACAGGCAACCTACAGACCACTTCATACATTTTTTGCATGGGTTCTTGAAAGTCAGAGAGTGCGGCATTCACTCAATACAAGGTATCAAATGTGACATCCTCATTCGATCTTACATGGCTGATAATTTATATATCCCACACAGCGAAACAGATACCCCACTTAATAAAATGCTTCGCTGGGCGCAGCTTGATACGACCGCAGAGGTCGAACCCTGAACAGTTGGGGCAAGTATGGACACAACATTCAAGCTTGATACAGCTCTGAATTTGGATTGTGATTAAATATTTGACACAGCATAGGTTTCTGACACAGAAAGAATGTGGTCTAAGAACTTCAATTTTTTTAATTTACCTATTATGGTCCAATGTCCAAAATCAAAATACATGGTTAGATTCAGCATATCAAAGAACCCCATATATTCAATTTTTGTTGAAATCAAACAAAGTTTAATTTTGGACCCCAACTTGGACAAACTTGAAAACTGGTCCCATAATCAAAAATCTAAACACATGTTTAGATTCACCATATCAAAGTACCCGAAGAATTCAATTTTTGTTAAAATCAAACTAAGTTTAATTTTGGACCCTTTGGACCTTAATGTAGACAAATTTAAAAAATGGGACCCTAAATTAAAAATCTAAAAACACAGTTAGATTTGGCATATCAAAGAACCCCAATAATTCAATTTTTGATGAAATCAAACAAAGTTTAATTTTGGACCCTTTTGACCTCAATATGAACCAATTTGATAGCGGGCCCACAAATAAAAAATCTAAATACATGGTAAGATTCAGCATATCAAAGAACCCCATATATTCAATTTTTGTTGAAATCAAACAAAGTTTAATTTTGGACCCCAATTTGGACCATCTTGAAAACTGGGCCAAAAATCTAAAATCTAAATACATGTTTAGATTCAGCATATCAAAGAACCCCATATATTCAATTTTTGTTGAAATCAAACAAAGTTTAATTTTGGACCCCAACTTGGACCAACTTGAAAACTGGTCCCATAATCAAAAATCTAAACACATGTTTAGATTCAGCATATCAAAGAACCCCAAAAATTCAATTTTTGTTAAAATCAAACTAAGTTTAATTTTGGACCCTTTGGACCTTAATGTAGACCAATTTAAAAAACAGGACCCAAAATTAAAAATCTGAATACACGGTTAGATTTGGCATATCAAAGAACCCCAATAATTCAATTTTTGATGAAATCAAACAAAGTTTAATTTTGGACCCTTTTGACCTCAATATGAACCAATTTGATAGCGGGCCCACAAATAAAAAATCTAATTACATGGTAAGATTCAGCATATCAAAGAACCCCATATATTCAATTTTTGTTGAAATCAAACAAAGTTTTATTTTGGGCCCCAATTTGGACCAACTTGAAAACTGGGCCAAAAATCTAAAATCTAAATACATGTTTAGATTCAGCATATCAAAGAACCCCATATATTCAATTTTTGTTGAAATCAAACAAAGTTTAATTTTGGACCCCAACTTGGACCAACTTGAAAACTGGGCCCATAATCAAAAATCTAAACACATGTTTAGATTCAGCATATCAAAGAACCCTAAGAATTCAATTTTTGTTAAAATCAAACTAAGTTTAATTTTGGACCCTTTGGACCTTAATGTAGACAAATTTAAAAAACGGGACCCAAAATTAAAAATCTAAATACACGGTTAGATTCGGCATATCAAAGAACCCCAATAATTCAATTTTTGATGAAATCAAACAAAGTTTAATTTTGGACCCTTTGGACCTCAATGTGGACCAATTTAAAAACGGGGCCCAAAATCCAAAAACTTAAAACACGGTTAGATTCAGCATATCAAAGAACCCCAAGAATTCAAGAATAAAACCCCATTGAAATTGATCAAGAAATAAGCAATTTATACGAAGTATCTTCTTTTGCACAATACTGTGCAATTGAATATTTCTTGCTATTGTGCAATACTGTACAATTGACAATTTCTTGCTATTGCGCAATATTGTGCTATTGGATATTTCTTGCTATTGCGCAATACTGTTAAATTGAAGATTTCTTGCTATTGCGCAATACTGTGCAATTGAAGATTTCTTGCTATTGTGCAATACTGTGCAATTGAAAATTTCTTGCTATTGCACAATACTTATTATATAATAATTTACACATCCTGTTTGGTGTGTATCTCCTACCATATCATTATTATTTGCTTTTAAATATAAATCAGAAAAATCCCAACTTAAAATGGAAAATTTTAAAAGAAAAAAAAAAGGAAAAAAAGAAAAAAAAAAAAAAAAAAAAATCCCCCCCCCAAATTTTTTGAACCCCCTTATGATTCATCACCCCCAAACTCAATCCCAGCCTTCCCTTTGTGGTATGGTACCTTGCAGTACAATTTCAGAGAGATCCATACACTTGAACACAAGTTATTGTCTGGAAACTAGAAAAATGCTTATTTTTGGCCCCTTTTTGGCCCCCAATTCCTAAACGTTTCGGGCAATTACCCCCAAACTCAATTCCAGCTTTCCCTTTGTGATATGGAACCTTGTAGTACAATTTCAGAAATATCCAAACACTTACACACAAGTTATTGTCATGAAACTAGAAAAATGCTTGTTTTTTGCCCCTTTTTTGGCCCCTAATTCCTAAAATTTTGAGGCAATTACCCCCAAAATCAATTACAGCCTTCCCTTTGTGATATGGAATCTTGTGGTACAATGTCAGAGAGATCCATACACTTACACACAAGTTATTGTCTGAAAGTTACAAAAATGCTTATTTTTGGCCCCTTTTTGGCCCCTAATTCCTTAACTGTTGGTACCATAACCCCCAAAATCAATCCCAACCTTCCTTTTGTGGTATTGAACCTTATGGTGAAATTTCATGGAGATCCATTCACTTAAACTAAAGTTAGAGTGCGAAAACCAATGTGTCTTCGGACGACGCCGGACGACGACGACGACGACGACGACGACGACGACGACGACGACGACGACGACGCCAGCGTCATACCAATATACGACCAAAAAATTTTTAATTTTTGCGGTCGTATAAAAAAGGAGTATTACTGCAGGATTTGGAGAAGTCATGGTGACCATATTTCTACACCTGAGTCAACCCTTGGGGTCTAATTTATATAAAACTTACATGTAACATCAGATTTGGATCATCATGGATAAGCCGTACAATCCACAACAGAAGATATCTGTACGTTGTCATAGTCTCATCTGTAGTTTTATTTATCTTCTGTAATGTTAACTTAGATATGGTCTGAAATGACAGCTGTAAATAAATAATAAACAAAGTTAACAACCACCTTTCAATAGGTACTAATTACAAGAATATAAAAATAAGAAGATGCTGTATGAATATCAATGAGACAACTCTCCACTAGAGACCAAATGTCGTAGAAGTCAGCAAGTATAGGTCACTGTTCAGCCTTCTACAATGAGCAAAACCACAATACCACATAATTATTTTTACCGAAAATAATTCAGGGAAAAATATCTATTCTACACCCTATTCATGACTCTGTGACACTTGACCCTAAATCTTATTGCCCTTGATCGGAATAATGTCATAAAACAAATTATTACTTTAATGTGATGTCATTGTCAGGTAACATCGTTTTGTTTTTCTGATAATGAAAATAAAATGCAAATGAGGTGTATACAAATATTTGTTTAGGTTTTGTTTATCAACTGATGTGTTAAAAAAATGTCTAAATTTTGTAATTATTTATCTATCTTTTTGCATTAAATTTCATCTTTATATAAGTGTCCATATGTATAAAATATCAGGAGGAATTTCTAATGCAGAGCTTTTAATTACTGCGAACTAAAAGTAGGTGATTTGTGTCATTTTTTCTTGTAATGAAAATGTAAAATATCAGTTTGTCTATTTCTTTTTTACAAATAACTGTGGATAGGAACTACTACATGTACTGTGGATTCATTTATTTTGTGGATACTAATATTCGTGGATTGAGGACAAAGTGTATTTTTACTGGAAACTTATTTTGTGGTTTTGCCAAAGACTGCATGCAATCCTAAAGAAAATTTGTACATAGTTGAACATTTAAATTTGTAATTTTCCTATACCCTCAGAATCCATAAAAATTGATATACAAGACACAAAATTTTTACATCAAATCAAACAGCTAAGTTTCAAATTTATATCAGCATGTATCCTGATTAAAGACTTACATATGGCAGGAATACACCAACTGATTTAGGTGCTGTGTGGGCTGCCATTCCTTGTGTAACTTTGTTTAATGTGTCTGTAAACATGTTCCGTAACTCTGCTGCTTTGCCATAGATGATAGTAATGTTTGGCCACCAGGGCAGTCTTGGCTGTAAACAAAAAGTTTTCTAAATTAAGCTTCCATATGAAAATATTTCTCATTAGCATTCACAAAAATCAATTTCTATACAAAAATGAATAAATTAATTTTCAAACAAATATGAATACATACACCAAAAGTAACTGAAAACCTTATATTTGGTAATATTTTATTTATCAAATCAATTTAGAACTTGGAAGAAAATTGAGTATCATGATATAATGCTTAAGTAGCTTGAAATTTTCAAACAATTACAAGTAGAAATTGGCCGATTTAGACAACTCTTTTCATGCTTGCATGTGACTTTATTATCTTCCATTAATTCAAAAATATAAAATTATAAGCTATTTGACCTACCTGAGTAATGATTCTGTGTAATGCATTGACTAGAACAAAATGATAGATGGGCGGCGAGTTTGGGTGAAGACACACTTTGAGCACATCATTGTTGTGTGGTGTGATACGAAAACATGATACAAAACAGTCATTATATAAATCCAGGTCAACGATACTCTGTCCACGGGAAAATGGCTTGGTGTTGGGTGGCGGGTTAAACAATAATTGCTGCAATGGAAATTATGGTTCATTTCTATAAAGTCTTAACAAGCAAATTATTTTTATATCATCTGAAAATAAACATGATGAGAGAAAGCTTATAAAATCTTTCATAACCTAAGACAATTTTCCAATGAAAAAAAATATTATGAGAAAGTTAAGTTTTCTACACTCTGCTTCTAAAACTAACAACAAATAAATTATACTTGACTCTAACACAATGGAACAAAGCCCCTAATTTTTCTGAAAATATTTGTCTCAGTTCTTTAATACACCAATTAGATGACAATCTTGTTTTACCTTTAAATTAATATAACCCAAAATTTGAGAGGACATTTTGGACTACCCCTGGAAAATGAGGGTGGTGTGTTAAGAGAAATTTCATATTCAATCCAAAGAAATGAAACCTATCTTAAGTCCATGACACTGACTAAAAACAGATTAAAAAAACCCTAAGTTGATGAGTTTTGAAAATTTTTAACAAAGGGAGACAACTTACCTTGAGATCATTAATAACAGATTGAACCAGACTAAATAAAACATTTAAACGATCATTGATGCTGATGTATGTGGATGCTTTACAAAGACGAACACATGTGACTGCAGCTCCCTCTGTCAACTTGGATCCTGCATGATGTGGTGAAATGGCTTTCTTTACCTCATCTATGAAATGTTTCTAAAAGAAAAACCAAAATAAAGCTAAATCTACTTGCAATGTTTGTTTCATAACAGTTGTACATCAAATACTGTGATTCATTTTTTTTTTCGTGGTTGCCAATTTTTGTGGATTGAGGAAAACTTGCACTTTTGTGGATATATAATTTCATGGTTCATTGCCAAAGTCTCCATATAGCCTTATAGAAAATGTGTCATTCGTTGAACATTTGAATTCGTGCTTTACCTGTTCCCACGAAATCCAAGTTTCATAACAATCCATGAAGGTTTACAAATTTATCATGTCAAAATAATTTAATCCCAGACTGTCTGTAAATGTTAACTGTAAAAAAACTCAGTCCATCTATCAGAAAAATACTGAAAATGAAAAAAATATATTTTCAAAAGTTTGCTTCAGACATATCTCTTAATCAATAATAAAGCTTCTGCAAAATTTTCATAAAATTCTATAAAAGTTTGACAAAGTAATTGATGTGTAACAAACTTTAACCCCAGACTGTATCTACTTGTTAACTGTTTAAAAGTCCATTTATCAGTAAAATATGGAAAAACGAAAATAAATATTTTCAAAATTTTGCTCTGGGTATTGTATTTTGGTCAAAAACATGCTTCTGTCTAAATTTCATAAAATTCAATGAAGGTTTGACCATGTTATTGATGTTTAAAAAACTTTAACTACAGACTGAACCTAAATGTTGACGCCACAGCAAAATAAACCCCTGTACAGTATCACGGGGTTAACAATTGAAATGAGGTTCTACATTACAAGCAAGGCAATTACTCAAACTATTTAAGTTGATGATTATCATAATTTGTTTTACCTTTTTGAGATGTTGTGCTGAACAGGGAGCTCCATTGTCTGCATTGTTTATCTCTTCCAAAATTTTCTATAATAAAAATATGAAATTTTATTTGGAAAGAACTCAATGCTTCAGAGTCTAATGCATTCTGGGTAATACTTTTAAAAGTGTACACAAACAAGCATTCTGTGAGTATTGCATGGCAATACATAGTCCCCTACCGGTTACAAATTCATTGTAATGGAACGAAATTCTAACTTGATCTATAACTTGTCATGGTGTAAACTACATAAAAATATCAAGTCAAAATCTTCAAGCATGGCGAAAAAAAACTGTTGAAAACTGATTATTTAAGTGAATTTTCTATGTCCAAAGACCATAACTCTGCACAAAATTATCAGACTGGAACAAAATTCCAACTTGATCTGTAACTTGTCATGATAACACTATATATTAATTATCAAATCAATATCTTCAAGAATGACAAACAAACCTACCACTAAATTCTTCAAACAATTTACCACAGAAAAGGAAAAAAATCCAAAATGTCATTTTGTCTTTTAAATCTTTTAAAAAATGAGTTATTTCCCTTTGAACAGAAATCTACTAATTAATAAGTATTTCATCAAAAATTTAGTTCTAGGGAAAGGGCTTTAACTGAACAAAGAGAAAAGCTAAAATCGTGAAAATTGAAATTGACCTGTAACTTGTCATGATAAATCAATAAACCAAATATCAAATCAATATCTTCAAGCACGAAGAAAAAAAGTCTGGAAAACTGATTTGCCAGACTGACAGATGGACAGACAGACGACAGACAGACAGACAGACGGACGGAGTGCAAACCTAAAGTCCCCTTCGACTTCGTCGGTAGGGGACTAAAAATTGCCATTGGTTATGGGGGCATAAATTTGTTTTCAATGGTCAAGGTAAAACTTTGATTATAAGTTTAAGTTTACTTTTGTTCTATATTATCAAATTTTACAACTTTTAAATTATTTTACTGCTCATTGATTTTCAGTACTCACAGGACACAAGACCAACAACATCATCTGTAATGGCCAAATAGCAGCTTTCTTCTTGGAATTCTCCATACACTGATTAAACTGGTCAAATAACTTATCACAACAATCTGTCAAATTAAATAAAATATCATTTGACTTTATACTTCTGTATATCAGGAATTAGGTATATGTAGTCATAAGTGTAAATCTCCCACTGTAAAAGTATATTTGTTCCGCCTAACAGAAGATCAACTAGAAAGTTTGTTAAAAACAATGCTATAATATCTATTCCAGTTGGAACAAATACTCTACAATCTTTATTCCGTTACAACAAATACTGTAATATTTCTTCCAGAGGAAATTATATTACAGAATATTTCTTCCATTTGGAACTTATATCATAAAGGAACTTCTATGTCATAACACCACAACCAAAATCAATAAGCGAATAATTTGCCCTATAAAATCTTATTCATTTTGGGTACTCAGTTCAAAACCATACTGTGATACATGAAATGTTGACAACATACTAAATACTTGATACTGTGGATTCATTTATTTACGTTTTTAGAGAAAACTTACATTTTCATGGATTTTTTTTGCCCTAGTCTGCATACAAACCTATAGTTATATTGTCATTCATTGAACATGTAATTTCTTGGTTCCCCTTCACCCACGAAATCCACGAAAATCCAACGAATAATAATGAATCCACAGTAATAGAGAAATGGTGTAAAATTTCGTTTTGGTGCAAGAACAATGAAATTACCCAGAACTCTTCATACAAGGAATTAATGTAATAGACTACCAGCAAACATTTACACTCAGATTTTAACAAATGTTATGTTCCTTCTTCTACAATTTTCACATTCATTCCTGATTTTTCAAAGGTTCATTTAAATGCTTTTCAGAATATACAATATTGAAATATTTGAAGGTTTAAGGATCCTTTCTCAAAACATTAGAATGTAATAATGCAGGTCTAATTGTCTTGAAGCTGCAAAGAAATTCAGGGGGAGATAACTGATATTTTACCTTGAAGTTCATCATTTGGCTTTTTCTGTAGTTCTGTGAATTCTTCAGGATAGTTATCCATCCACATCCAGATTGCCTAGAAAATTGACAAGCAATCATTTTTTTGAATGTTTTTAAACAGAATATACATGTTTGTTGATCCTTCCATAAATCTGAGTTTGTGAAAAAAAAAGGAATTATCTAACTTGGTGAAATTTAAATATACTGTTTTTCTAATGCTTTTACAATATATTAGGTCAAATAATGTTGATCCTGTTGTTTAGAGGATTAACATGACTTTTAGATTGAAGACTTCAATTTTCAAGGCAGTTGACTTATTATAAATATTTATGGTATATCCATATTATTTATTCAAGCAAACCTGCCTAACATTTTGATATGATAAAATCAATGAGTTCTAAAAATGATTTAATGAACAGTAACATTAAGATAGCATTGTGAGATATTATGATATAAGTTGCATTTAATATCAATATCTTCAATATCAACGAATTCTGTTCATTTTACATGCTGGGTACTTAAACCATCCATTTATCTTCAACTACTGTAAAAGCAGTAATTTTCGTGGAGGATTTAATTTCGTTTATTTCGTGGAAAGAATATATCCACGAAATTAAAACCCCCACGAAAATTTAACCTACATATAATATCACTTCCATTTACTGGAAACCACGAAATTAAATCCCCATGAAATCTTATAAAGAGACAAAACCACGAAATTTTAACCCCACGAAAATTAATGTTTCTACAGTATATGTAAATATATTTATTGATCCATCTTGCAGTCATTTCTTAATAAACAACTTCTTGATGTCTTTGTAGCTTGTGTTTGTGTGTGTTTAATTCATATCTGTTTAATTACCTTCTCCAGATTATATGCCAGAGTAATAACATGCTTGTTCTTTAAGAATTTAAACTTGGAATTAATATCTGAAATAAACAAATAATTATGTTCTTTACATTTTATTTTCGTATGATTCAATATCTTTCATTTTATAATACTTTTTATCAAAACATTATTGGTACTTCTGTGTGACAAAAAAAAAACAAAATACTCAAAAAAACAAGGAAAGACTTATCCAGAAATAAAAGTATAAAGGGACAAAAGATGGCCAATAACTTTCATATTAATAAATGGAGAATGCATCCATGGGACACAGATGATGCCCCCCTTTGCATATAATGTTATAAAGGGACATAACTCAAGAACGGTTTAAAATGACACCACCCAAATTGATGAGTTTAGTGGTAATAAGCATTGTGTATAAGTTTCAGAACATTTGGTTGAGGCAAACTAAAGTTAGAGAATGGAAACCAATTTTAGGGCGTACGAGCAGACAAATGTAACACTAAATGCCCCCTCCAGTGACAGCTGGGGCATAATTAGATACAAAAGCAGTTTAAATTAAGAGAAATTTTCAAATATTTCAATTTGGTTCAACATTACTATCTTTATCATAAATATTCTCTTGGTCTTTGAGACATATTTCGTTTGTGCTAACAGAGTGCAAAACAGTCATAAATCAATCAACTTTTGGTCTTGATTCAGATAATTCATGAATCAAATGTTGTGCACACAAAAATTGCTATCTTATCACTTTTTTTTTTAAATAGCTTGCGTTATTAAGAATCTTCTGAAAAAATTCAATACAAGCCAATTTATTGAAACAGTAAACATGGTAAATAAAGCTGAGAATCCAAGAACCAAAACCTGTAAAATAAACTTACCATTGAATAACTTTATGAGTCTGAGGACATCTACGTTTATGTGTTGAATCAATTCTAAATCTGACAGATCTGGGTCATCACTGGCACTCGATAATGATGTCAACCTGTAATTGACATAAAATTTTTAAAATATCTTTTATAATAATGTATACCGGTATCATGTTTATATCTTTTGCAAATTTTTGTTACATCAGTTCTGATTGGACAATACTGAAATTTTTCATGCATCAATTCCATGACTGATGACATCTAATATCTGAACATGCTTGTTGTCACAACAGGAACATTTTGTTAATTCTACAGATGCATAATAATGATTAAAACAGTTTTGTATTTTAATACTTGCTGGCAATTTAATGGTTGCAAAATACCTTTAATGGTTCGTCATTCAAACCTTTAGTAGCTAACACAGTTTGCAATCATCAAATCAACAAAATACAATAAGAACAATGTTGTAAATTAATTCTGATTTCATTGGCCAGGGTCTCAATGGTTCCTCTCAGAAATCAATAGCTAACACAATTCGCAACCATCAATTCAACAAAATACAATAATTTCAAAGTTGAATGTTAAATCTTATTTCATTGGCAAGTGTAATGGCAACCAAAAAGTTTATACATGTATAAACCATTTTCACAACATCAAAAGAATGAATTCCTACACATTCGATAGTACTGTAAGTCATGTCAAGTGTTAATGCATTTGTTTTATCTAGATAGACATTTTACTGCATTTATAGTTATAAAGGCCTTTTTTTGCAGGAAATATGTTGTAGAAGTCAAGGTCAATTCTTAGGAGTTTATTAATGTTTAAACTTTGCCTTTTCTTCCATAAACTGAATTATCCGGTCTGCCTCACTCACAAACTGGATAAAGTCCAATTAGACTTGAAGATGTTTATAAGTGAAAGGCTGAGCTTCTATATCAATAACATCCTTCAAAATAATCTTTTCAACTACATGTATTATATAGTTCCTTCAAAATAACCTTTTCTTTTTAAATTAACTAATAAATATTGAAGTTACTGGATTTGTATAATTCATCAACATGCCAAGTATCATAATTGTTGGTCACATTGTATTTGAAAACATGTCCTGACCAAAGACAAATCATATTCCCTTCAGTATCAAAATGAATGCTGGATTAAAAACTGTGAAAGAGAAGTAGACCTGAGAAGTGGACAGTGAATTCATTTAGTCTAAATGGTACTTCATAAAAAAATTTGACTATCTAAGCAAAAAAACATTTTTTAATCATTCCCAAGTTTTTAGTTTGTAAATGAAGAAAGTATATGTGGGAGCTATTTGGCCATACAAATTCACAGACAAAAATGTATAATACCACTATTAAAAGCAAATCTTAAAAAGTTCAGAAAGAAAGCTTTCGGAAAATGTATGTATTAGCTTAAGTATAAATGACACAGTTTGACAATGACATCATAAAAGTGATGTCATAATAAAGATTGGTCAATTTTTTTTATAACAAAAATGGAAAAATTACGGAACATTTTGGATAAATAAACATAAAAACACATGCATTGCCTAAAAACAATTTTTTCCAACCAAAAGATAAGCACAAAACATACTTAATGTGTAAAATCTTTCTTGCTGTACATTATTTCTCTAAATTTGGAGTCAAAACAGTTAAGATTTTGTCTACTTTTGCCATTTTACAGAATTTGCTATCATTTCATGGCTGATTAACCATGATAACATATAGTAACCCATGAAAAAAAAAATTTAAATCCAAATTTGCATACATAAATTCAATGTTTAATTCCGAAAATTAGATGAGTTTTGAAACACATTTAATGTTACAACTCTGGAAGCACCATCTTCTTTAATCAAATTTAAAATGTTTCCGACATATCAAAAATTAATTGACATTAATCGTTAGTTCTGCCTTAATAGCGAAACCCACTTACATATGAACTACATATCAAATAAATTAATAAACTATTACATACATACAAACAATGAATGCAGGGATCCTATATATATAGTATACAGTGCAACCTCGTTATAATACCACCTTTTAGACTAGGCTTATTTTTGGCAATAAACGAGAATGGCAATATATCGTGTGAGACATTTTTATGCGAATTTTTTTTATCTTGGATAAATGGGCTTCAGGAATGAATGGCATTGCAATAACCAGGGGCATTATAACGACAAAATACTGCATATGCACAGACAAGAAGTGCACTAGTATAAAATACATACATTTTGTTAAGGTCACTGCTGTCATTTCTAAATAGATAAATTTTAACATCTGAGGAATAAATTAATTCTAACATGGGAATTTAAGAATAATTCAATTCTAACATGGGAATTTTGGAATAAATCAATTCTAACATGGGAATTTTGGAAAAAATCAATTCTAACATGGGTATTTTGGAATAAATCAATCTAACATGGGAAATTTGAATTAAATCAATTCTAACATTGGACTTTTTTTTAATTATTACAGAACTCATTACTTTACATTTATAAAAATTCCATGCACAAATTCAAAGTAATGTCAAATTATTGAAATAGGAAGTGACTGCACAGTAGATCTACAAATCACTTACACAGCACAACTCAACATTATAAAGTTACAGACCAAATATCAAATCATTCCATCATACAGAGGTCGAGATATATTAAACAAAATTTATGGATGGACCAATGGAGGATGAACAGAAAGGAAAATTGTGAATGCAGTAGTGACAGTAAAATTACAATCCTGATGACAAGTCTAAGAGGCCTAAAAATAATGTCTTCTTTTTTGAAGCCTTATTCAGATTTTTTTTTTATCTTTTAAGTTTGACTAAAGTCATAAATCACATATTTGTTTTTGTTTACTAAAACTTTTCAATGTTAACTCACTTTGCAGATATTCTGTTGAAAACAGCTCCAAAGTTGTTGAGACTGAGAGCAAACAGGACCTTGGATGACAGATTCTTTAGTTGTAATACCAATGTGTTTGGTGTGTCTGTTGACTGGTTCAGAAACTGTTTGAAAAAGAAGATAAAATCTAGATGTTTATTGTATAAAAACTTAAAGAGTATAGATCTACATAGCAAGTTAAAATTATTCTTAATATACATAATGAATAGCCTCAGTTATGTCACAGTAAGAGTCTCTCCTCATTGTATAATAACTTAAAAAGTATAGATCTACAAAGAAATTAAAACTTATTCATATAAATAATTAATAGCCTCGGTTATCTCATGGTAGCAGAGGTTGTGGATTTGGTCCCTCACAAGCTCCGACCAGGAACTTTAAAATTGATATATGTTGCTTCACTGCTAAGAACAAAGCTTTAGGAATTTGAGCAAAGACTAGTTGGCAAGAAGTAAAAATAATGTGTCCAGATGAGGCTACATGTTATCATGAATGTAACCTTCAGAAATAGCTCTTTTAAAATCCAGCTCAGTGTGTTGGTCTAGTGCAAAGTAAAATTCAGACTATAATATCACATTATCATGTTCTATTTCTTAATATGCATGAATATTTTCTGTTGGATGTTAAAAATCCAAACATTATTTTTTAAAAAGTCATTTTAGGTTTGGTTATAATTCAACCAAAAATAACTACAAAATTGCCTTCTTTCTTATTTCCTAATTTTGAATAATGTAATACATTGTCTTAAAGGCATTACATTTTCACTTATATTTGAATATTCTTTGGTCTGCTGAGTAACTGGAGTATCTCAGTTCACACCAAGTAAGGTTAACTTTACTATGTACACTGAAGCTAGAAAAATACCGATAAAAGTCAACCCGGATCACTGACTCAGAATCAGAAAATTTGGGTCAACTAAAATAAGTTATCACATGGAAACACTGTGGTTACAGACAAGTAATAGTGTCACCAATCCCAGTGAATTACACATATTTTTGTCATTCATGTAATAAGAAAATTTGTTTCAACTAACCTTACAAATTTCTGGCAGTAACAGCTTGACATAGATGGCTTCATCAAGTCTTGACGTATCTTTTGGTTGCTGAAAAATGAATAATACATCTGTACAAATTTGTGTTACCACTAACTAATTGTTTACATTTTTGGTTTTGTCATTCTCTTCATCTTATCAGAAATATCATTTTTCCAAACATGTAACTCTTGTTTATCAAAGTTTAAAACCTAATCCATCATTACGTTCCCCAGTCATTTCTATGATATTTTTTTTAAAACCAAAATTGGATAAGGAACTTTGGAAAACCTTATTAATTAAAGCAGCCTGTTTCACATCAGCAATGCAGATTTTAATATATAACAATTATTTAAATATAGATTCTATCACTGAATCGATTGTGATGCAATATTTCTCCTTTCATGACAGTTAAAATTCAAATATTTGAAATCAACTGTTGAGAGAGGAGAAATATTGTGTTGCTATATGGAGATATGTGGTGCCATCAGGTATGGTCATCTTTTTTCGTGACATCACATTAGCGAAATTGAGGAAGCAAGAAAATAAGATTTTTCCCAATGAAAAACTGAGCTCAAATGACTTCACGTTGATAATTAGCAGGTCAGAGAAAATATAGATCGGCTAAAAATTAGAGAAACTTTTCTACATAAAAAATAAAACCTGAACTAAATCATGTGAATAGTAAATACATGTATGTTTTTTAAAGTAACAATTTTTTGATGTTTGCTTATAGTCCAGTGACACTTTTTTTTTATTTGATCTTTTGCCTCTTTTCAAATGTCAAGATTTTATTCTGTATAAATTGTTGTATATATTATATTCATGTGTATAAATTCATGTGCATAAATTCATGTGTATATATTCATGTGTATAAATTCATTTGTTTATAAATTCATGCGTGTATATATTCATAATATACAAGATAATGGAGTGTGTGTCCGAGCGAGAACTTCTCTATGTTCATTACTTATCTAAAACTCATATTTCACTTGCTCTTTGGTCGGGTTGTTGTCTCTTTGACACATTCCCCATTTCAATTCACAATTTTAATTTTTACAGAGTTTGTCTTTAGTGCTGTCACTGCCGTGTGGAGACAGTAGAGTGCCTCCCGGTGCTTCAGGTTTATGCTCTTATAATATACAAGATAATGGAGTGTGTGTCCAAGCAAGAACTTCTCTATGTTCATTACTTTAGGAATATTTATCTAAAACTCATATTTCACGTGCTATTTGGTCTGGTTGTTGTCTCTTTGACACGTTTCCCATTTCCATTCCTAATTTTATGTGTATAAATTCACTTCCTTTGAAATACTTACTGAATTAAGTACTTGCTCTAGTGTGTCTAGGATTATCAACTGAGATTCAAAGTAATTCCTTTCTGCCTCTGGACCAATAATTCTCTAAAATAATAAAATTAAAAACAAAATAAGTTAAAGTCCAGTGTATATATATATGTCAAAACATTTTGTGAAAATAAATGATTAAATGTATTCAGTGACTTTTCAAATGTGAAATAGAAATACTTGAAAAGCGATTTGGACACATGAAATTTATATAAGGTTCTGATTTGGTAAGTCCACAAGCTCATACCCGTAGTGAAAAGTTTAATTTATAAAAGGTTCTGATTTGTTAAGTCCACAAGCTCATACCCGTAGTGAAAAGTTTTGATTTATAAAAGATTCTGATTTGGTAAGTCCACAAGCTCATACCTGTAGTGAAAAGTTTTGAGTCTCAAATCAAACATTTTAATCAAACACTTGTTAAGGAGAGTTGTCAGAATTTCTGTCAGGAAACTTAATCATCAATCTATTTTCATACATGTATGTAACAAGAAATGATTTTTTTTTTTGCTTTTTATAAGAAATATTTGTACCAAATGTTTATGTAAAAAATTAACTCTACACCTATTGCTACTTATATATTTTTTAAGATACTCAAGGACCGATGGATCTACACATCTTCAACAGTTGGCACAGTAGCCTGAGGATTGTATAACAGTTATTGGAGTGGCCAAACAACTATTAACAAAATAAATGTAGAATGTGTCCATGGGACACAGATGATGCCCCCGCTTGCATATCATATAAAGATATAAAGGGACATAACTGAAGAATGGTAAAAGTGATGCTACCCAAATTTGTACTTGATCTGAGTTTTGTGGTAATAAGCATTGTGTAAAAGTTTCATAACATTTGGTTGAGGCAAACTAAAGTTAGAGAACAGAAACGAAAAATTCAGCAATTTTTATGTTTATAAAGAGGCATAACTCAAGAACCGTAAAAGTGACGCCACCCAATTTCAAACTTGATCTGTATTATGTGGTAATAAGCATTGTGTATAAGTTTCATAACAGTTGGTTTAGGCAAACTAAAGTTGTAGAACGGAAACAAAATATTCAGCAATTTTTATGTTTATAAAGGGGCATAACTAAAGAACGGTAAAAGTGACACCAACCAATTTCAAACTTGATCTGTACTAAGTGGTATTAAGCATTGTGTAAAAATTTCATAACATTTGGTTGAGGCAAACTAAAGTTAGAGAACGGAAACGAAAAATTTAGCAATTTTTATGTTTATAAAGGGGCATAACTCAAGAACGGTAAAACTGATGCCACCCAATTTCAAACTTGATCTGTATTATGTGGTAATAAGCATTGTGTATAAGTCTCATAACATTTGGTTGTGGCTTACTTAAGTAAGAGAACAGAAACGAAAAATTCAGCAAATTTTCCATTTGTAAATAATAAGGCATAACTCAAGAACGGTAAAAATGATACCACCAAATTTTGAACTTGATCTGTATTATGTGGTAATAAGCATTGTGTATAAGTTTCATAACATTTGGTTGAGGCAAACTAAAGTTAGAGAACGGAAACCAACTTTGGGACGTACGGACGTATGGACGGACGTACATACAGACGGACAAGGGTAAAACTTAATGCCCCCTCCGCTATGGCGGGGGCATAAAAAGTTGTATCTCTGGCCTATTTTGTCGAACACATGAATTTTTGAGATGGCAGCATTTTTTAACGTATGGAAAAAATAATGAATGAAATGTTAATTATATATGTAATAAAGAATACAGGTAAATTTAATGTGTAATACAATCAATGATAATAATTATGTACCGTATTTCAACAATTAATGTCTCTTCAGTAATGCTCAAGGCCAAAATGTTTGGAATCAAAACCTATTAGAAACGTTGTAAGAGCTGATATATGAAATTTTGAAAAAGATCAGAAGTGTTGTCATGCTCAACAAGGAAGCAGATCTAAGCATGAGGGAGATACATTCCTTAATTTCAAATAATTACCTTAGTTTTACAATAGCAAATGTTGGTAAAACAATTTCTATATTTTCATGCCAATACAGAAGTACCAGTCTGATGACATTTGTATTTAATTATTTTTAAGTAAATAATAAATTACATCTGACATGACTTTTTCAATATCACACAAGATCTCAACCCTCAACCAATATATTCCCTCGGCCAGAGCTCTCAGGGTTATATTGATGTCTCAGATTGACACATGTGTGAAATTGAAAAAAAAAACACATATATATCATTCTCTATATTTATATTTGTTTACTTTTATGTTTTAAATAGAAACAAAATTGGTATCAACAAGATAAAAAAAACTATGTCAGTCAGTCCTGGTAACAGATATCAACAACAAGGTCAATATAAATTAACACTGTATCAATTAAGGTCATGTTAGGTAAATTCAGGTAAAAGTCGACTAAATTACAATTTATCACAAACTGATAAAATACTTGTATACTGACACTCCCATAGTGTACCTCGTATGATAAGAGGCATGATAATGGACACCACGTGTAGTTGAGAAAAAAATAGTGAAATTTCAAAATATGGATAATAAAAATGGAATAACAAATGGACTAAAAGGAAAAACCAATTCTACGGTAGAATTGCTGGCTATGACAAATGGAAAATCAAGTAAGATTTATAGAATTTCACATGTCTTATGTTCAGTTTATTTGTCTTATTATCAAATATCAACAAAACTTTGTAACTTGGATATTTGCTTTGTAAATGTATATCGAACTCAATAAGTATTCTGATAAACTTTTGCAACTGGATTTTTTTTTTAACAAGTTCTTGATGCTGAATTAAGTTTTACAATCGCTCATAATTTAAAATGTGACTGATTAAAATTTGTTAACTGAAAGAATTGTTTACTTTTTTTTTGGCATTCATGTTTTTGTTCCTTTCAAACATGTTTGATTGAATTAGCCTTCTCTTCGTTGCTGAATTTTTCAAAGTTTGATTGAGAATTTACGCATAGATCAAATATTCATTCCAATAATAATTCATATTTATTTTTCACTAATAAAAAAAGTGTTGTTATTTCATCATATCAAAATATCCAATATCCTTAATACCAGGTAAAACTTTACACAGGCCAAAGAAAAGTTTTACAAAAGCAATCGAAAGACTTGCATTTGCGAGGAATTATTTTCAAACAAGTCCTGATTGACTTAAAGCATCAAGTTCTTATGTAGGACACTTAACATAATAATAATAATAATGTATAGACGAAACATGTATGTATGGCTTGTATCTACATTTGTAAGTCTTATATTTTTTAATAGACCACTTTCGAGTTCGTTGCAATTCCATCAAAACCTTTGATTTTATTGAACATCATTCGTATGTTAAGGGACATTGTCACTTCCTTCCCATGTTGAGCGAGCAGTTGAAAAAATATGATTCTATATTGCACGAATTATTCGGCAAATTAAATTCTTATAATTGATAATCCGCACTGCTGTCATTAAGGAATTGTGATTAAGTACCTATGGAACAATTATTATTTCTACTTTATCCTGCATAATGACGATCACAAAGACTCTTGATGAACTTTAACAGTGCAGGGATACAGGCGATCCCCTCGATCATCATAAATGCATGCATAATTAACAAACTTTTCCCTTGAAGGACATAACTCGAAAGTGGTCTATTAAAACAGAACCAAGGCCATACAAACTAGATTGTAACTACCTAAAACATGCAAATATTTATGGGAATGATCAATGACTAACATGACTAAATACCATTTTAGTTAATTCTTCACTGATGAACCTTAAAAATTCGTATTGTGTTGCATTGAGTTTATACACATATCAAAGATGTATAGTAAAGATTTTCAATGTGTTGCCAAAAATTGAGTTTACTCAAATATTCAAAAATAGTTAAGGTAGCTAGTGTTGTTCAATTGACAAAAAATGCAACCTAAGATCAGCTATAATTGGTTAAGCTAAACCAATCAACTATATATTATGTAATTGAATGTATTTTAAAAGAATTAATAGGAACAAGAATGGCATTCTCAATATGCTTATTTATTACAAATGAAGAGCAATGCTTTAAAGTTCACTTAAAATGCAACAAAACTTCTTGCTTGAAGATTTAGAATATAGTTGAAGTGATTCTACATGAAAATTGCAACCATTTAGATTGGGCTCCAAGACTTTCAAAGTATTTATTTATAACTGATTAGAATCCATTATAAAATTTTACAATCAATTACTAAGTTGGATTGCCTTAACCTACTGATTTTCTATTTTTTGATCCTCAGAACATAGCTAAAACAATTTAAGACTTAGACAGGCCATACAGCAAAAGAATTGTTTATATTTTTTCATGTTTAACTTGTATGTTAGTCTATCTAAGGCCAATAAATTCCTATTAATTGTACATTTCAAGACCTCAAAATGTGTTTACCTTGGTAACTTATCTGTGTAAGGGAGATAACTGGCTATACAAACAACATAAACGTGAAGATGAATCTTCAATAATTGTTTGGTTGATTGTTAATTGTAATACATGTATAATGTCCAGTGGAAAATGTTTCACACATATTCACTACAAGAATATATTGAACTATTTATCAAAGATGTAGATTCTGCAAAGTGAGGCAGGGCTGCCCTAGGTAAAATGTAGGTAATATGGATAGCCTATGGAAAAAGTAATGTCTAGGCTACCTACAGACCACTCAATAAGTTCTTCAATGTGTTAAGAGCTTACATTGTAACACTCTCTTAGCATTGGTCTCAGATAAAAAGTCTCCATTCCTACCTAATTAACATGGCTACACATCCCACATAGCCAAATGGGTGCCTCTACATATTATGAACTACATGTACCAGACATGACAAGTTCAAGTAATCATATTTTAATTCCCTGTTTACCCTAAGCTTGGACTTAAAAAAATATCTAATGATTATACCAAATGATGGAGAGAAAAAAGAAGTGAATAAATTTAATCATTGTATGAAAATGTAAAATAATTTTATTGATTTGTAAAATTCATCACCCATTAGCAATCAAATACCTAATACCTAATATAATAAGCTCCATCTTATATTTTGCTCACCTGTCATACTGAAAACAGAATTGTGAAAAAAAACATAAAAGTAAACACAAGGTACCTCGGTTAAAAACCAATTTTGATGTGCATTTTTACAGTGAATCTTAGTGATTTGGGGTGATTCACTTAGAAATACATTTTTTATCTCTCTGTATACATACATGACATATGACAGGATGTCAAATCAAATAGTTTTCACTTTAGATCACTGCAATCACTTTGTTTCACCTGTGATTCACTCAACACCAGCCAGAGTGATTTTTAACTGAGTCATCTTGTGTGTAATGTACAATTGTACCGCTTATATAATTACCATACTGGAAACAGACTGCAGTGTCTTTGTAAGACCATTGATGACTTCTCTGAACTTGTACTTGCTAACATTAATCAGACATTCTTTGTTCTGTTCTACATTCTGTATGGATTGTGTTGTATGTAAGCCTGTCTTGATAGGCAGCTGAAGAAAATAAAAACATCACTGAAAACATGGAAAATGTATTTTACCTACATTGTATACCTAAAGATTCCCAATATCCCTGTCCCTCCTCAGTGTAAATAAGGCATTTTTTACTGCTGAACAGGACTGTCAATTACTATGCATGTATATTGATTGAAATATTAATTAGCAGGTGATTCCCGATGTAAATCAGTAGTGTTTGATTATTATTGCTATATTTTTACTGGAATTAGCATTTTGTGAATTTCAAATAATTTTCAATAATTTATGGCAATATAAATGTTTCTTGCCTGGCATGTGTCAAGAAATGATGTTACCTCACGATGCATCATTCTCACATACAATAAACGAATACATGTTGATGTATTTTGACTGGCTTTACTATCAAGCAGTGAGCCAGGATGCCAGGCCTTTTTTTCAATGGAATATATTATAAATGATACAATAGGTCCGAGTACACAGTTATCGTCCTTTGATTTTCGTTGTCCACGAATAAAGTCCCTAGTGTGGACAGTGTGTTGCTTGCCAATTTTTTTAGTACCCCTTCCAAATGTATTCCTTCATGTTTTATGCCTCAAATAGCAAGTAGGGGGATGAAATTACACTGTAAAAAAATTTGGGTCATGAATTGTAAAGTAAAGTAGTGATTTGGTCCAGCTGAAAAAGGTTAAAAATTAGCACTTCGGAAGCTGTCAAAAGATTTCAAGACCCCCTTAACATAGAATTGTCCATATTTTGAGTTAGAGCCGATGAAGTTTTCTATAATTTTGATATGATTTGTCCCAAAAGTAGTACAACACACTGTAAAAATATTATTGAGAAAGCGCAGGTGGGATTTTTTTTATTTTCATTTATTGTCTAAAAGAAATGCACTACGAAATAACTGTGTACTCGGACCAATAGAATAGTTTTATAATTGAATAAATGTGGTGCTATGAATTTAGGGAAACAATTTAACAGTGAATCTTCAATCATTAAACTTTAACCTTTACAGTTCTTTACCTTTCTGGATTTTTCATAAGCAATGCATAAATGTATTGCCCAGTAACCATGGTAACCTTTATTTTACTGATAACTTATTTGTTGGTCAAAACTTTTTTCTTTATTTCTCAGTATTTTATTGTAATCAGGAATTTAATTTTGAAGTTTTTCTTTTTCAAATGTATCCCCATAGCTAATCTCTACTTTGGTAATATCTTTAATTCTGTAAATTAAATACGATCAAAAGAAAAAAATGTTAACTGGACATTTGAACATTTCATACTATCATAAGCAAAAGACAACTGATCCAGTTTAAAATATCAGACACCTTGTTTGATTTTTATACAATATGCCATAAAAAAATTAGCATTTGGTAAAATCAGGTTTGTTAGATAACATAACATAACATTTTTCAACAAAATCAAACAAAATCACCTACAGTTTTGAAGATGGTCAAATGGAGCAACTTTTTGGAGAACACATGCAATTTTTTGGTTTCCATCATAAAAATTAAACAAAAACAAGTTTAACAACCGTGGAGAATTAGATTTACTTTGATATAAAAGGCCCTGAAATGACAAAATGTTAAACAATTCAAACGAGAAAACTAAGGGCCTGATTTATGTACAAAACAGTGAACCAAAAAAACAAAATAACTCTAGAACGGTAAAAGTGACGCCACCAAAATTCAAACTTGATCTGTGTTTTGTGGTAATAATTATTGTGTATAAGTTTCATTACATTTGGTTGAGGAAAACTAAAGTTAGAGAACAGAAACCAATTTTGGGACGTACGTACGTACAGACGGAAAACAAATATGATATTCAGCAACAAACCACAACCACTGAATTACAGGCTCCTGACTTGGGACAAACACATACAGAATATTGTGGGGGTTAAACTAGTTTTTTGGCTCCAAACCCTCCCCCTCACCTGGAAAGTGGTGTAACAGTACAACAAAAGAACAAACTATAAACGAAACATGTATATATATATTCAATACTTTTACTTGAGTGGACATAATTATATATTCAAGTGGCCTTCATATATCTACAGGAAGAAATGACAAAATCTACTTGAAATATAGTGTATAAAAAATGAAAAATTTTCCTTATTTTTTCAAAATTTGACATTAATGATCAGAGAAACACTTATCATTCAAATTTTGTCTCCTTTCTTGTAATCTTTCGAAAGGGTACATAGTACATGTATACATGATAAATGTATTTAAATTTTAGTCCCAAAAATTAGCAATGGTAGCATGACTCTTGTGATGGTTTGATTAGAATATATTAATATATACATTGCATGTTACCATTTTCAAAAGCCATTTAAACTTTCCTGATATTAAAATCTCACACAAATAATCTGAGACCTTTTGGCATTTTTGGTTCAAGAAATAATGCATTTTTTTTTTTATTCTTCTCTTCATGTACAGATTTTTGAAAGTTGGTAGAGATTTTCCAAAGATATGATTCTGCAGATGTAAGAAATGACTCAATATTTTTCTATATTTTATAGTTAATCAAAATCATTCTTTCATACATTTTTAATGACAAATTAAACTTGCAAACTTGTATTACAGTCATGACAGTTAAACCATTTGCTTTTCTTTTGGAAAATATAATTCCAAAATTGTTGCAAATGGTGATCCTGTTCATAATTTTAAGGTCTCCTGAAAGTTGGGCATTTAAAGGCCCTGTAATATTTTGTAGGGGGCTATGGGGAACGTTTTATACTTTTTTATGCTATATACTTAAAAATTTCCAGGAACCAACAAATTACAAAATGTAGATGACAACACTGTTACAATTTACTTTTTAATTTGTTTATAATACATGTGCATGTGCTCATCATTACAGAACTAAAATGCCTAGGTACACAAAAGACATTATGTAAATTGTATACTGCCATGGATACAGATTCATTAACATATAGTTGGACTGGACTATAATGAAAATAACATTTTGTCGGTTCAATTTTTTTACTTGATATGTTGGGCCTGTAGTCGACTCTGTTGTTTGTGGGTAATTCTTTTTAAAAATCCTATCAGTTTGGGTCCATAGTAATTGACTTTAAAGATTTTGAAGCTGGCTGCATTTATCCTCTGAATTACATCACTGCATTTTCAACAATTTGGGAGGTTTTCTGTTTATGATTTCAATGCAAATTCAAGGATTTCGATCTTAAAGTTTTATTTAACAAATATAAAAGATGTTAAAAATATAGAATTTATTATGGCGATAAGTCGTCAGACAGATAATAAATTATGAAAAACGCCTACGCAAAAACCTATCCTATTTTCTTGCAAAACAAAAATCAAGGTTCCAACAACAATTCTATTTCGTGCATATACAATGTCAATTTACAACAGTCATATTGTTTAAATTTTATCAATGACATTATCCAATTTAATCTGTAACGAGTGAGTAAACAAACATAAAATTCGGTCACACGCTCCAGGGCATTGTGTCGGTGACATTCATTCATAAATTTTTGAAGCCAATTCTTACAGCTGCGCTTTTACTACGACGAATTCATCAACTCACATCCACCGATCACACATGACAGTCTTACCTGAGCATCAAATCGACTGATCAGTGCCTGCACCCATTCTCCTGGTTTTTGTGTTGCCATCATTAGAAAGTTATACAAATAAATTCATTCAACATCTAGCCTTCCGGTACTGTACCCGCCATGTTTATTATGTTGATATTATTTACGCATGCGTATTTGAAATTTGACCTTATTTGGATTTTAATCAAGATAGCGATGCAATCATGCCGTTTGCTGGACGATTTTTTTTTCTGACGGAATATTTATTTTTTCCTTGTGTACATCTTGCTTATTTTCGTTTGTACAAATTTAAAAACCGCATAATTTTTGTTTGGCAAAATATTAATTTTCATCAGCATGGCAATTAATATTTTGCCAAAATTTGGTGAAGGTTATTTATTTTTCAGTTCTTACCAGGCTCTGGGACTATATCCCAGCTAGGCCAGAATATTCGTTTCCAAAATCCTAATGCACACCACAATATCAAATGGTCGCCCCTTACTTTCAAAATTTTTAAAAACTGTACTTTTAGGGAATAGAATTACTGGGGTCTGCTAGAATATATTATTCCAGATTGGGATCTACTTTTTAATTAGAGACATACATTATGACAAGTAATGTATTTGTCACTGGGTCTACTCTGGGACATAAGGTATATTGATATTAGTATAATAATCCCAGGTCTACTAGAATAATATTCTTGAACAGTTCTAAAAGGTACTGTGGGATATGATTTGACGCCTTGTGAGCTTTGGCTCAATTTAAAGACTTGAAAGTTTATTATGATTATGCAACCAGTACAAACTGATGATGTAACTTGGCGAACCTGAGACTGCTATAACAATTTCATAGAAATCTACAAACATGAGCTTAATAAGTTTGAACTAAACTACACTAAATCTGGGACTTATGCATTGAATTTATCTATTAGTCCCCGGCTAAATCTAAGAGAACTGTACATAAATAATCTTAAGAGTGTACATGTATATAAAATATATCTTAAAAAAGAAACCACGGTATTTGGTCATATAACCTGACACTGACAAAACACGGGTTCTGAAATCACTAATTTTGTCAATTCATCAGTCTTTCTAAATCTTTGAATATGGCCCAGATGACGTTTACAAAATTGCTTTTGAAAATTGGGATCCGTGTATTTTATTGATGAATTAGATCTAGAATTGTGTGGCAAGGAAAGGTTTTAAAAATATAGTTATAAATGATTACAGGATGAGCAATTTTCATTAACTGTCTTTATACGCGATGTCCCGTCTTTTCTAAACAAAATATGAAATATTCACTTTGATAAAATTATACTGGATGATTTTTCAGAGAATTTCAATGAGGACAGATAGAGTCGAAAGCTAATGACAATTAATTTATGTTTAACCGTCATATTTTTAAAATTAAACAAATTAATTTTAATTAATTATTCGAGGTGGAAAGAAAATAAATTTAGATTTTTTTTTTAATTGTGGGAAAAAATGGAAGTGGAACAAATTTCCGAAGGTATGTGTCATCTGTGTGTGTGTTTGGTTTTAAAAGGGGGGTACACAAACTAATCCAACAGCAAAGAAACTGTTACCGGTATAGGACAATGATAACACAGTTAAATTCTATTGGCCAGCAACAACGTTTTTTTTTTTAATTTGAAATTTTTTTTCTCGAAATATTCTGACGAACAGTATAAGGTTGGGGGACAAAAACAGTGCTTTTTTTCTAACTGAAGTCCAATTAAGGGTTAATAAGAGAAAAAAATCGAAGGTGTTAATCTTTTGTTTTTAATAAAATTATATCAAGGAACATACTATTCATCTTCTGTGTCGCGGTGACTAAGTGGGTTGTCCTACGAGAGTATGCTAAATGTGGCTGATTTGGTCCTGATCGCGCGGCTGGCGGTTCATGATTCTGTCCTAAAGAGGTTTTGTTTACATTGTATCAGAACGACAATAAAACAACAATGCCTTTTCAGCAATCCCTTATAGGTATACTAACTTCTTGAAGTATATGTGTCGTCGATTTTTTATTGCAAAAGTTGACCGGAAAATTCGCTAAATAAAATGTCCTGATAATCAAAACCATTGATGCTGAAAATTTATAATTGACATGTGCCATGATGACCATACACCAAATCTCGGTGCAAAATACCATATACATATGCCTTGTGGTCATGAAAAAGCTTTAAGCTATTACGAAAAACAGTAATGTTGTCTCAGTTTAAATCACTTTATCTAGAAACAATAATATATTGGTCGAATTTCAAAATGCGAAAAATTCATCTAAAATGATGCGATTAAAAGGAAAAATGATAAACAGTCTTACATATATATGTGTGCAGAACTAATAAATTGCTGCAAATCATACGCAATGATTTTGCACAAAACTTTTGGCAATACCTTAAATGCGGCTTTGGTGTCCCGGGTCTCGTTTCTCTGGCAAAGAAACTTAAAGGCTCTAATTTCGTGTTGTATACTCTAGAACATGTTCTCCTTATTCAATTGAAAAAATACGATGAACATGTATCGTTTTTTTGTTTCTTTGTTTTTTAAGCGAATATTTGCGGGAAGCATGGTGTGCATTGGATGACATCTCTAGTAAACACTTGTAAAACATATACAAGGAAGATTATTGCAACCTCATGATGACATTTCAAATAATCGTTGTTTGTACATACTCAAAACTTTCGCCGTTTTTGTTTTGTCAATTCAAATTGGCCACACGTGAATAAATTCTAACATACTTCATATCTTGATAATTTTAGTAGTACCATGCATTGTACTAAAACACAATTGAGTTCGCCATAAAGAACTGTTTATAAAGTCTTTACACTAAATTCGTTAGAGGTGTACTGATTGTAGCTTTGTCTGGGAAAACATTGTAGTTTATTTATTTATAGTTGAAATTCAACTTTGAACTAGCTTGCAGTAAAGCTGAGAACTCTGAGATCGATACTTTCGGTCTGTTTTCATTTTGTGCCCTTTTCAACTGATTTTTATAGATTGTTTTACACTACTATCTAATGAAAAAAAAAGGAAAGGGGCGGTGAGCGCTCACACATATATTTAACTCAGCCAAATTCTCTGTGCATGTCCCAACTCGCACATGTAGTCCAGTTTATCTCTTTGTATGCCGTCTCTCATAATTGATTTTTGTTTTATCATGGTTACTAGCTTAGATCATGTCATTTGCTTTCTCTTTTGCATACAAATAAGGAGATGTGGTATGACGACTTCTTAAAGGAGTTATTGTCCTTAACTTACAAATTTTACCATTTTGTTTAAATATATTGTTGCCTTATATTCTGAAAACTATTATAGAGAGAATAGCAAAAATCAGCAGCTATATATGATATGTACAATTAATAAAATTGAGAATGGAAATGGGGAATGTGTCAAAGAGACAACAACCCGACCATAGAGCAGACAACAGCCGAAGGCCACCAATGGGTCTTCAATGCAGCGAGAAACTCCCGCACCCGGAGGCGTCCTTCAGCTGGCCCCTTAACAAATATGTATACTAGTTCAGTGATAATGGACGTCATACTAAACTCCAAATTATACACAAGAAACTAAAATTAAAAATGATACAAGACTAACAAAGGCCAGAGGCTCCTGACTTGGGACAGGCGCAAAAATGCGGCTGGGTTAAACATGTTTTTTGAGATCTCAACCCTCCCCCTATACCTCTAGCCAATGTAGAAAAAACAAACGTACAACAGTACGCACAGTAAAACTCAGTTTAAGAGAAGTCCGAATCCGATGTCAGAATAGGAAACAAAAGAAAATAAACAAAATGACAATAATACATAAATAACAACAGACTACTAGTAGTTACTGACATGCCAGCTCCAGACCTCAATTAAACTGATTGAAAGATTATGTCCTCATCATATGAATATCAGGCACAATCCCTCCTGTTAGGGGTTTAGTATTAAACCGTCATAAAATATATGAGAAGAACATAACCCGTGTCATGCCAACAACTGGTTTTAGAATAAATATGTTTAATTCCGATGCAAAGACCCTATAAGTGAATCAATATTAAAGCAAAAAATATGCAATTTTTAATGACCTGACAACAATATCGTAACTATATCCCTTCTTAATAAGTCTGTTTAAAGGTTTTGTTAGCTTTTGAGGTGAATACTGACATTTTTGTGCTTTGTAAAGAATATTACCATAAAAGATTGGATGTGAAATACCCGAACGTATAAGATGTCTGCATGTTGAGTTATATTTACGAATGATGTCCTTATACCGATGATAAAATTTAGTAAATGTTTTGACTAGTTTATTATATCGAAAACCCTGGTGTAATAATTTTTCAGTAATATATAAATTTCTCTCGCTAAAATCTAATACGTTGTTACATACACGAGCGAATCGTACAAGTTGAGATATATAAACACCATAAGATGGTGACAAGGGAACATCACCATCTAAAAATGGATAATTAACGATAGGAAATGAAAAATCATCTCTTTTATCATAAATTTTTGTATTAAGCTTCCCGTTAATGATATAGATATCAAGATCGAGGAAAGGACAGTGGTCATTGTTAGTATTAGCTTTATTTAAAGTAAGTTCAATAGGATAAATTTCTTTAGTATACATACTGAAGTTGTCATTATTGAGAGCCAATATATCATCCAAATATCTAAAAGTATTGTTAAATTTTTGTATCAGATGTTGTTTCGATGGGTCTTTGCTGATTTTAGTCATAAATTGTAACTCATAACAATACAAAAACAGGTCCGCAATAAGTTGTGCACAGTTAGTCCCCATTGGAATTCCGATATTTTGACGATATACGGAATCTCCAAAGCGAACAAAAATGTTATCAAGTAAAAATTCAAGGGCAGATATAGTATCAAAGCATGTCCAATTGACATAGCTCTTTTGTTTGTTGTCAAAATCGACAGTCGACTTCTTATTGGAGTTTTTTTGTTCTTTAATAACGATGTTTACAAATTTTTGTTTTTTTTGCCTTTATAAACGATAAACAGATAAAAATTATCAGCAAGACAAGATCTAAAAATAAGTCAAATTTTGACAAAATTGTTTGGTGACTCTGTAAAGAAGTGATTGCCCTAACATGACGACTTTATACCCATTTTTTTGGTGTTTTGGGAAAAAAGTAAAGAATGCAGA